ACTGCTCGCAATGTTGCATCTCTCTCCTACCTACCAGACGGGCCTCGTGTTCTCAAACTCGGTCTGGATGTCACCTCGAAGAGTAATATCACGCAGTCCTTGTCTACTGCTGTAGAGAAGTTTGGCCGCATTGACATATTAGTCAACAATGCCGGGTACGCCGTGATGGGCGACACCGAAACAGTGCCGGAGTCAGACGCCCGTCTTCAAATGGAAACTCTTTTTTGGGGTCCGGTTTTCCTTACACAACAGGCCGTTCGCATATTTCGAGAGGCAAACCCTCCAGGTCAGGGTGGCACTGTGGTGCAAGTCTCATCCATTGGTGGGCTTGTGACATTTCCCGGAAGTGCATTTTATCACGCTAGGTAGGTAAAATCCGGCTTCGTATCTCAGCTTATTTCAAATATCGCTCTGAAACCATCATGTTCTCCAATGTTTTCGTTTCTGTTGCTAAAATCTCGATAGCAAATTCGCCCTTGGCAGCTTCACTGAATCGTTTGCCAAGGAGGTGGATCCTGCTTGGAACATTAAATTCATGGTGGTTGCCCCTGGAGGCATCAAGACAGACTTTGGTTCGAATATCCAGTTTGCCGCTCGCCATCCTGCTTATGATACCCCTACCTCCCCGTTAAATCAGTTGCTAGCATATATGAGCAACCCTGCAGTTCAGGAGATGTTCTCGACACCAGAACAGTTGGCTAGAGTGCTCTTAGACGTTGTCACAGGACAGGCCCAGCGACCCTTGCCGAGGCGGTTATTGATGGGTGCCGAAACAATTGCTCTACTAGAAGCAGATCTTAAAACTTCCGCGGAGGACTTGGAATCCTGGAAAGATGAGACTCTGCGATGTTCGTCACAGACGTCCCAGTAGGAAAATTCAAATACCTACGAATCTCACAGTATTGCTTTCCTGCATAAATATCAACTCGAGTGATTGATAGTCCAGCCATCTATAATTAGAGACAATAAGCAAACCTGCCTCTTGAGAAGGCAGGAAATCGGCCTATATTCTAGTATAGGTATTTATAGATAGAATACAGCGCATTGCAGATCTAGAGTCGTGTAGTTTCCTCTATAGTCTATATATCATCATATACACTGCCTAGCTTTTACCGGATTACAAAATTGTCTATATTGCAGGCAGTACTCCTCCTCTAAGTCCGGAATAGATAGTGCTATTGTTTATGAGGGAATAGATACGCCCTACACAGCGTTTAATGACGCCTCGTGTCAAGAGAGTACATTGCTGCGTCGATTTTCGGTAGCCTATGCGACATCTTTAATTGACTATTAGATCCTTAGTTGCTGTAACTAAGTATAAATCAACCCTCCAACTATGAATACACTTCTCACTTCAAGAACAAATATATCCCTAATACATACGAGATACAGTTACATGTAAGGGAACTTCGGCCACACCCTGCATTCCGCCGCATCCCTGAATCCAACTGTACATCCCTATTTCGGCAGATGCTGAGAAAAGAAGCTGACCAATTTAGGACCACTGACGGTAGTGTTGTCATAGAGTCCGACATGGGTCTCGCCGGGGACCTGGAAGAGCTCCTTGGGCTCTAAGGCACGGTCATACGATTGCTGACTGAAGTAAAGGGAATCAGCGGCAGAACCCGCAATGACAAGGAAGGGACGGGGCGAGATCAAGGCATTCTGGTTAAAGGCCCAGAAGTTGACAACCTGGTCCAGACTGCGAGTAACAACGCGGTTCGGGGCCCGGGGGTGATATCCACGAGAGGTACGGTAATATTCGCTAGCCTCGCGCCACAAGGTGGGAAGGTCGGGAGGCAGGTTGTTCGGGTCTTCAGGAACGATTGGAGACAGCTCAGGTTCAGCACCATGCGCTTCGGCCGTACGGAGCTCGCCAGCCTGCTTCAGTCGCTGCTCAATAACAGTGCGGTTAAATGCTCCAGTGGTGTACTTCAGCCCCTCACGGAAGAGACTTCCGACATCGACGGCGCTGACAGTTGCAACGGCCTTCATGCGCAGATCGGTCTGGGCCGCGAAAGGGACATAGCCACCCGAGGCGCAGATACCGAGGGCTCCGATATTCTCCGGGTTAACCTCGTCCAGAGTAGTGAGGTAACTCACGGCGGCCTTGAAGTCTTCAACTCGCTGCCCGGGATCTTCAAGAAAATGGGGAGAGCCGCTGCTCTCTCCCTGGTACGCGGCGTCGAATGCCAGCGCGAGGAATCCGTTTTCAGAAAGGTGCTTTGCATACAAGCCGGCGGTTTGCTCCTTCACACCTCCGTAGGGATGGCCGACTACAATGGCGGATCCATTGCGGTTGGGAGCTGAGGACTCGGGGAGGTAGAGTTCGCCGACAATAGTGAAGTTGCGGCTGGGAAAGGTCACCCTGCGCGCAAGGGCGAGGTTTGCAGCTATCAAGAGCTGCGTAAGGTAGGTGGAAGGTTTCATTTTTGAGCTGCGGTGCTACTTCTTCCAATTGGAATGCTTTGGATAGAAGTTGATTGCTCTATAAAGAATAAAGATGGTAATGGAGTCCCCAGGGCAGGTCTGTCTTATATAGTTCATCCGGAAGGACTCCAGCTGTATCCTGTTCTTCTCCTTTCTTCACCACCGTCCTCCTTTTCTCCTTTTCTACTCCCTTATCTCCGAATCTTGGTGTGGCTTACATACCTCAAGATTGCACCATGTCATCACCCTATGAGAACGATAATACTGTACAGCGGAATGCTAGCACTTACCAGCTGCACGGCGTCGTCATCATTAATGCCAATTTCTTGGCCCATTTCAATATCTAAGGGAGATCCCCAGTTCGGTGCATCTTTTAGAACCTCGGTATTGTGGGGCGCCTAAAGATCCCTGAAAGAACAGCCGATGAGACCCGCTATGATGCTGTTTTAGTGCCACGGCCATTATATTGGCAGAACTAGATCACAATAGTACGATTGAACAGACCTCAGCCACCAACTCAAGTCGTTAGCGTCTGGAAGCGATATGGGGTTCAGAGGTTGTCATATTCTGCTGCAGCACAGGCATACAGAATTTAGTTCCGTTCACATTATACAAAATTACTGGGCAGGACTCGGTACTCAGCTCAAGCAGATCAGAACAATCGTCTGACTACGGAGTCCTGGCTCTCAACTTCGCGGCGTTTCATCAGGTCGGGTATCACAACCTCTAGTGCGTCGTTAAACCCGTTGCAAAGGGCTTGGCTTGATCAGGAGTGTGCTGAAAGTTTGTCCAGGCATACTGGCGGAGACTTTTGGTTGAGGTGAAAGTTAGAGAACCGAAACTGTAACCAACCTTCACAGTTGCGGCATATACTTGAGTGGGGATGTGGAGTCTAGAACACAGGTGGATTTCTCAATGAGGATCTAATCGTGCCAATCGCCGAAACTCCTTCGGCCGAAAATGCCAAGAGCAACCTTCGATGGTCAACTTCGGCCGATGAATGAAGAGCCCTGGGGAACCGAGTCAAAAAGCCCCCTAGGCTTATGTTGCCTGTAACCTCGGAGACATTTCTCTTCTTTTCCGGGGATTGTTGTTCGTGGTTTGTCATAACTGATTAGAAATTCAGGTAGGTATTAGTCACAGTTATGAAAAGCCCATCTCGGGGCCTGCTATAGAACTTAAAAACAGCGATCCATTCCATCCCGTACTATACAGTTTCAATCTGTCGTTGAAGAGTTCCACACCCATCATCATGTCCAAGATACTGGTCGTATTTGGAGCCACTGGAAACCAGGGCGGTTCCGTCATCAACCATGTCCTCAACGATCCTCAGCTCTCCCAGGTTTACCGTGTTCGAGCCGTGACTCGTAACCCTTCTCAGCCTACCGCTCACAACCTCCAAGCCAAGGGAGTCGAAATTGTCCAGGCCGATGCAGATGACCCTCAATCCCTTCAACGAGCCCTTGATGGTGCGAGCACCGTTTTCATTCTCACCACTGAGGCCTATAAAAAGGCCCGTGAAATTGCACAAGGGAAGGCTATCGCAGATGCCGCAGTGGCCGCAGGGCTCGAGTACATAATCTACAGTACCCTGCCTAACGTAACGGAAATCTCCCACGGCCGCTATCGTAAGGTTGATTACTACGATAGCAAGGCAGAAACCGAGCAATACATCCGGTCCTTGCCGATTAAGAGTGCATTCTTTGCCCCAGGGTGCTATATGCAGAATTTCCACAACGTGATGAAGCCTCAGGATCTGGGTGATGGGACGTATGGCATTGTGAATTTCGTCTCTCCCGATACACTGCTGCCACTCATCGATATCACTGATTCGGGGAAGTTTGTGGGGGCGATTCTTTCAGAGCCGGACAGATTTGAGGGCGAGGTGATTGCTGCGGCCGAGAAGCTCTATTCATTTGACGATGTTGCGAACCTGCTGAGCAGCTCCCTCGGAAAGACAGTCAAGTATAAGCAGGTGCCATTGGATACATTTAGAAGTTATCTTCCCCCTGACCATGCCGATAGCTTAGTTGAAACTATGGGGTATTTTGAGGATTTTGGCTATTATGGACCACGCATGAGGGATTTGGTCGCAAAGGGTGCAAAGGATGCTACACAACCATTAATCACCTTCACGGCATACCTCACCCAGGAGCCTGTTGATTTGTGATATCATGCAACCCGAACATCCTTCAATATATTGTTTAATCCTGATCCACCCCAGAAACCGCGGTGGAATATTTCGTACTCTATCTCACTGGCGTGAGCATGGTATACTTTAATCGTGTTAGCGAGGATCCTATAATGTAGCAAGATTAATATTCGCTCTTTAATGTTGAGAATCCGCGCAGTGAGATGGATCTATTCAGGACCTGTAAAATTTTAGTAAATTAATTTACTTATTCTCCAACACAAACGTATCCACTATGCTGTTAATATCTAGCAAACTAACCTCTGCTAGCAGTTCATAGCTTCAGCGCTACCTAGCCAGCTACAGGTACCCAGTGTCGTCCTCTCCATCCCCGGATAACTTCTCAATCTCCCGAACCAAATTCTCAACAACACCACGACCAGGTGGGCACTTCCACTCATAGCTATCCCGGATGCACCACACCTTATTATCCACACGAACAGTGCAACTAGCATTCGCGTTCGCGGCAATGCTACGCTCGACGCTGCTAATCAAAAGCTCTAGGCCTTCTTCACTGTTCGCGCAGTCACTGATTTTCTGATAATCGACGTTATGCTCCTACGCATACTCCTCAATTAATCCCTTATCCGGAACGCGCTCATAATCCGATAGCACACAGGTATTAAAATCCAGGGCATCGCCGATAGAGTCTGCGTGTTTCTCGGAACACACGAGCAATTTGTCGCCTTTGCATTCGTTCATGCCGTGTTGGCAGGTTACGTCTCTTCTTGGCTTTTCCCGGACCCTAGTGATTTGGGAGTTAGGATTCTGGAAGTATGCTCTGGGATGATATCGATGGTTGTTGCTGGGTCTGAACTCACTCTTGAACGATATTGTTGTTTTCGTGGATTCCTGTTACTCCTCCACTTTTCAAAAGCTGGCACCATCTACTTATATTCGCTCTTACATGGCCTTTTATGTATTCCTTTCCCGTGTTTTTGTTTATGCATATTCATTGTTGTCATAATCGCCTAGTGACGGGCGAGCAATTCACCCTTCGGAGCAACAGGTGATGCGTAGGTTAACAGGGATTATGGTATCTTGATCAAACTCCATGTCGTTAAATGATCCAGAAATGAGGAAATGGTATGATCCTTCAAGATAGAATGAGCCAAGCTCCTGTCCTTTCGTGACCTTTTGACCTTCTTGGACCGAAAATGCACAGCTAGCAATTTCGTCCATTCCGAGGAGGATGAAGAAAAGGCATCCCAAAAAAACTATCTTTACCAAGGGCCTGACACCTGAGGATCTATAATTATGCAGCCAATCGGCTATTTGCTTAAATTCAAACTCATTGTTCATTCACTGAGCCCTGGTTTCATCTTGGTGGTGTTTTGGGCCACTCATTAACAATGCACACTTCTGGTTCCAGATAGACGAGGAATGACCTCAATGACTTGCAGGATCTGAGAGAGTATGCGACATGATCGGAGGCGGTAGTGGTTTTGATAAAGGAGGAATCTACCCTATCAAACCTATTTGGGAAATATTAGTTGATATCCATATCATGTCATATCATTCCGGTTACCAACCTGCTATGGAAAGGTGCCCTTCATTCACTGGCTTTATCCTCGAAAGGCCATGCCTTCTCCCACAACACCCGTTCCTCAGAAGATTTTGATTCCCGATCTAAAAACCTCTTTTTGGCAAGTTTGAGTCTCCTAACAACTTCATCATAATCATCAGGAGACACGGCCCCGTTCCAGCCTGTATACACTCCTAACTCATTAATCACTTGCGCTTTCCGCTCGACATCTCTCTCCCATTTGGCGTACTCCTCGCCCTGCTTAACCAAGTCATGTTCTGTGTAGCTCAATGGGCACGGAACCCTTGGGTTGCCGCGATTATCCTCTCCAACTAGCTGCCTCCAAGCATCATCTCTCGTGACATCAGCAAGAAGCTTTTGGACATGTGGTTCTCCATCATCAAATATTGACCCCACTAGACTTAATAGCTCAGACTGCAAGGTTTCCCGATATTGAAATGCATGAAGTAAGTCCGGGGCTTCCTTATACATTTGTGTCTCGTAGTAAAGCCAGAGCGTCTGTGCAAGAAACAGCTCACTAGCGGCTTTTTTGTCTTGGGGATTAAGATCATTGATATTCTCCGGAAGGCTAGGTCGAACGAACCGTTCTGGCTTCGGGCCATCAAATTCTATAAGAGATGGATGATGGGCAATAAGGAACATCGGATAAATAGGAACAGCTTGCCAGTCGATAATACTCGTTATCGTGGTGGGTTTATCTTGGTCAACGAAGATGTTGTCGGAGTGTAGATTTGTGCCAGATTATACCCGCGTTGAGCCCATCATCTTTTGGTAGGATATGTTGATATATGTTAAGAAAGTCCTGTAGAACAGGCAATTTTGCTTCTTTTGTAGGATGATAACCACCAGGTCCATTGAAAATGCCCTGTTGGCTATCTCGAGGAAATTTTGAAAATTTACTCACACAGGCTAGCTCTCGCTTAACCAGCGCATTCATGGTGCTGCTCGAACTTGCCCCTAGTATACGACGCAATCAACTTGATGTATACTTGGTGGGGAGATGAGGGAACTTACAGGGGCCTCTATCAATATCAACCTCACCTCTTCTGTCATCAAACCACGCTCGCCCTGTTGTCGGTCCGATTGCGAAGGTATCATCAAATTTGATACTTTCAGACTCTGAGACATCCTTCCGAAGGTATAATGAACCATGATATGGAAACCCTGCCCTAGAGAGTGTGGAGGTGATGGAGCCAATTTGCTTCGTGATTGAGAGTTTGTCCCGCGGCTTAAGGCTTTCCCACATGCGGCTAAGCTCAATCCCTTGGGCCTTTTCCATAACAATATACTCTGAACCTAGTTTACTCTCCACGACCCGGGAACAGTAAGTGATAACCTTAGGGACAGGAAGGTGGAGGTTTTCCCTTGCCTTAAAAGACGTTAGAACAAAGACGTATCCCAACTGTATGTTTGGTTTGCCTTCTGGGGCTTCGCACATATTGCATTGTTGCCACTTCAGACGCGGTTGTGTAGTGGCTAGGTCCTGCGTTTGGATGTGGGATTTTAACAACTAACTCCCGTCCGTCCTGCATGGTAGCAAGAAACGCTTTGTTAAAGTTCCCTTTCGGGAGCTTCGAGATGTTGACGCAAACCGCATCATCCCCAGCTGCCTCCTCCGCGATTTTGATCAAAGCATTTAGATCGAATGAAACGTATCTGTTTTGCAGCTGCTGCGCCTCGTTCCAGATCTATCGCTGAGCCGAATAAGTGTAGAGATCCCCTGGATCACAATCTAAAAATTTATGAGCAGTCAACGCTTACTACGGCAAGAGATGGTACCTAAAAGTTTTGTATCGGAGCCTTCCTTTCCCCCGGTCATAGTGGACAATGGCCGGCATGGAATTGCATACAAACGGGAATAGTAGAGAATAGACATAGGAACCAAACACCTTCTGCTTTGTAATAACATTTCAGTGTGGTCTCTCCCGGACAAGAAGGATACTTGTACAATCTAAGTATCTTGATGTTGGAGATGTCTTGGTTGTTGGCACGTGATATATTTGCCTAGCAACGGGCTCATCTTCAAGAAGTCTTATATTAAACCGACATGACTAAAGTAGATATTCTCTCGGTCTAACATATTTTCTACTTTTTTAGCATGGCACTGTCGCCCTTGGAGGGAAAAGTCAGATACTCGCTAATTAGAGTGTAGGAGATGTGTTGATTACAGAATATTCTGAGCATTTGCTTGGCTACTTCAGTCTCGTTTATAGAGTTACACACTTTTAGAAATTGTGGAAGCCCTATTACGTTGACTTTAATCAAATAACTATTCAGCAGCGATCTGTATCACATATCCGAGAGCTAAGGTCCAGTTCTACGGAAGGAAGTGGACTTAGATTAGGTTGATAATCTTGCAAATGGCATGCGCTATCTAGCCCAACTACGGCAAGCCGTTTAGAGTCAGGTAAGAAATATTGAGCAGTGATTTGGAGAGCACTTCATCACTTTAAGAGAATAGGAATATTAGAATAACCTTGGCATCTTGCAAGATCGTCTCCGGATACCCAGTGGGATTACCCTGACGGTCATATATACTGAGACAAGTTAACATATCTGGATATCGCGTTTATATATTTTCACGGCGATGCTGCCGGCGCAGGCCATCACATTGGTCTCCTGCTATATACGGTTGTATACAATGGCTGAGAAGATATCTAAATGTTATATATGTATTGTTATTGAGATTGTTGGGCAGCGTAGTTCAGCGCTCAAAAGCCGTGTATCTCTAATGTGCTTCTCTGAGATATCCGGCTGAATTGTTTAATGCGTCACCGATCCCTTATAGGATGATACTTGACCATGGACACTAGTTTATATCACCATCCGGGTGGATACCGCGCATATGAATATTATTCATAGAAAGAATATGCATTATTTACAAATTAACTCCCGTCAACAGCTACAGATCATGCGTACTTTCAGCATCAATCTCTATCTTCACTGGCCGTATATGCCTTATCGCTTTCCGCTGGCATACTTGTCCTGTGAACGATTCGTACCCATCGTCGTCTTCTCCATTCCCCCATCACTGATGGTCCAGTACCTCCCTTCTCCTCGTAATCCTGCGACGCGCGTCCCTTTCCTTTCCGCTTGACCTTCTTCACATCTCCCATTCCGGACGATTTCAAGTCGGAGTCAAACTCCTCATTACCTAATGCAGCGTCCCAGACCCAACCCCCAATTTCGTCATTAGCCGCGCTTTCGTCAGGGGTACTTTCTGAAACTTCAAAGCCGACACCAGTAATCATTCGTTCCACGACCCACTCGCGGCAATCTAGGTCAAGTTCCCACTTCTTGCTTTTCCAAGCCCAGCCAGAAGGCGGCTGAACATCCTCGAAGAACCGGCAGCCTTTAGGACGGTCTCCAGCAATACGCAATGGGGATAGTGGGTCGTATGGCATGGGGCTGAAAATGAAGTGGTCCCATTGTGCGTCAGAATAAGGGGCCAGAGAGCGGTATTGAATTTCGAAGATCTCCACCTCACGTTCTTCGGGATACGTGTCTAGGGAGATATCTGCCAAAGACCTTAATGAAGACATGGTTGCGGAGGGAGAAGATGGCAGGGGTACGCCTAGGACGTCCACTGTATCCTTCTTGCCATTGTTGGATGTTGTGAGAGCATCCCCAGCGGGTTCATTTGTAAGGTCACCTGCAATATTTTGGAATAGTTCCTGGAGGCTGGGGTGGCTGGACAGAATAGCAGCGTTGCCACCCACAAGGAGTATATATCTCCACGGCAGGAGGTGCGCAGTCAGGAACAACAGAGCCGTAATGATTGTACAGACTAGAAAGACAACGGACGACACCTTTTCATTGGAGAAGTTCGTCAGAGGCGCGAATGCAGAAACCGTTGCATCGTGTATGTCAGAGAAATCGGCCATACAATTCTGCAAGTCCCGCATATTCCGAAAGAAATCTTTAGATGTCTCTGGTGCCGGCTTGATCGTCTTGGCTGGTGCAAGTGCTGGGCCTTGGTATGAGTAATAAGGAGTGATACTGGATGTTGATGTTGATGGAGGTGGAGGATGGCGTGCCAGAAACGCGGGGACCATCACAAACAGTAAGACAGAAGCGATGGGTATGATTACGAGGAGATGAGGGTCTAAGCAGACGAAAGAGTAGACGAAAAGAAAAGAGAAAGTATGGGAAGACTTTTTCCAGCTGAGCAAACGCTCCATGCGCGTCTGAAATGAGAATACAATCCCAATTCTGCCAACGATTTCAGTCTGTGCTCGTGTCCAGACCACACGCCCAGATACATGATACATACCTTGCATTGAATCTGCGGAAGTTATTAGCCATCAGGGGCAGACTGAAGGCCGGCCGTTTGGGATCGACAGGCCGCTTGTCGCCCATGACCACAGAGTCGTCGTCGACATCTTCTGCCGGGATTACTTGCTGCAAGAGTCTTTTTACAACTAGTCAGCGACAGAAGCCCGTAGAGATCAGAAACTCGAGAGGATCCGGTGAGGGCATACTTGGCGAATAGTTTATCTTGCAAGGACCGACCAGCACCCGAGATGGATCGCGGATGTCCAGCAGAAGGTTTAGAATCTCTTGATTCGTCCCCTTGTTTCCCCACGGAGATTACAGGGACAGGCTCGTCACGGTTGACGATAGCGTCCGAAGTATGTTCTTCCATGTTATATTCAGCTACCGGAAGAGATCGATAGTAAGCAAAAACATTTCCGACGGCGGACAATAGCAGTAGATGAAAGTCGCTCGGCTGTTTGCAAGCGGAAGCACATGCATCACATTACTAGAAGGCGGAGAGCCGAGTTCCTATCAGCACTGTGAATGAACCTAGCTTATCGGGGGGGGTATCATCATGACAATACCAACCCCATGGTTATTTTACCAACAGGGTACCGCCTTGGTATTGCCCGGTATGTATTAGACTAGGTTGGCAGCCTTACCTTGGGTATACCTTAGGTAATGCATAGTATAACCTAATATCCATATTTTGGGGGTTCGATCTCAACACACAACATTGTTTGTGCTGTTTGCAGGCATGCAACGGGGTCACTCTCGCAGCAAAAAGGAGCAGGGGGGTTTTTGGCGATGGTTGTTTAGAGGTTGATCTCTTAGTTGAGGCTTGTTATGTTTACAGGTAATTTCTTCCAGGTCTCCACCGGGATTTCAACTTCTCTTTCTATCTTTTTTTTCTTTTTTCCCTATTTCTTAATAGTTATTTTCTTACACCTGGCAGGTCCTGGCAGGTTTCAAGCCGAGGGATAATTGTTTAGATTTGTTGATTAAAGAAATTCTTTCTTGGCTCCTTCCTCCTCATTGCTTTGTTCTACCGGTTGGTTATATACGACCCGTAACTTTCTTTCCCTACCGCCAAAAAGTCCATCAGAACTGCTGCCCCAGGCAGAGTCTCCCTCCGTCATCGACATCGCCGCCGCGCCGATATTTATTCCTTCAGGGGAATTTGAAACGAGATTGGACAGCGATCAACTTTTCCCCCGGAGGTCTCTTTCCCCTTCGGTTTGCCCTTCTATACTTTGGAACAGAGACTGCTGTTCTTGACCCCCGCAATGGACCGCTAACCACCGTTGCTGGGTCGCGCGACATTGTTGGTCAAGGCACTCCTTTGTTTGAGAGACAGAGAAGTCATCTACTCCTAAATCCCATTGCGATTGGGATTCTACATCGAATTTATCGCCATTCAGCCACCAGTTTCTTGCCCTAGGTGCATCCGTATCTCGTTCGGGGACGACACAGTCGGAGAGTCTGAGGATGCCGGAAAAGCTGCCGGCCCAGCCATATTCAGGGAAGGGGCAGTCGCGTAAGGTTCAATCGAGGTCGTCGAGTCCGTCTCGAAATGAAGATTCAGGCTCAGGAGGTATGTTCACCCGGCGCGATGGAAATGTTTCCATTGCAGCTGGCCGCTAACGTCTTTTCGTTGTACTGCAGCAGAAGGTCCCCCACGCAGACGGTTGCAAAAACACGCCTCAACACCGTTTCTTTCAGAAGCATCCTATTCGTCAACCGAGACAAGGGGATCAAACTCAAATGTGACAAGCAGGAGGAGGTTCTCAATTCGAGATCAGAAGGCACCGCAAGGCCCGCGACCGCAGGAGCCTGCTCGAAGAAGGTAGACGGAGCTTTCTCCCTTCATTTTCCCCATTCGCTTTCGTGTCCTTGCTGCTCCCCTACACGCATTCCCGCCAGGCCCAATACTCTGGATTTCTGGTATATTGTATGATTCTGATCCATATTGTTATAGCAATCACCCCGGGTCGTTCTTCCACTCCGTTAACTCGTCAATCGATTCCACGAATGGTTCGACGGAGAGTAACAATTTCCCTGCTAGCCTGCGATCCACAAGCATGGGCAATCTTTTGAAAACAGACCTTAACCAGACTCCACCCGAGAACGCAGAATTCCTCACGCCCGTCAATTTCGACGACTTCCACAACAGCATAATGACGGAATCAAGTCTCAATCAGTTTCCCTTGCCCCGAACTGCGGGCGCTGCTTCAGGCTTCCCCCCAATCAATTCCGCTCTGAATAAGAATGATGAGAACGGTATGTCTAGACGGATGAGGAGCAACTCTATTAGGAGGAAAAGTGTGACCATTAGCACCCCTCCGAGCGACTCGGTGCCCTCCCGACCACCGACCTTGGCTACAGCTACTCGAAGTCGTCGTCAAAGTCTCGCCCAACCGCCAAATGCAAACAACGCTGCTCCACGGAATTCACGTAAGTCCATAGGACAAGGTTCGATTCCTTCTGCGAGGCGACAAAGCTTGTCGAGTAGGAAGCTAGTGCCGACACAAGCCACAACTTTCTGCACCCACGCACTCAAAATCTTGAATCTATGCCAAACGATGCAACGAGACTACCAACCAGTGCACGAAATATCAAAGCCAAATCCCTACAGCCTCCGTCGAGGGAACCTCGCGAAACCTTCCTGACCACCTCTGGATCTGCGGATCATTCCAGATCTTCGTCAACCAATGCCGTCCGAACGCCAGTCAAGCATGCACAAGCACCGCTTACGACCCCATCGTCTGCATCAAAGAGGGTTTCTGTGATGCCCCCGCACGCGACAGGCTTGGGGGCTCGTACTATAAGTCCGACGGACGCACGACGGCTGAAGCGCATGTCAACGGCACCTCAGGCGCCTCCTTTGCCTTATACTCCTCCGACGCAGACCGATATATTACCCGTCCGTCCTCGCTCATGCGCACAGTCGCCGTCCTATATTCCTCGGAAGAGTGTGACTCCTTCCTCCAATAGAACCACCCCTGATCCGTCCCGTAAATCCTATAGCTCTGGGCTATCTTTGTCGTCGACCACAAGTCATAACTCGGCAAGGAATTCCGGGGGATCATTACAAACCCGGCTTGCTCAGGCTGCATCGTCTTCTAGGCTCCCTACACCTAAACCTCGTGTAGAGCATGCTGTGGCAGCAGACGAGGAAGTACCTCCTGTTCCTGCTATTCCTAAGGCCTACGAGTCTCCGAAGGGGGAGCCCGAGCAACCAAATTGCACAGCTCCTCGCAAATCACACCTTCCGGTGGATATTGCTGTTTTGAAAGGCAAGTCGGACACGGAGTCGGATACAAACCCTACAGCTAGCGCAACTGAAGACGACACAATGGATCTGCCTGCCAAACGAGCGTTGAAGACTCCGGAAACCAAGCACAAACCAACCGCGAGCTTGGGCAAAAGGAACCTTCAGCCACTGAAATTGCCGCCGTTGAATTTGCTACCTTTGGGTACACCGATGACAAACAAGATCCAAGCCATGAAAGACCGAGAGGAGGATGCGAAATCACATACGCCAACGGGTCAGGTTGTCGCAAAGACTCCAAGTACCCCTCTTACTGCCTCAAAAGCTAATTTCTTCGCTGTCGAAGATGACGCTGTACCACGCACACAAGCAAGGAGCAGCACCGCGCATTTTGTTGTGAGTACGTCTTCGGGTGCTACGTTGAGGACAGCCAGCAGCTCCAGCGCATTGGCATCTTTCGACAACACTCCTTCTGGGGCAAGGACAAACTCGCCTTATGTCTCGTACTCGCTCCCGAAGAGCAATAGTGATGCCAATAATCTACGCCAAAAGGCCAGTGCGGATTACTCTTACAGAGTATCACAGTCTCACAAACTGACGGGTCCACGCCCTCAAACCCAGTCTTCTGCTTTCTCTTCCAATGCAGAAACGATCAGTCAGATGTCTACCCCGTCTGATCCTGACAACAACAGCACTTCTGGGTCCTCTCTGAGGAATAAGATTACGATAACCCGTCATAGGAGCAATTCCAGACCTCAACAGGTAACGGACGCAAGTACAGATCCCACTAAACTCGAGCCCATGCCGCCACCTAGGCTTCCAGCGTCTGCAACCTGGAATAACCTATCAACGGCCAAAAATATAAGTCCCACGCTTAAGCCAAGCTATTTCAAGTCAAAGCGACAGGTCTCTGTATCAAACGCGGCAGGCTCGCCAATACGGAAACCCAGTTTCAGCAGCGAACAGAGTCTTGCTCTAGAGCACAGCATCTCGAACGAGTCGCGTCATAGTGATGTCGCATCCCATCGTTCTGCATCGTCAATCCTCTCCCCAGTTCACAGGATCCTCAACTCTGCGAAGTCGAGCGCTGCCGCCAACTCCACGTCTTCTGATCTAAACGTTGACCCCGATATTCAGATAGCTGACGATGAGATGCGGAAACTGAATGGCAGGCGCAAAGATTTCGAAAACGCGGCGAAAGAGTTGGATGAGCTGCGCCGCAAAGCTGGACCGAAAGAACGTGTCAGCCCAGCTCAGGCTCTCAAAATGGCAAATCTTAACATCTTTGAGCGTGGTGAAATTATTGACTTCAAAGATATCTTTTTCTGCGGAACTCAACATGCAAAGAAACATGTAGGGGACTTGAATGCGCAGGCCGCAAACTTCGGCTACGACGATGATCGCGGTGATTACAATATTGTCATTGGGGACCACCTAGCCTACCGATACGAAGTCATCGATGTTTTGGGCAAGGGAAGCTTTGGTCAAGTTCTAAGATGTGTTGATCACAAAACAGGCGGATTAGTTGCTGTGAAGATCATCCGCAACAAGAAGAGGTTCCACCAGCAAGCCTTGATTGAGGTTAATCTGCTTCAAAAGCTCAAAGAGTGGGATCCTCATCGTCGGCATAGTGTTGTCAATTTCACACAAAGCTTCTACTTCCGGGGTCACCTCTGCATATCTACAGAACTGCTCGGAATGAATTTATATGAATTCATCAAAGCACACGACTTCAAAGGTTTCTCAGTCAAGGTCATCCGCCGTTTTACGAAACAGATTTTGAGTACACTGGTGCTTCTCCATACCAAGAAAGTCATCCACTGCGATCTCAAGCCCGAGAACATTCTCCTTGTACACCCAATGAGTTCCGAGATCAGAGTTATCGACTTTGGCTCTAGCTGTTTCGAGAACGAGAAGGTGTATACCTATATTCAGAGTCGCTTTTACCGCTCACCAGAAGTCATTCTTGGCATGTCATACGGTATGCCCATTGACATGTGGAGTCTGGGATGTATCTTGGCTGAGCTGTACACGGGATATCCGATCTTCCCGGGAGAGAATGAACAAGAGCAGCTTGCTTGTATCATGGAGGTTTTCGGGCCTCCAGAGAAACACTTGATTGAGAAGAGTACACGGAAGAAGCTCTTCTTTGATTCCTTGGGCAAACCGAGATTGACGGTCTCCTCAAAAGGTCGACGTCGGCGCCCAAGTTCGAAGGAGCTCAGGCAGGTCCTGAAATGCGACGACGAGGCTTTCCTTGACTTCATCTCCCGCTGCCTTCGTTGGGACCCGTCTCGCCGACTTAGTCCGCACGATGCCCTCAGACATGAATTCCTAACAGGGCTCAAGATGCCCTCGCGGCCCAGGACATATACAGCGAGTTTGAATTCCCCAGCCAAGCGGGGGAATACTCTATCAACCCCGTCGTCAGGTCGCCCACTTCCAGAACCACCTAGTACGAGTCTCAAGCATGGCACCTTTCTCCGTAGCCGAGATGTCTCAGGTAGCTCTCCAGTCAAGCCGATAGCCGGAAAGCGCCACTCAACGGTGAGCGGTGTCCAACCGTCCACCCCCAAACGAAGTACAACTACTTCTACAACGACTCCTGGGTCAGCATTGCCTCGCGTTGCTGGTAGGAGCATCAGTGGAAAGCCAGACCTCGCAACAGCGGCGGCTGCGACCAGCCTGGTGAGTTGAATGCTCTACCAAATATTGGCGTACGGACTGCTAACCTTCATTAGAGAACTAAATAGGGCTGAGTGCTAACTTCTCTCTATTTTCTTCGTATGCCTTTTTCCTTTTGTTTTTCTCCTTTCCATTGCATTTTTGTAATAATAATTGTTTGACCATTAAGTTGCATAAAGAGGTCGGGAATATTTGCGGTTTTGTACCCCTTTCATGATTCAAACTGCGCCGATAGAGGTGGACGAGGAAAGAGTTCATCTTATACCCTTGAGCATTTTCATGCTTTTACACGATGCCTTCGTTTTGTCTCCTTCTTTGAGCATACTGTTTGCAATTCTGTTACGACCTCAGAAGCCAGCTTATTGCTCCACATTGCATGTCTAACCCCTTGTCGCTCGCTGACTATAATTTCCTCTTGGATCTTATCATTATTTTTTTTTTATTTCCTTCTCTGCTCGTTTCATATCTGCCCGATGTTTTACCCATATCGATGGACTCGATGGTATTTTCCATTCGCACAGGACATTGTATATTTACACTTCTTTTTGTTCTGTCACTTCACTTTTCAGCTCTACCCATGTTCTTGGATGGTGGGAGTGTCAGGAGTCATGGGTTATGTTAGAATCAGAGCATCGATGCATATACTGACGAAGACGAGTATAGTTAATTATCATAAGCATTCATAGATTCTGGGAGGTGTACATATAATGGAAATTCAAGGAATGGACGGGAGGGTCCATCGCAACGAGAAAGATGTTCTTTTACAGATCAATAAACAGTTGGTACTTCTTTTGAAGGTGGTCGGCGATAAACAAATACATCCATAGATCAGATAAGATCTCCCGATAAGCAGCGAATTGAATACTTGGCCTCAAGCGCGCAACTGCTCCGCCTCCATTGTTCTTCCCCGACCCATTCATTTCCACCCTACCAAACCCACCCCTCGGCCCAATTGGCGTCCATTCATTTTCCCTTCTTTTCAATTCTCATTCATGCCTTGATCGATTGATTTTATCCGCCCCTTGCCATACAGATTCGTCATGAATGGCTTCGCATCGCACGGCCTCGACGAGGATGCGTTCGGGGAGAAGTCCGGGCTGCAGGGCGGCCTGAAGACATTCGATGCATTCCGTACGTCTCTTGGACTCAACAGAAGCCCGCCGTAAATGTAAAGAAAGAAAACTAACATACATGATCCAGCCAAAACCAAACCCGACTACACAGCTCCCTCCCGCCGCGGCGGCCAATGGACCGTCCTGATCCTCCTCATCTGCAGCATCTTCTCCATCTCCGAATTCAAAACCTGGTTCAAAGGCTCCGAGAACCACCACTTCAGCGTCGAAAAGGGCGTCTCGCACGACCTGCAGCTGAACCTGGACATCGTCGTGCAGATGCCCTGCGACGCCCTGCACGTCAACATCCAAGACGCCTCCGGCGACCGCATTCTCGCCGGCGAGCTGCTGAAGAAAGACCCCACCAGCTGGAAGCTCTGGACGGACAAGCGCAACTACGATCACGAGTATCAGACGCTTAGTCGCGAGGATGCGAGCCGGTTGGAGGCGCAGGAAGAGGACGCCCATGTGGGCCATGTGCTGGGTGAGGTGAGGCGGAACCCCAGGAGGAAGTTCCCCAAGGGTCCCAAACTGCGGAGGGGAGATACTGTCGACTCGTGTCGCATTTACGGGAGTCTGGAGGGGAATAAGGTGCAGGGAGATTTCCACATCACGGCCAGGGGTCATGGGTATAGGGATATGGGGGGACATTTGGATCATTCCAGTATGTTTTCTTTTTTTTTCCTCCTTCTTTTCTGCGCGCGCGCACACACACACACACACTCTCTCTCTCTCTCTCTCTCTCTCTCTCTCGTGTGTGATCTGCGCATGGATTATAGAATTCAAGATCAGGACTAATGCATCACAGCATTCAACTTCTCCCACATGATCACCGAACTCTCCTTCGGACCTCACTACCCAACCCTCCTCAACCCCCTCGACAAAACCATCGCCACCACAGAATCCCACTACTACAAATACCAGTACTTCCTCTCCGTCGTCCCCACAATCTACTCCAAGGGCCACCAAGCCGCCCTCGACAGCACCCTCTACACCTCCAAACCCATCCACTCCAAGAATGTCATCTTCACAAACCAATACGCAGCCACCACCCAGGGCGCCGAGCTGCCCGAAAACCCCTACTACATCCCCGGCATCTTCTTCAAGTATAACATCGAGCCGATCCTGCTCATGATCAGCCAGGAGAGGACCAGTTTCTTGTCGCTGTTGATTCGGCTCGTGAATACCGTTTCCGGGGTCATGGTTACCGGGGGTTGGCTTTATCAGATGGCCGGGTGGTCTCGGGAGCTGCTGAGGAGAGGGAGGAAGAGGAGGTCCGAGGGTGTGCTTGATGGGAAGTTGGCGGATGAGTAGTTGATGTTTTCTTTATTCTTGTTTTGTTGTTTGGGTTGTTGGGTTGTGATTGAATTGAATGGTGTCTTATTTTCGGTGTTTTTTGTTTGTACTATTTCCCTTTTTGTTGTTTGTCTATTGATTGCTTGGTACATATCGGTACAGCTACAGAACTAAGACATCCGGAAAGATGTGATAGAGAGAAAAAATGAAGGATAAAACATCATCAATTGGGATATCTACGCATCCGCCGTACTCCATCCAACCACAGTCCGTAAGCGTGAAACATGAACCTTCTCATAAAATAATACATAAAGGGATGACCAGCTCAGGTACGAAATCTAGGTCTAGATCTCAAATATCTCACCCATTCCCACTCCAGCCCCTTCTGCTCCAGCCCGACTATCAACCAAATCCAGTCGCCAGCCATGCCAGTCCTTGAGCTTCTTCTTGATCTCGCGGACCCATTCCACGCGCTTGCGTGCTTCTTCCTCGGCCTGGGCGCGGGCAAACTCTGCCTCGTCAAACTCGTCGTCCAAGTTCTCCTCGGATAGGAGTTCGAGGCTGCCCCGTGCAGCCGGGGGGTGCTGTTTATTCGAGGGCGCGCGCGCTCTGTTTCCATGTGTGTTACTTCCAGTGAAGGCAGCGAGTCCGCTAGAGAGTACAGTCGAGAAGGACGAGTGCTGCTGCATGCTGCGTCGGCGGGCATGCTCAGGAGCTCCACCGATGAGGTCAACATCGTCGAATGCATTCGCAGCCTGGTTGGCATTGGAAGCATAAGCGACGCTCGGTTCACGGCCATGGGCAAGTTCCTCGCGCTTCTCCTTCCATACCCCGCGCCGGAGGTCAAAGATTTCGCCTTCCAGGTCGCGGATTCGGCGCTCCAGCCGGGACCGTTCTTCGTCCTCGAGTTCATCGATGCCGTCGTCGTCCGCGCCAACGGCGTTGCGCTTGCGAAGCGTCTCCTGCTCTTCTTTCAACCGGAGATTCTCATTCTCGGCGCTGGCTAGTCGACTCCGGAGCTGTGCGACCTCTTGTTCTGCCTTCTCGCTCTCGCGCAGGCGGCTTGATGCCGTGTTTCCGACTCCTTGTGCAGGTTACCCATTGCTTCGATCTTTTTCTCCAGCGTTTCGATCTTCTTCTCGGATTCGGATTTGCCTTCCTTTGCTTCCGAGAGCTCCCGTTCTAGGTTCTTGATCTGGGTTTCTGTGGAGGTCTTATCCACCCCTTCCTTGACGGCTTTCTCTGAGGCACGGGTTAAGGCATTCTTAGTCTCCGTGAGTTCGCTCTGTGCACTCTCCAGCGCTGCTTCGCTGCTTGATAGCTTCTGTTCCAGAGCCTTGATCTGCGCCTCGTGCGCACTACTAGATGAAGACTGATCCGTAAGCTGGGCGCGCAGGTTCGAGATCTCAAGCTCCATAGCCTCAATAGTAGCAGACTTCGACTCAAGCTGCTGCACAAGGTCCGCAGGAGGGGACTCCGCCGAGGCGGGCGACGCAGTACTCCGATGCGTCTTCTGCAGATGCGAGTTCTGTCTCTGCAGTGAGGCAATCTCCGCTTTCTATAACCACCGTCAGTAACAAACCCAACATAGCTATAGTCACGTCCACATCACAACCGTAGCAAGAAAATAAAAAAGGAAAAAGAGGGAAGACTAACCAACTCCTCAACCTCCCCCACCTTCTCCTCAGCCTTCGCCAACTTCTCCTTCAACTCCGCAACATCGACACTCGCCTCGCGGAACTCCTCCAACTGCTCCTCCGTCTTCTTCCACCGGCCCGTCGCCTCCTCAAGCTCCTTCTCCAACCTCCGGTTCTCCTTCTCCACCTCTTCAATCCGCCCCGCCTGCTTCCGATACACCTCATGCACAGAGTCCCCGTCAGCCGTCAACGGCGGCAAAGAAGGCGACTTCAGCATCGCAGACGGCGGCGACGCACTACCCTGCGAGACGGACCCCTTCCGGAACGACGACGACCTCATCTTCGACTGGATCGACAGCGAAGGCTGGCGGCCGTGGCGCGACGGCGTGTCTGCTTTGACGGCGGGCTGGGGCTCCGTTGAGGGGGGGGAAGGGGAGGTGGGTTGTTCGGCGGCGGCGGGAGGTTGTTCAGGTTCATCTTGTTGTTGCTCTTCAGCCTTATCTTGCACGTCGTCTGTTGGTTTCGACTCCGATTCCTCTTTCGGGGATTGTGGCTGCTCTTCTTCATTCGCTTGTTGTTTGTCTTCAGTGCTCGGCGAAGACTCCTTAGCCGCAGAAGCCTCAGAACTAGATGATTTCTTATTCGCCTTCTTCTTCTGCTTCTGTAGTTGCGCGACCTGTTCGGGTTAAGTTACGTCAAACATGTATTCGCTGAGTCGTGTGTTTGGTTCCAGTGGAATAAAGGCCTTGGGTGGGATAAGCAAGGACGTACCCTCTTTTTCGCGGCGGCTAGCTTCTCGGCCTTGGTGCGCTCTTCGTCGTCGGCCATTTTGGTCGGTAGTTAGGGGAAGAAAGAGAGTGAGGTGGGTTAATTGTTTGGGTTGGTGAGATTCGGGCGTGTATGTATATGCGGATCAGAAGGGACAGCTTTCCCCGTCGTGCACGGACCACTTTGTTGTTTCGTACCTTATGGAATGCTGGCCTAGCCGATGGATTATTCTATGCGTTCTTGTTGGGAGTGGGGTTTTAAGGGTTATTTTGGGTTTCGTTTTTGTTTCTCTTCTATTACTGGGTTCTACTGTTCACTCGATGTGGCGTTCCATAATTAATTCAGTGATCAAGAATTGTACATACATGAACAGAAAGACAACGCCCCGGGCGCGCCGCAACGAATTGGGTATGCAGCGCAAAATCATCAAAACTTACACAGCGAAACAACGACTTCATCAATAGGGGCCTATTATCATCCCTGCCGGTCACCAAACGCCCCAAACCTGTGCAGATGCGGCCGACATAATAAACAACTGGGCAAAACGTTGAGAATATCCATATTGAATCGAAGAAAAGGGGCATCAGTGGAATATTAAAAGGTAAGACAGCGAAGCAATAATAAGTCGTAATGGGTTGAATCGTAAACTTAAACCTCCATCGAGTCGGCAATTTCCTCACTCATAGCACGTACCGTGCCCTTGCTACCGGATCTAGATCGGAATTCCTCGTCGCTGAGCACGTAGTTGTCGTATTCGTCCACAACAGGTCGGGCAGGCTTGCCGACGTGTTCTTCGTCAGACTCACTCTCGTCTTCGAAGTGCACTGCTTCGCCGAGCCAGTAGCGGGCCCGCTTACTTGATCCGAGGTCCGGCGTGAGATAGCCGTCGTCGTACGTCCTCTTTGCGGTCGGCGTAGCGACTCCATCGCTCGGCGTGTGACTGAGAATTGGGATGGCTCTGAGGTAGAGATAACAGACACGCTTCCGGATACGGTTAAAAAAGAAGTAGTGTAGACTCCAGATCGCTCCGTCGTCCGCATCAGAAGGATCCTCTTCCGGGGAGTAAGAGTAGATGGAGCACTCCTTGAGTGACAGCTGCTCATCGATTATTCGCCACATCCTCGGCCCCCATGTAGCAGAGGCCCCGGCATTGTATGACCCCGAGATGGTCACGGGGGATGGGGGAGCGAGGTCGATGGCTTCACGCGGTCGGAGATTAAATAACGTGGAATCGATCGTATTCATCACTCTTTTGAGATTTCTCTCGCGGTGGAAGTCGGACGGGCGCAGAACATGAGAAAAGTCGTAATCTGGATGGCTTGCGTTCAAAGTTGCGATCAGATAGGCGAAGGTCCTCCGGCTGGAGTGGTCGCTCAGGGGCCCGAAGGGGCTAGACCGGGATAGATTGAGCGATGCGGCCGCGTCCGACGCATTTGGCGGTGACAACGATGCGGACAGGCGAAGAGTTGATTCATACTGTGCTTCAAGCGACTGTTCGATGTTCTTATACAATTTGCGGTCGGCACGTGCTGCCTTTGTCGTGTAAAGATCGCAGCCTCCGAGAATGTGGCAATCGCCAGTGTCGAAGTTCAGGGAACTCGTCACGTCCTCGATCTCAGGAAGGGGAAGGAACTAGTGCAAGCAAAACGTTAGTACGGGATAAGGGATATGGATGTTGATATTGGGGAATATTGGGGAATATTGGATTGCGAACCTTCATCTTTGACAATAGCGGTCAAGCGTCCTGACCGGTCGATCCAAGGCGCAAGATAAACAAGGCGATTAACACTCTGTCAAAGGCAAGAGGGTCTCTTCTTGCAACCAGCAGATGAACCAGGTATCAACGGTATCCCAGGCGATAAGGCAGCGTCCACGTCGCTGAAACGTAGCCGATCGGAGATAAGAGGTCGTGAGTTGGCAACAAGTGCTAGGCTGGCTGGGCAGTTATTCAATGGACAACAGGTGAGTAGTTTGAGTGAATCACGGCCAGATAGCCATGGCAAATAAGAGCAGATGGAAAGGAAGATGGAATGAGATCCTGGAGGGACACTTGGGGGATGGACGATCGTACGGCAATTGGGGGCCTGGGGGAGTTGCGCGTTGCGCCTCCGGGTCGGAGCGGGTCACGTGGCGGCGGTGTCGGCCAGTGATATCATTCACCCACCTCACGGGGGCCGATCCAGAACACGAGGGTCAGTACCAAACATTGGGATGAAAGTCACTTTCCTTGGTCAAATCCAATAATTGCAGCAAGTTCATAGCCATGTGGTATTAATTAGTGGTCGTGAACTGGGTAGAAAACAACGCCTAGTATGTACGTCCAACGCCAATATGTCCTCCCAATATTCCCTAAAGCGGAAATCCAAATATAGAAACACAGGAACGCTCAGTTGCCGAATGTAAAAGGCCGCTACATAATCTTCGTAACCACATCTTCCTCAACCTAGAATGAGGACAATCCATATTAGCGTCGATCGACGGTAAGGCCAAAGGAGGATCGAAACGCACGAGACGCAGTAAACGACCGCGGTGGCAAAAAAGGATTGCAGGCAAAACAATTGGGTGAGATATAGCAAAGTGGAGCGGAAGAGCAACGCGCGCATAAGATACCACAAGCCCAAGAAACAAGGGGCAGCAAAGAGAACCGAGCATCACAAAAGAACAGACTAAAACAACCTCGCAGAGCTCTGACGATGGATACGATCACATCCGATCATAGTACCCTCAGACCCCTGCCATCGTTTATGCGAACTTCTAAGCAAGATACGGCGGTCAATAACTCACCTCCATGTCTTCCAGGCTGTCCTGTTGACTGATGCACCGGAGAACATTCTTCTTGCTGCTCTCCTGCATCTCTCCCGCCAGCAGTAACTCGTCCAGGATGAAGTATGCCTTTTGGAAGTTGAAAATAATGTCCAGCTCGCAGACGTTACCGTAATACTTGTCCATCTGCTCGACGTAACGATGCACGACTTCGAGGGTAATCAACTCGTTGTCGGTCGAAGCGCATCCGGCGATGAAAAAGAGGGAAGCATAACGGCGGTAAACAACCTTGCTGTCTGGTAACAAATGTCGGTTAGGAGGGGGAGTGGTTGTGGGATAGCAAGTATAGAAGTGGCTGGATCCGTACCCTTATACTCGAGGAAGTTGCACATCCTTGTCCGACGGGACAGGACAAGTTGGGTCACATCTTTGATGATCTTGGCCTTCTCCTTGGGAGAAAGAGTGGTGAACCATTTGGCCAGGCGCTGTGAGAAAGAATTCAGTCAGATGCAGCCGAACTTCCGGACCGGTCAAAAAGTCGGGTGGGCCACGAGGGTAAACGAACCACTTTGCCTGACGGGAGAGGAGAATCAAGTAGCTAGATGGGGAAATTAGCGCACTCCCGTTGCCAATAATTGGCAGGGCAAGCTCACTGAATAGCCATTGTGTGCGGTGGGAGTGTGATTTGTTGATGATGGGGAGCGAAAAGGCCACGAAAAGGAGTTGGTGGAGGGAAGAACACAATTCAACACACTCACCAGAGCTTCTGGAGAAATTCTTGCACGGGCGCGCGGAGGGGGTTTTTTGGCTACTTTCTCGCACCCTGCCCCGCCTGTCAGGAACAACTTCCCTCTCTCCTGGTTTATTTTACTTCCTTCAGTCATTGTTGGTTAATTTCTAATCCTTTAGGAATCCTTCAGGAAACGATTGTCACGGTACACATCTGTCCTGGTCGCTCAACACCACCATTTATTTCTACACAACATAACCCTCTATTCAACCCAAACACAACAACAACAATGCAAGTATACTCGAGGACGTCACCCTCGGCCGGTGCTCTCAAGTATAGTCCCAAGTTGATACACGTGGGATGTAATCATATCTCTTCTGACGCCAAGCGATGAATCCTCGGTAGTTTCACGCTAAGCTTCTGCACTCGAACCCGGTCGAAACGATTGGCCGCGCTTTGGCTGGTCATATCAAAGCAAGCAAGACAAACTTTTTAATTTCTAAAGTCCAGTTTCAATATTAGGCATTCAACATACACATTGCACTTAATACAAGTCCGAATCAGACCACTTGATGCTTCGATTGGCCCCGAGACGACAAGTAATCAACCTCGGGACATCCATCGCTCTACTATTGAACCCAAAGATCAAAGCCCGACAGGGCAAATACCGGAGTATAACAAATTGTTAATAATGTAGACTGACGGTTCATAAAATTGGATACTGCGGCGAGCCAGGAAAGTGGGGTGTTCCTCGATTTATCTTCATGCGCAGAACCCTAACAATAAATATATTTCATCACATCCACTATAGGGAGTTCTCGGGGCCCATATCCCAATCGTACACACCCACGACATTCAAGGGAGCGCACCTATAATATGCTTGATATAGCCCACCGGCCTCATTCATTCATCAAATCCTGTAAAATCCCGCATGCTACTGTAAGCCCATAGTCCACTCTTGATCACACAACCAGTCAAAAGTCCCCCGGTAAAAAGAGCCACAGTAAGACACACCAGCTCGAGATACCCTATGTCCGTGATATCATAGAAAGTATAATTCAGGTATGGAGGATACTTGCACGCCTTCCAAGGTCGATTGCCTTCACCGGGGCTATATTTTTCTCTCCCAATGGTTTTGCCCATACGCGGAATATGTTTGAAGTCAAAAAGCGTGCGTTCTCGGAACACTATCCCCTGGTACAAGAGGTCTCGGGAGAGCTGATACATAGAAATTAGTACAGCTAAATCACACGACATGCCAGACTTGTAAATCCTACCTTAATCATGAACTCGTCAAACATAGGAATCATCCGCTGCAGACAAGCAAGCCCTCGAACAAGAACACAGTATCCGGCAAACATGAAGTGGTAGACGAACCCAGGCTTCCCAAGCTCAAGATCGTTGCAGATCTCGTCCCCGTTAATCCACCGACTACCAGCCTCGATGAACTTCTTCGAGACATGGAACGGGGCAGGAAGGTTCGCCACGCATTCGACAAAATTATAAGCGACTACGCGTGACGTCTCCGTGGTATGCAGCTCGTGGGCGACCATGCTCTCCATTGTGTGCTTGCTCTTTTGCACAGTCTCGAAGTATGATGTCGGTGTTCCAAGAAGGTAACCAAGGTATCGAAAGAGGGCGATGTAGTCTTCGACCTCGTCGGTGGAAGGGGTGATCTTAAACCTAGGCAGTTGGAGCCACATTGGATTGCAGCAGAAAGTGCTAATGGAGTGAATGCTATCTAATGCGTTGACAGGAACACCATAACGGTCGATATCGAAATACTGAGGTTTTGTGCGACACAGATGTAAGATACGCTGTCGGACGGATGAATGGAGAAGTCGGACGCGGACGGTTGCAATATGGCCTTCGCCGCCGGGCTGGATGGCAGCGAGGTCATGAGTAACATGAACCAACCATTGGAAGGTCTCGAGCAATCTCTTTAGCAACATACGAGTTGAGAAACTGCCAGTCCGGACTAGGACTTCTACGACGCCGGAGGCTGCCTGAATGTAGAATCCGAGTCAGTCATACAATCTTCAATGGATTCACGTCGGCCAAAGGGAGTTATACAGAATTTTCTGCTACAAACCCCTGTAGCGCGAAGCCGACAATGTTGGCAATCATATAGCGATGCAAAAACCGCTGGCCTCGCTCAAGTTGCTCCCAGTCAACCCAGTCTGGGACTGTGTGAAGTTCTTTCCAGAATTGGGTTAAGACCTCATCCTCCCCATGATGGTCTCGGAGAATAGTGTAAAGATCGCTTGAGGGTGGACTGGTTCCTTTTGTCTTGTTATCTTCTAGCAATGAAGATCGTATGAACTGAAGCCGCTCCAGAGCAGCAGCGCCCAATGTGTCAAACTGCTGACGCAGAGGCTCTGTCTTCTCTCTAGAGAGATGGCTATCCGTCCAAGTAAAAGAGTATCCCCATTTGCTTATAGGGTCACCAGGGTTTGAGTGAGGAGGCAGACTGGTGTTCATCTCGTTCATGACTTGAAGATAAGCTCGAGGATATCAATGTAAACAAAGCTGGGAGCATTTTCGGTCATTGAGGGTTGATGTGAGTATTTATGCTCATCTACTTGCTATAGAACCGGTACTATACTTGAGTTCAGTATAGACGGTCCATTTCAGACGACATCCGGCCGAGTTTGTCCTTCTCACATCCCGAGACGACCCAACCTCTATTCTGTCCCCACATTCGTCAGGTTTTGGCGCCCGGAGTGCGCCGTGTACAACAGATGCTAGTTTAGCATCCGGAGGCCACCCGAGGCCATAGAGGGGGACTCCAAACCATGTAGATCGGCGCCCAGCGCCTTATAGTCCAATTGAATCGAACTACGTATATTGATCAAGGTGTTGTATTGCTTTTTCGAGGAGCACAGTGGGGATATTGGCCAACATTATGTGGGCTGACGGGAGGTTGGGATGATAAAGAAATCATATGAAAGAAACTGATATCCACACGCAGCTATACGTGGCTATACCATTCCATTGGAACCGGACACAGAACCATGACTTGGTCGAGGCCCCATAAAGCGCGCTAAATCCATTAATGAAGAACGGTTCCCCACTTGACTAGACTCACTCCATCGGGTCGGGGGACGGATAAGAGATCCGCCCAGGCCTATAATTCAATAAATCGAATTAGTTTGAGCAACAATAAAGTTTTAGATATGGCCTGAACAAGGAACCATGATCGTCATGGACGAGATCCCGATCTAAAGATCGATAGTGCATGAACCTCAGCCTCTGTGGCGAAGTATAGACGGAAATGTTAGGACGATCCTTAGTGAACTGTGGCTATCAACTAATCCACCTTCTTTATTTTGTCTGCAGGTAGAAGGATCAGGAAATGAACATCCTTTGAAAACACATCATCGGTGTAACCCGTGAGCCAGGCTTGTCCAGAAAGGACAGACCTTGACATGATTGAATCTTGCTTGTGGATTTGGCGATCATCCAAGGGATGGCTAGTCTTGCCTGGAAAATGAGTATCATAATCGCAGTATTTAAGGATGAGAGCGGCTAATAGAGTACCTATTTGATTTCAGTAATTAGCCCCTTCAATTCTCACGCCGAAGCTTTCATCAGTTTATTTGTCTTTACCATGGAAACTTCACAACCTTCTGACGAAATAATATTGCCAAGGAACGCTGCGCGTAGAGATGCCCATGTCTCTGTACGCCTTCCTAACATGTTTGTGCTCTTTTTATCGGAGAAGCCAGTAATCAACAGGTGTTATGAAACGGTAAAGGAGGAGTCCGAGTTTTGGATAGCAAGGTCAGTACGTCCTACAGAAGTCATAACATGCAGCTCTAAGCAGGCGCATTCCAGAATATGCGCGTTTGGAAACAGGACTCGAAGAGTGATCACGAAATGCGATTTTTCGTACTTCTGCTCAATCGTAGTACCAGATGCTTCTCCTTTAGAGCTTCGGACAGTATGTGATTGGGGCAACTGGGTATGTGTATCGATCATAACACGATGCCCTTGAAGACATCGAAGACATCGACCTGCTAACCTGTGTTGTCACTTCTAGGTCTTTCCGTTCGATGACAGTGAGCTTTGCAGTTATTGTCTTCCTGGTCAAAATTTACTAAGCCATTTCACTCCAGTGTTCGACAATGGAGGTCTAAAGAATGACCCCATACAAGCTCAACAATTGGTCGACAGTCTCCTAAATGGTATGCAAGATATTGGGACTGTGTCAGATGATAGCGAAGAGCACCCTTTGGTTCAAGTCCATAATTCCGTATGGCATCGCCTTACCAAGGTACCTTTCTTCTGCTCTTTTGTCTCTTTTTTACTTTGCCGGGAGAGCTTTGCTAACGTGCATAGACTTCTCCAGTTGGTATGATCCTCAAGGCTGAGACTGCTTGTGCCCGGACTAAGGAATGATCAAGGTGTCCGTCGCAGGTTTGCAAAGGCTATGAGAGATTACTGCAATGGAGCCATCGAACAAGTCCACAGTTGTTCTAGGGGTGAATACCCGACACTAGACGAGATGCTCGCATTACGTAGACAGTCTGCCGGAGTTTCACCTCTCTTTGCCCTAGTTGAGTACGCCACCGCAGTCACTTTAGGTATATTCGCGCAGGCCGTTAACAATCAGTAGGTATGGCCACAAGCTCCATATCCCAGACTCAGTCTTCGAGACTAGAAGCATCAAAGAGATAGAAAGAATCGGAATTGACCTCGTTCTATTGTGAGTGTTAACCTCGAAGAGAGATGAACCAGGAGCTCAACGACCATAGGCAAAACGATATTCTCTCGTATTGCAAAGAAGAGGTCAGTATCTATGAAACCTTTAGAAAGCCAGATCACCCAGTATATTTCTGCTGACGTACCGGAACTGTAGAAAGAAGGTGTAGCTCACAACATGGTTGCCGTTTGTCGACGTGCGGGAATGCCTGCACAGATGGCCTTTGACCACATCGGTGGTATGCTCCTTTCCCGTTATCACGACTGGTACCTTGCGCTAGCAGACCTACCCAGTTGGGGCGAGAGTGTCGATTCGGAAGTTCAACAGTACATTCGTGGAGTACAGAACGTTGTCAAAGCTAATCTTCACTGGAGGTGAGCGACGGCTGACTGCAAGCTTTTATGCTAGCATTCTGATCTGACACTAATGCTTGCATAGCTTTCGCTCCGGACGATACTTTGGAGAGGTGAATGAAGAGGTCCGAAAGACTGGCATCGTAAACGTGCAGCCACAACTTGTCGATGAGCTGTCAGGTTCTCTAAGGATGTCTGTGTAGCTGTTTTCCTGACTAAAGGAGTTAATGAATGTTTTTATCCATCACTTTTCGTTTTGTATGACGTTTCGATATTGTCAGTGTTCTGAGTTGTTGAAGAGCACCAGAGGGGCAAGACTGGGGGCTGGAGGCGTGACTCACAGCTTGTCAAAGGGATTGCATAAAAAGGTTAATCTAATTGAACATACGCGTATCCATATATCATAGTTCACTCCTATATTTACAGCTGACGATAGAAAATATCAAACTTAAGCTTCATATAACATTACGATATCGAACATACAGCAAAGCAGATACAAAACTCCAACCTTCTCCGAATCACCTAATTATTCTCCATCTCCTCCATATCCATTTCGCTCTTAGCTTCCTGCCCAGAGCTAGAGTGGATATACATATACTGCCCCCCAACTCCATCACGAACCCGTAGAGTATTATTAACAGATGTATGTAATTAGTATAGAATTGCTGGCATAGTCGTTTTTCATATTACCGCGAGACACGATGGGTTGTGTTCATCAATTGACGGCGTTTCCAAAGCGTTGACAACGTCACGTCATACGATTACTGACTAAAACATAAGCTATATGACTCATGCAGTTGCACAGGTAAGATCATGGGATACCGGACAGCTGGAACCGTAGATCCTGTCTGAAGTAACACGGTCAGTTCCTCATAGCAAATCCGAAGAGACGGCCATCTTACTCTGTTCCCCATGATTTCTCTCCTTAGACCTGGGCCATGCTCGGGCGGGCTCCACGGGCAGGACCCACCCGAGGGCGATGGCTGACGGCTCGGCGGGCCGCCAGGGTTGAAAGCGCGATGGAAGCCGTGTATCCAGCCCAGGCAAGCCAAAGGAAAGCAGTCGACGCCTGCGCCTCACGACAACGCTTCTCACGGTGCACGGAGCCGTTGGTTACCTCGTTGTGGAGAGTGTATTCCTAGATGATCGACAATCAGCCGGTGGATCTCAATCTCAATAGTGGGTGGGTCTGGTGATAGCACTGCTGCGATCGGGGTGCATCTCAGATCCCGAAGTTCGTGGACCACACGTACGTTATTGCTGCAGCTATGGGCCTCAAGCCTCGCTGCCAATGCGATACCGGCCGTAAGGAAGAAGATCGCATTGAGAGTATCCACGACGATCACGATGATCGGGTGGATCGCCCAGTCGATATTAATCGTTGCCGGCACCAAGTAGAACAGTGTGAACATGGAAAATGCCGAAACAAACATGGCATAATTGACGGTCGCAGGGTTTCCGCTGAATGCACCCGCGATCATGTTACCAATGAGGGCCATGACCAGCAGGGTCCATAGGAACTACGTCAAAGCGCATCTTGTTAGCTAACTCTGTGGTACCTGGTACAATATTGAACTGCCATCGCTATCGAGCGGGACATACCTCCCACAGTCGCAGACCGAGCTGAATCGCGTTCATAGCCATTTCGACAGCTTAGGGCTTTGTATGTGATAGTGGATATGATATGTCTAGTCTCGGACAGTCGCGTGCGGTGAAGCGCGTCGTTTGTGTTAGGGTATTCGCAACGGAGAAGAATCGTCCCAGGCGCTAAAAAGGCGCAAAACTTATGGAGCTAGTTAAAGATGGGTTGACAGATGTAAGGAAGGATGATAGGGATGATGGGGTTGATATTGTATGAACGGAATGTCCGGGTGGGCGGGCGATGACGATATGCTGCGGGATGGCTGCGACGTCATGCGAATCATGAAATCACCACCAGCAGAATTTTTTTCCCACTAAACGGATAGAGACAAAAGAATCACTAGATGATGGTATCCTACATTATATACTACCTAATCCACCTCGGCGAATATCCAACCGCGTCTCCTTGAGAAATAGTTGTCAGGCAGTGCCTAATCACTTCTTCTTAGCGCTAGCCCACTATAGTATGCATCTTATAACAACAAAGTATCACAGGCAACGTAGTGCTCTGTGCAACTTCCTCAGCCCATCATCCTATACAATCTTCCGCCTCGATCCGACATGAAACATAAATGCCGTCACCATTCCTTCGTACTCTCGATGGGCTCCAAACTTAAACCGACCGCGATGACGATCGGTTCCAAAGGTGGGCGCTCTGTCGCCCAATGAAACCCTATACTTTCGTTATAGATCCAGGGTCTCTCTGAAATTGATCTCCCCCTTACCAGTTATGGCATGTTCTAGCTTCGACGCATCTAGTTAGCTTCGATGGAGATAAAGATTTTCTCATGCATCCCATACTCAGGATCATAGCTCCAAAGTTAGACGAATCCTGTTTTCCAGCTTCATCCTAGTAAAGCCCATAGCTTTGTACCAGGAAGCATTCGTTCATAGTGAAGACAGTGAGGACGAGCGAGCCTCATCAGTATTGGAAAGGATCCAGTTTAGCTATATGGAAGCGCCAGTGGCGTGACTCGGTAGTTAGAGTCTAGGTACTTAGTTTGCTGTCTGCTGAACCACACCAGTCAATTTGAAATAACCGGGTCGTTCCTAGACCACTACCGATGGACATGGTTCAGGGTTCCCTGGCTACCTTACGAGGTCTGCGTAGTTACTGGATAACACGGCGCTAACTCCCGACAAGAGCTCATATGATGCCCGAAACCTATACATTGAGTTTCTATGATCTCGGACGACATGAACATCAAGAAAGTTTATCGAGTCATTGAGCACAAATGATACATGTGTAGAGTACATTAAATGGTTAAAAAGCAAATAACTCTGGTTCTGGTATACTAGTAGAAGACCCATACAACGAGTATGGCTTCACTTCGTAGATGGCTTAAATGCGCTTTGGACAGACCCGTACCTTCATCCTCTGTCAGTATATTGCGTGCTGTTCAACCAATGTGGTAGACTCACCCTTGAGTACATTGCTTGCCGAGGGCCACACTTCCGCTCCTCATGTAGCAGATCTTGGCTTTCCAGCAATCCGCAGTCGTGCACTTAGGACTCTTGACACTCATCTTACCCTGGAGCTCATTTTGCAGGGTTACTAAGTCTCCATCCCGCTCCATAGCTTCGGTAACCTGATGCCAGAATGTGGCATTCAGGGGGGCCTCCTTGTCCCACCCAGCGGCAGAGCCATATGTGTCCCGGGTAGAATATTCGAACTGATATACAGGTCCCGTCTCCGTAAGAGAGCTGAAATCGGACACGTTGCTAAAGAAGGTATATGCCTCGTAGATGTTGAAGTCCCCTGTATCCACTTCGTACAATCTGAAGCCGCTGTTTAGATTTGTCAGAGGGGTTACGCTGGGTCCAATCCAGCCAGTGGTCAAAGCATTTTCGGCATTCTGCATTGTACCATTGTTCGCGTAGTATACCATGAATTGATCTTCATGTGTGTGACCGAAGAATATGTTTGCAATAACATGAGGGGAATAGCGGTCGACAATCTGGTAGAAGAGATTCGTAGGATTAGGGAGAGGATTGGACCCATCCCATCCGGACAGAACGTGGCCAACGAGCCAAACACGCTCGCCATGGTCCTCTGCTTCCTGAAGCTCGGAGATCATCCAAGCAAAGATTCCGGAATTGTCAGGGTTTGTCGTGTTGATAAGGTTCAGATAGTTAGACTTGTACCAGAAATCTACATGTCACGCGTCAGTAAATCGCATTGTGAAGGTCCAGATGACTGCCCTACCTGTGTTGAACGTGATAACGCGCAATCCATAATGGGTTTTAATGCTGTATGCCCCATAATGAAGCTTGGCTTCCTGTACAGCAGCATCATCGATCCACCCTTCGTGTCGCCACAGCTCTGCAACATGATCATAGTTCCAACTCTGTTGCTGGCCCAATGGTCCTGGAAGGGTGTGTGGAGATTCAATGTTCTCAGGGCTAGTGTCGTGGTTGCCCAAAGCAGCGAAGACTGGACCTGAGAGGTACGACTTCAGCATGCCGTATACACTAGTCTCCGTATATTGCGTATAGGCCCGATCAACTTGAGTAGCAGGGTCATCATGCGAGACTAAATCTCCTGTATACAATGTGAAGGCTAAAGGATTCTTGTCCTTGTCAGTCCCAGTCAAAGGACCAACAGCTTCCAGAGCGGCAAGACCAAGGTCATATGGTGTATCACATTTGTATGATCCATAGACAGAAGCTGGAAGGAGAACCTGGTCCTCTGAATACGAGTTGTATAGATTGCTCCGGCAGCACATGCCCGACGAGCAGTTTGCCTCCGAATTCACGGAGTAACGTGGATCCAGATGAAAATCAGACAAGTGCAGCACCTTAATCCGCTCACCACTAGGGCTATGAACGCGTGGGTTTGCCGGTTTTGGCTTTGGAAACCAATCTGACACATTTAACGGGCTCGTCACAGGCTGACTGCAGAAAGTGCTGCTCAGGGAATTGCATATGTAGTCGCCGTCCAGACCCTGAACGTCTGCATAGCTAGAACCTGAGTCCAGATCGCGCCAAAGACACCCGCCGTATATTTTTCTTCACATGCATCGTCTGAAGCGAACTTGAACTTTTTACATAGAGCGATCAACGTTTCGGGCACTAATACAGGCGCAAACAAAGCAGCCGGCTTAGCCGCGGCCAAAGCTGCCTTGCAAGTGGTGCAGTTACTGTTCGTATTGTTCGCAGTGATGATGCGGGTAACATTGGCCACTACTCCGTGAACCAATGCCTGCTGTTGATGCTCCGATAAGTTCGCAGATGGCTCTGGGAAGTAGACGGGGTCGTTATTGTCCTTAGGGATAGTATCAGGATTCGTCAAGTCATAAGGGAATGTGATATTTAAGATAGGGTCATGAATGATCGGTTGCGGCTCTTGGGTTGGTTCTGCAGGAAGATAATAATAAGATCTAGATCAAGGGTTGTGAGTATTTTCTATAGTCGGGGCTGCGTCTGAACAATTGAAACGTACGAGAAGGCGCTGGTCGGGAAGCCAGCTGAGGCTACATAGGACGGAGCCCCAGGCAGTGACGAGGCAGCAAGGGCATCTGCTACGTTTGAGCTGACCCCGGCCAGAATGGCCTGCATTGTTATCCAATGGCACGCGTAACCCATGAGTCCAATAAGCATCGAGCGTTCGCTATATCGGACGCAATTGAGACGAGACGAAACGACGCCCACGGCCCCTAACAATGTAGTGACAGCGAGTACAACGTGCGACTATCAGCATGGCGGTTGAATTTGCGGAGTGCACTATTGTTTTATAAGGGACGGGTGATAGTTGTTGAGCGGGCAGGTATTGACTCTTCCTTATCTGGAAAGGGGATGCACGTGGCGCTGATCTTTAGATCGACTGGACACAGTGAGAATAGGAAATGAATTTGGTGGAGAAAGCGTCAGAACTAGTACGTACATCTTACGAGGCAAGGACATAGTAATGTTGGGCGATTCATACTCAATTCTACACATGGATAACCAACATGATGTTGGACATAAAGCGGTGGATAGAGAATAAGGTACATACATAAATACTATGGAGTGGTTTTCCAGGACCCATGGGTACTTTAAGGAACCGTGGGGTTTGATTGGTCGAATTCTACTCGTGCCGGGTTTTGTACCTTGCTCTCCAGGCAGCTTCTAGGTATACCTTAATAACTCCGGTATCAATGGCTACCTTTTGTTCTTCTGGTTTTCTTTTCTTCTCATTTTGCGCTCTCCTTAATGTCTCCATGGTCGAAGTTATAGGCTGATGCGCACCCTCGGTCGAAAGCTACGACTTGAAAGCCCTCAGGGGATTTAAAGCTCCTTTACATAACTATATCTTAAGGTATTATTCCCCTTCTTGATGGATCAGAACACATCATTGTATTTATGAACCTCGAGCCTATGATGTAGGATGTGAGACCGGTCATTCCTGTAACAATTACGATATCTCGTCTCAGACATGGGGAAAAATCAAATGTACGGGAGAAAAGTAGGCAAAATTCTATAAAGAGAACAGATGAAGTCATGTTAAGTTCTGACATTCAATTAAACAATAACGAGTGATATACTTATTTCTACCCCTCTTGACTCAACATGAGCACCAAAGTATAGATATATATAACTACGAACTCCCCAGCCCTATCTCCGGATTACGTGAGCAACACCAACAACCACAAGAACAATTCTAGAGATAGATTTCCACTCCACACTTAGTTGATGTGTTTCACGACGATGCTATAACTACAGCCTCGAATTCCATTCTAGGGGCAGGTTCGACTATCAAATCATCATTCAATCATGATTCGATTGCCAGGGACCCATCCTGGCGGAGATCCATTGTCTCGGGTACGACCAAGCTCAGGATCGACACGATTATCATCTTGGAGCTAACGGCTAGATCATGATGTCATGAGATTCCGAGACCCCGAGTTGAAATATTAACTCTGGGAGGTAATTAAAGCTTCGGGGAGTGGTCCATCATTATAGCTATTGACTGACCCATCTAGATACGTTCTGGGGTCTTCCGTGAAGTGGTTACGTAGTAGACATTATCATCAATTTTTATTTCCCAAAATGAATATATTGTTCTAATTTACCGAAGATAACTTTCTTCTCGTATTGCTTTTGCATTGCTTTTGCGATTGTGCTCCTGCATCGAGACTAAACACACTGTTGTCTTCAAAATGCCGGTTCTTCCCTCTTTACAAGGTTCCACCTTTGATAATGACATTCGCGATCGTCATTTGGTATATGACTATGCAGCGCAGGATGCGGAGGGAAATCCAGAAAAATGGCGCTATGAAATGTGGTTCTACAACGAGGACCGCATAAATTACGCCATTCATGGGGGCCCCATGGCGGGGCGTGCGGCGTTTCAATCAGCCACATACCAATGCATCCGGCCCGGAGAGTTATGGCAGTGTAACTGGCTCGAGGAAACTGGCACCATCTGTTCATTGGTTTTCGATATTTCGCGGAAGCATATCACGACCTTGATAGCATTTTCCAAGGGACACTGGGAGAAGAATACGACCGCTCGCGGCGATAAACGCAACCCAGAGGAGCTAGCACGGATGAGAAGTTTAGCTCAAATCGGTACCCAAGTCGATAGGATACTTTTGAGCGAACGGGCGGAGATCTTGGAGGATTTCCGTGGTCCGGGTAACTTAAAACCAATACAGATGGACTGGCCGACTTTGTGATAAAAAAGACATGGTAGCATCGAGAGCTGCAAGATTCGGTCCGGTCGGCTGTGGGCAAACAGGGGTAATCCGACCAATGCGTGGCACAACTTTGTCCGAAAGTGGGGAGCATTTCACTTTGTCCTATTCGGTATATAACCAAACAAGTAAACCAGGCTCCGAGGACACATTTCTTCAAGAGACCTGATTTTGCGTGCAACCCAACCCAACCCTCATGCGACAATGTTAGATGTCCACAAACGATAGCAGGTTTCTGAGAATTGATAGAATCCTGGCCACGTATATTAGGACTGGGTCATTTCAAGATGCCCAGAAGTGGAACCGAGTATTGGCTGTGTCCTTCAATGCCAACGTTCGTAGACCATGCTAGCGGCTAACGACATTGTCATTGTTCCTGGAATGACGGCAGTCATATCGCATTGAACTTGGACACGATAACCCACACGGCCGGGGAAATTCAGAGCCTGCTGCGGACGGGCATAGATCGTGAGAAGACCTAATAATCTCTTCTTTAACAGTAAATTAGTATCATGCATGTCAAGTCGTAGACATGCGAGCGAAGAGTGGTGGAATGCAGCAAGGTGCTATTAGTATGACCACCCAAGTTATGCAACTTGTGGCCGAGAGTATATAAAAGGGTATTCGACGTGACATCGAGAACTCTATGTGGAATCTTGATTTGATGACGAGCTCCCAGATGATGGAGCCTGAAGGCACACCAGTTCTATTTGAACATCGTTTTTGCTCTTCAGGGGTGGGCTGTCGTACGAAGGGCTTCGGCTGATGATGGCGACGGCCACTTGGTCTGCTTGCTGTTTCGCGGTCATATTGTCAATATACCACGTCTTCCAGGGGTCATCGCTAGAGCCAGGAGTTGACATCGTAGCGACCTTGTCGTTTACCGTCTCCGAGGCGAATGCTGACAAAAGAGTAAGTAACAGAGCAAACTAGCCTGGTAGCCTGAGACAAGGGACCTTCACGTACGCTTAACAGGAATTCTCTGGACATCGAAGAAAGGTGGTGGACAGTTGGGAAGAGCGGGCGGGTTGACAAGCATTTCATGCAACACAGTATCCAGGGGAAAGGTGTAATATTCTCCCTTGGCAGAGAGTTGATAAATAGCATCTTTTAATGTCTCCTTGAGGTTCATCGAGCATTGGGGTCCCCAAACACCGTCACATCCATTAGTCCCCCCGGAAGGGGTACCTGTCAAGTTTCCCACACGCAAGCCAACTTCCAACGTGCGATTTGTGTCGATGGCTGAACTGTCGACATGATGTGCTGCATAACCCATCCAAAAACTAGCCTTAGTCATAGGTTCGTTACCTTTACCCCGAGAGTTGGCGTCGTATGCATAATATAGTGAAAGGTCGTCCAAGAAGAGAGGAGAAAAGTCGAAGGAAACTGCCGTCTGGGCGTAAGGATCAACACATCCACCATCCCAGAAAGAACAGATCTGGGCGAGGCCCGGTTGTAGAATTGTTGACAACATCACTAATAGAAGCAGACATGGTCGGAACGTCGACCTCGTTTCCCAAGGGTCCGCCATTTGGAAGCCGAGGACTATTGAAGTAGAGCCGTCTTCGTGGGGATGACCGAGTAGGCTCAGAAGCGCAGCGATAACAGAGGAGCAGCGGCCAGCACAACTGGCATGCTCATAACCGAGTTGGTGATAAGAGGGAGGTCGATGGTAGTCGAAGGTGGTCAAAGGGATGTGAGTAACAGCACTGGTAGTCTTGTACTAAAATAGCGTCGGATATTCTTTAGAACATAATAGACGCGTCCGGTGATTCCAAAACGCAGAACGACCCAAAAGTGTAAAGAGTAAAGATATCTATCCTCAGCGCTTCGCTCGTCGAAACCCCGAACTCGATGGTCGATAGATTCGCCAGGTCACCGTTTTCCGTGTCAGCAAGAGAATGGGCCTCCTCTCATAAAACGCCTTCCGCCCTGACACCAAAAAGCTAAGGGATTTGGAAGAACGCTAAATTAGATGGCGGTCGCACTGAGAAGAAAGAGGGAGGGGGGAATGCTCCCTGTTGTCAGAATTGGGGAATCGAGGTAGAGCAAGGTCCGAGTCGGGACCCTCCGCTAGTTGGGAAAAACGACCGATTCTCAGCACGGGAGTAACGGGGGGTTGAGGCCAGCTGATTATGGGTGTGCAGTAGAGGGAGAGGCTGTAACCTAAGGGGACCTCCAGAAAGGTCTAAGGTAATGTCAGATAGAAGAAGGATCGCAAAAAAGGAATCACAACAAAAAAGAAAATAATCATTCATGAATGGTAAGTTAGTAGTCACGGTGCTGCTGTCCAAGTCTCTCTTTTCTCGCTCTCCTTCTCTCCTTCTGTGACCGGCGACTTATTATTGTCTTGCCTGTGAAACAGGGAGTGTGGATCCCGGATTGGCTCGAGAAGACTCATCTTTCGCCGGCTCCCTGGCGTTTTAGGAGGTATTCTTGGCCATTCTTGGTCACTGACGCTAACAGAACAGTCCCCGCATATTTTCTCACCGAATGCGGCAGTTCCGGCGGTTGATCCGCCCAGGGTGCCAGGAGGCGTCCACTAAAAACGCCGCATCCTCACATATTTCGGTCTTCCAAGGGTTCGGAGGGTCCTGAGGGGCCAATGGGTTCGCCTACATAGTCTGCTGCCAGCCACCAGTTGTACCTTGAGATTCAAACTAGTAAACAATCTTACCGTATTGTGACGTGCTCAAGTTACCTCCCACTGTGCTTCAGAGAAGTACTACCACTCCTCCGAGAAGGAGTAAGATGTAATTTACTTAAGGCAGTCGAAGGACAACAGTCCGTAATTAGCAAAATCTGAGTAATATTGATACTCAATTACCGAGGCATCACCGGGAAAGGTAATACTTTGATTTTTGATTTTTATTTTTCACTTTTCGAATCTTGATTACTAGGTCTTACAGTGTGCTGTTCACAGTACATAGGGTGTGAACAGTAATAAAATGAAAAGAAAAGCATTGTGCACATCTTACAGATACACAGTAGTTATCTTGCATATTGAAGAAGGTAAAGGGAAGAAAAAAGAGCTAGAGGAAATCATAAACAATAGTAAGCCAATAATACCCGCTGATGGGTCAATGTCTAATTAAATCTCTAGTATTACCTGATTAACGACGGGGAAACAACGGGAGTGGTTAACCAACTTGGCTTAGGGGGGAAGGAACCCAGCTAGTATTGAAGTAGCGCGGTACATAATTCCACCGGACCCTCGATCACACTGATGGTGGTGCTACTGTACAGAGTACAATCCATACCAGTGTTCCAAGTTGATACTCTTAGCACTCCGTATTGTCTCCTCAATTCAGTCCCTATCAGTATTTACCGACTAGGATGGGCAACAGACCAGCACCTGATTTATTGCCACCTATCAATTTAGTGTAGCATCGACCGAACTCTCTACGGTTTTCCCACCCGGGTTCTTTCTGAATGAAACATCACGAGGTTTAGTTGCTTAATACTACTGCACAGCCGCACCCTGAACGCCGCAGATTCTCCGAGAGAAATTATTGATAGAAAAACAAATTTTCATACAATCTGAGCCAGGAGAGGTCGCAAGAAAATGAAAGAAAATAACAATAACAATAATACCACTAAATCATAAAAGTAAAAATACTAAGACAGCAGCTTCTGCTGGAAGTTCATCTGCCATCCAAGTTTTGCAAACCTAATCGGATAGGGTATTTAAAATTTTCACGACTAATCTCTGTTGAGAATTCCAAACGACCATGGTTCCCTCCAGTTCCTCTGGCTCCTATCTCTAGTTCTTCGGGCATCCAACGGGGTTCCCTTAGCGTTGATTGCCACCCCTGGATCAAGCGGCCCTAGCAACACCTGAACAATGGCAATGGCAATAACGATAGAGTAATAATACTACATCGTGGTTGCCGAGATACCGGTCAACCTTGAGTAGCGCCGAGCTGTCATGATTCCATCACTAATGAGTGTGACTCGGATATAGCTTCCAACGTTCTGGCGCAAATCGCCTTAATACCGTCAATATTACTAGTAGTACAAGGACTGAAAGGTTAAAATCGCCAACGGTGACACTGGGGATACAACCAGCATTCCTGAGTTGTTCTCGCATATATCAGCTGCATGGCAATTATCCTGGCCAAGAGAACTCCGTGCAGACAACCTGGCTTAGATCCTCTGTCGTGCACCGCAGTGTACACTCTCGTCTAAGCGATGTACAGTACTCTGTACTCTGTATGTATGTACGCTAAGGCCATCTGCTGACTTCTGCCTGGTTGTACATGATACTACCGAAAATTGTCGTCCACTCCCCGGGGTGGTTGGCCATGAGGTCATCTGGCGACCAAAATTTCAATCTCTTCTACAAGAAACCGTCATAGTTGGGGAGGAATCCGACAACTAGCCCTACTAAATTGCCTTATTTGGTGTTTGGGAATGGACGCCGTATGCCAAGGTCAGACTTAAGCCTAAGTACAGAAGCCGAGGACACCGCAATTCAGCCATAGAAGGACTGAACAACAGCCAGAATGGAGACTTGTTTCTCTTCGGGTTTGGCGTCCTCGGATATGAGTGGATATGACCCAGATTAATATCCGACGACCCCGGTGTCCAATAAAGGATGCGAGCGAACTTTTAGGGTCTCTTTATCACAGTCGAACCTTGCGTCATTACCGGTCGGATCGGGTGATCCTGGTAGTATTGAGAGATATGGAATCGCTCAATCTAGTAATTACCTGCATCCCGATCGAGAATGAGGATAGGAGACCTCATATCTTGGATTCCCATTTTCACTACATGTCTATCATGGCGTGGACTGACTGGTTAATGATCACGAGAAACAAAAGTTTGAAAGCAAAGCCTCTTACTTTCTCTTAATTCGTCCGTCCCTCGCAGGTATACACCTCGCCATACTCAATGACTCGACAACAGCCGGTGGAACACGCTACCTCTCAAGTTTCTCTAGTCCCTCTGCACGAGACTTGAGTATTGCGGTCGACTCACAGATGGATTTGGCCAGCTTGCGGATCCGCTCCAATTCGCGTAATCGGTTTCCTTCTGCGATCGCTACTATCCTGCGCACGGTTTCAATCTCTGCAGCCTCCATGTCTGTCAGTTTGCCAGCCAGAGGATCAGCGTCCTGAATGTGCTTCTGGATATTAGTGACCTTGGTGATCGCTTTGATGAGGGGTAGCATAACTGGCATATTAAAAGTCAGCCACGATGCATGCTCGGGAGTGGCGCCTTGGTGGCCCCAGACAATGTCCATGGCTGCTGCCCGCTGTGTAAATTTTCTGACACTGTGAGCCCCTGTTGGCACAGGTGCTGTGTTCTCGTCCCAGTTGAAATCTGGGATATTCAATGGCTTCTGCTGCTCGGTTTGGTTATTGTGCTTATCCCCATCATTGCGGGGGTCTTGCATTTCTTTCCAGCGCTCATACAACTCCCATTCAGATTCCGTCATCTGCGCCCTAGCTAAGCTTTCCAAATCCCTGCGTTTGTTGTGCGACGCCAGCTTCAGTCCCGTCCACAGTGCAAGACTATTGCCCCGCTCAACAACCCTGGCGAGATCCTGCATCTTTTGCGATGTCGTTTCCAGGTTATCAGTGTCCGTAGGCACAGGTAGAATCTTCAAATTCTCGCCCAGGTCCTTGAGCGCTAGAGGATCCATCGTCGCCCCGTGCGGTCGTTTCGAGCTAGAACTCTGCTCATGGTTGTCGCCCTCCCGTTTTAGTGCACGAGTAGGTAGTCGGTTTTCCATTCCAGTTTCACGCTGTCCTAGTACTCAAATTGAACAACACACCACGCCACGCGTGGATTGTATCACGTGGTAGTTCTCTCCAATATTGTATTGTTTTCTTTTGCTATAAGTAGACGGGTGATGGCTGCTGTCTGACTCTGGTCTCAATGTGGCCTCAGATGAGGCTAGAATAAACCGTCTTGAGATGCGGCCGTGTACAAGGTTCGGTCTGTCTCTGCGAGGAGTTTGTTGAACCAATAGCTTGCTTATTCCAACCAGTGCTGAATTTTTTAGTTTTATATTCAAGATTTCCTCCTATGTTAGACATTCACCTCAGAGGTTGCCAGAACCGAAGTGCAGATGTGGGTGGGAGTCAACCTATCCGAATGTAGGTTGTACTCCTTGCACCAAACGATTCGCAAAGATTACTAAGTGGACAAATTTTCATTTAACTAGCACCCGTGAGATCGTTATTTAGCGATCGAAGTGCTTCAGTCACAATTTATATAGCTAGGTCCATAGCTAGCTAAGAAAAACAGAAATATCAATAATTCAAGGGAAAAATTGTCAAGGTGAATAAAGATTCATGCATAGTATAGTACAGTCGGTGTCCAACAAATGAGTGAAATCACCGATCGGCCTCTTGCCCCTTTCCTAATATACAATCGACATTTTGTTTCGTAAAACATCTTCGTGGAATACATGACCGGCAAAATATGCTTGTGGTGTGATGATAATGCTGATAGAAAAAAAAGAGGTATGTGAGTCGAATGCAAGATCGAAATGGTAGGAGAGTGTCAGTCGGAAAAGCCCCAAACGCCAAAACTCCATGCTTGAATGCTGCATATATGTTTCCCAAATTGTTCGCCGCTCCCTGTTTAGTCAATAAAGACTAGTTGTCATCGTCTTCGATATGTGCATGGCCCCTGGCCCAAACACGCTTCCAAGGGCCTTCAGGTCCAAAAGCTGCCTCTCGATCCTGGCGCATCCCCTCCAGGACACCGACTATCCCGCCGCTACGCAAACGTTCTAAAACAACATTCATGCCCTGTTTGCTCTTAAGCACGGCATCCCGGGTCCGCTTCAGCCCAATGAGCTCGATTGTCCGCTGAATACCAGCGGTCCCTAGAGAGGAGAAAAAGCCCTTCTTCGGCGCATCCTCTTCAACCTCGCCATTGTGATCACCAATTGTATCTGCCTTTTTTCTTCCGAGAAGCTTTCCTTGTCCGAACCGAGAACGGAACGTGACGGTCGTCTTCACGGTCGTCTGCTCGTCTCTCTTGTCGTCAAGGGCAAGCCCCTCGAGACTATCAAGAGCCCCTTCAATTGGTTGACGCTGGTAAACCTGTTTCTCAACGACACTCAGGATACCAGTCCATTCCATGTTACGTGATTCACTTTCCATCCAGCCTTCCTTGGGGTCGACGACCGTGGTCTCCAGAATGTAGCTTTGGCCGGAATTGTCGGATCCTCCAATGCCCTTGGGAAGCAATTTGAGTATACCAGCCGGAACTTTTGACTTCTTTAAATGAAGACGAATTGTATGAAGACGTTGTGTCTTGGGATCGACGTAGCGATCGATAACATCAGTCGTTAAGACATGGCGAGAATACGGGTTAGGATAGCGCAGGAAGTAGGCAAGAGAGACAGCGGGGAAGGAGTAATCGTAAGTAAATACGTTCTCGAAGAACTTCATGATTGCAAATGCATATAGACAGCCTTAATGATGGGGAAGCGATGGGAGGAGCTGTGGCGATGGGAGGATGCTCTGTGAGCTGTTGGGTGCTCGTCTGCTCAGTCGCCTTTCTGAGTGGTCGGACAATTCTGCTTGGACCCGGACTCTTTTCGGCGACGGAAGAATTTCTGATAGCTTCTAGAGCCATCGCGCTAAGCCCAATCCGGGACGCGGGGGTGCGAACCGCTATTGACCACGTGATAAAGCGGAACAAGCCAATAAGAGGAACGATGGTCGCTTGATAGGATGACTCATCATTTGTCTGCTTGGAGGGGCAGAGATACAAATTATATCGGTGTCAACGCTAATACAAAGATCTCGCCTTTCAATTCCGTTCTAGCCCTTGGCCACAGAGCTGTAGTCAGCAATTGTTATACACTATACACCCTTTGTGATTCTGTAGACGCAGTCATCGAACATGGCGGACGAACCTGGTCAACCCCCCGCGCTCACGACCTTGAGCCTTGCCGAAAAGGCGCCCGAGTCCAAGGCAGTCGGACAGAAGATCACACCTTTTGACGTCTCTGGTGGAGTTGATGCATCTGGAAAACTCCTACCGGTTGACTATGACAAGCTGGTGCGCGAATTTGGTGCCACTCCTATCACACCCGCCTTGCTCGAACGCTTTGAGAAAGTTACCGGCCATCGCCCTCACAGGTTTATGCGCAGAGGAATTGTTTTCAGTCACCGTGAATTAACTACAATTCTGGATCGTTATGAAAAGGGCCAGCCATTCTACCTTTATACTGGACGAGGACCCAGCAGTGACAGCATGCATGTTGGACACACAATACCCTTCGAATTCACCAAGTATGTACTCTGAACCTGCCAATCGCATTAAATTGATTGATAACTAACGATATTGTACTATATAGATGGTTGCAAGATGTTTTCGATTGCCCATTGGTTATCATGCTTACTGACGACGAGGCATGTTCCACACATTTTGACCGGTTATGCCATTTGAGATGCTAACTGGCCTTCAGAAATTTATGCATTCGCAAAAGATCGATGTGGAGGACGCAAAGAGATATACCAAGGCGAACGCCATGGACATTATCGCAGTTGGTTTCGATATGAAGAAGACGTTCATCTTCAGTGATTTCGATTTTGTTGGCGGCGCTTTCTACGAGAACATGTGCAGGATGGCCAAGCGTATCACAATCAACTCTATAAAGGGAACTTTCGGATTTAACGACAGCAACAACATTGGCGAATTCCATTTCTGTGCAACTCAGTCCGCCTCGGCCTTTGCCACCAGCTTCCCGCATATCTTTGGCACGGACAGGAAGAAGGTCTCCTCCATCCCGTGTTTGATCCCTTGCGCAATCGACCAAGATCCTTATTTCCGGCAATGCCGCGAGAACGCCGAGAAGATGAAGTACAAGAAGCCGTCGCTGATCCATGCAATCTTCCTTCCTGCCCTTCAAGGCCCCGGCTCTAAGATGTCCGCTAGCGTGGACACGTCTGCGATCTTCATGAACGATACACCAGCTCGTATCAAGAATAAGATTAATAAGTATGCTTTCTCGGGTGGGCAAGACACCGCTGAACTCCAGCGTCAGCTCGGTGGAAACAGCAAGGTCGATGTTCCATTCCAGTACCTTACTTTCTTCCTGGAGGATGATGAAGAACTCGAGCGCATTCGTGCCGCATATGAAAAGGGAGAGATGCTCACTGGCGAGATGAAGCAGAGGTGTATTGCTGAGCTGCAAACTTATGTTAAAGGTTTCCAGGAGCGCAGGGCCCAGGTAACCGAGGAGATGCTCAAGGCTTTTATGGGTACTCGTCCACTAGAGTGGAAGGGTAACCCCAACCCAATTGTTGTCGAGAAGAAATAAGGCAAGTGGTACTTTCAGCCACTGCAATTTTAGACGAATTTGTTTAGTGATGCATTATCCTGCAGCTACACGATCAATGACCACACAATGTCCCTTGCACATCTTCATTTCAGGCCTGTAAAGACGCTATATGTACCAATCCCTAAGATAAATTTGGGGCTATACTCAGGTTTGCGATGAACGGTTCTATGTATTACCGTGGAAGTGGACCCTTTCGGACCCTTTCGGGTCCATCAATACAATCCTACCGGGTATAAAGCCTCGAACACCGTTACTAAGCCAACACTCTTCACCATCTACTAAATCAGCCACTGCGATCACCTCCTCCGTGCAAAATCCTTCTGTCAGGGCGTATCGCCTAGTTGTGCCTGCATTGCCACCACTTGAGAGCGGTGGTGTGACCCATCCTGGCTCGTCTCTGTTCGTGTCATCCTTCTCAGATCCATGCCTGCGCCGCCTGAAGTATGGGGTTGTGATACTCCCTTCCATGACTTCGCCCTTTGGATTTATTACAAGCACCTCTGCCTGCTCTTGGAGTGAAAGGATCCCGGACCGATGCCTCGCGGCTGTATAGTCCCCACGCGCAGTAGTCTTATGCGTAGTAAAGTCCGAAGGGGTCGTAGGCTCTGAGTCAACATATACACGCCACGTGTTTGACTGGGAAACCTCTTGAGTAGGGCAGAGAAGGTTTTGGAGGTCCATTGATACTGTCGGGTTGGCTTCGACCTTGCACGCTCCATTGCTGTCAACAACAATACGAAGGCGCCATGACTCCGATTTGTCCGGTATGAATGTGTCTAGAATTCTAGTAAACTGGCCCAAATCTTGATGTAGAAACTCAATAGCTTTTGCCCAATTGAAACAGATCGCCGCGTTAAGGAGCCGATCCTGGTGGTAAGGTAGAAGGTAGTACGGTGTAGCTAGAAGATGGGGTTCTGCAGTTCTTTCACCGATCGCACGCGGAATCGCCGGGTCATAACGCAGAGAAGATATAATTTGAAAGGACTCCGAAGAGGTTGTTGGCGGAATGGACGCCATTACGACGCGTACTATTGGTTAATGTGCCAGGTTAAAAGGGGGTGATGTCGAAATTCCTCAACAGGCCATGGATCTGCATGAAGTACTTTAGTACTAGCCCGGAGCGAAGAGCGTACACGACCGAGCATACAGGAATAAAGAGGAAAACATTGGATACAAATGGACGTGGTAGAATTTTATTCGGTATCGGGGATTGCAGTCCGGTTCCTGGTATTCGCCCTCGACGCTGATGCTGTGGAGAAAGCAAGGCACTGGAGCATCCCTTTGTGGTGGGTGTGATTGGCTTGCGTTGCATGACGAGCTGCCCGGGCGGAAAGCCGCTGCGTCGCCGGACCACCTTTCGACGCATAACTTTTCAAGCCGCGACTTCCTTCCATCTTCCAACCCCGAAAAAGTAGCCCTTCTGCCGACAGGCTTCCGCCGAGCACCAAGGACCAGTTCGTATTCCCCAACCCATGATTTTCCTTTTATTCTTATTTACTTCTGTTCGTTAATAGACCCCTTTGTTAATCGTCACAGCATTCGATAGGATTGAGGAATACGGGTTCCTAGCCGGGTCATCATGTCGAGCGAATCACCACTACCTCAACCAGTGCAGAACGTGGTGGTTGACACTGCTTCTCTTCCAGCATCTTCATCGGCGTCAGTCTGGGATCGTGTCTCGAAATGGGTGTCTGAGAATAAGGCTCTTGTTTATACCATTGCTGGTGTCGCCGTGGTCGTGACCAGTGCCGGTGTTGTTTACTATCTCTCCGACTCGAGCCGGCCGGCTCAAGCTCCTCAACCAACAGAGAAGAAGAAGAGCAAGAACCAGCGACGCAAGGAGAAGGAGAAGGAGAAGAAGAGGGCGGAAGAGAAAGAGAAGGCCAAAGCTGCTGCTCTCCAGGACGGTATGTCCCTTCAGATGATCTCCTAGGCCCCCGACCGCTCAGCACCAAAGCCTAGAACTAATAATCCCATAGAGAAGAAGACTGAAGAAGCTCCTGAAGAACTTCCTGAAGTTGACGAAGCTACTGTCGGACAGCTATCGGAAGAGGTGGGCACATGGCGCTGTGGTGACAAATGAGCGCTGACGCTGACACTGGAAATATAGACACGGAAAGCCTATGCTGCGAAGCTGAAGGCTGCCGGTAACAAGGCTTACGGCTCGAAGGACTACAACAAGGCGATCGAACTCTACGGAAAAGCTATTATTTGCAAACCCGACCCTGTCTTCTACTCCAACCGCGCTGCCTGCTACAATGTGCTGTCCGAATGGGAGAAGGTCGTTGAAGACACCACTGCTGCCCTTTCAATGGATAGCGAGTATGTCAAGGCCTTGAACCGGAGAGCTATTGCATATGAGCACCTCGAGAAGTTCAGCGAGGCCCTTCTCGACTTCACTGCCAGCTGCATCATCGACGGCTTCTCTAACGAGGTCAGCCGTGTCGCTCTTGAGAGACTCTTGAAGAAGGTTGCAGAGCAAAAGGGTAAAGCCATCCTGGAAGCTAAGGGCAAGAAGCTCCCCAGCCCGACCTTCGTGTCCAACTACCTTCAGAGCTTCCGTCCCAAGCCTCTCCCAGAAGGTCTCGCTGAATCCGTCGACTTGAGCGAGGATTCTGGCAAGGGTCAGTTGCGCAAGGGTATGCTCGCAATGGCGTTGAAGACCGGCGATGGCTATGATGAGGCTGCCACAGCCTTCGAAAAGGCCCTGGAACTTGGCGACCTTGGTGAATTTGAAGCTCTTGCTCTCAATTTGAGGGCCACCTTCACTTATCTCGAGGGCAATGCCCAGGCTGCCCTGGCGGACCTCAATAAGAGCGTTGAACTCCAGCCATCCTTGGTTCAGAGCTACATCAAGCGTGCTAGCCTGCACCTTGAACTTGGTAAACACAACCCCACTCAATTCCGGTAGTACCGTTGGTAGCCATGTGACATCTAACAGAGAATGAATAGGAAACAAGGATGCCGCTGCGGATGACTTTGAGCTCGCCATCTCCCACAACAAGGACGACGCCGACATCTACTACCACCGCGCCCAGCTTCACTTCATCCTCGGTGAATTTGCCGAAGCTGCCAAGGACTATCAGAAATCCATCGACCTTGACCGTACCTTCATCTACTCTCACATCCAGTTGGGTGTCACACAATACAAGATGGGATCTGTCGCATCTGCCATGGCTACCTTCAGAAGGTCCGTGAAGAACTTCGAGGACGTGCCGGATGTCTACAACTACTACGGTGAACTTCTCCTTGACCAGCAGAATTTCTCCGAGGCCATTGAAAAATTCGATAAGGCTGTGGAGATGGAGAAGCAGAGCAAGCCCATGGGAATCAACGTTCTACCCCTCATCAACAAGGCGCTCGCTCTGTTCCAGTGGAAGCATGACTTCCAAGAAGCCGAGAATTTGTGCCAGAAGGCTTTGATCAGTGAGTCACCGCTGCTATTATGTGTAAACTAGGATTAAAGTCTAACCCCACTTCAGTTGACCCCGAGTGTGACATCGCTGTGGGAACTATGGCACAGCTCCTTCTGCAGCAGGGCAAGGTCTCGCAGGCCCTCAAGTACTTTGAAAGGGCCGCCGAGCTGGCTCGTACCGAAGCCGAAATCATCAACGCTATCTCATACGCCGAGGCAACCCGGACACAGCTCGAAGTGCAAGAGAAATACCCTCAGCTTGCTGCACGCCTGCAGACTATGGGCGCTGGCTTCGGTGCACCCCCAGGTCTGTAAATTGAGGCATGCCTTCTTTTGTTTTCGCGTTTGAAGTGACCAAGACGTATATGTTGGATTAATAGTATTTTTTATTTTTCCTTTCCCCCCTTTCATACCTCAGCTAGAATGAACAGGCGATGGTCATGCCTGGCCATGATCCTTTAGTTTCTAGTCTCTTCTGATACATCTAGGGTGCCGGAACCTTTCATCTGCGCATGTACTTACTAGCTTTGTTACCCCTTCTTTTCTCCGGTTCCCATATACTTTCTCGGTCCCCTTGTTCGGGTAATACAAGGGAGGTCACTTTCACTTTTGTTCTTTTTTTCCCCACTTAGTTATACTCCAGTTCCTTTTGGATGCAGCACCGGGATCTTATTTGTGTAGGAAGAATGGCTGAAATGAGCAGGAAATTGCAGTGAAGGCATGTTCGGTGCCTGAGGCGTCATGTTTAACGGGGAAGGCGGGAAAAAATCGTGTATCATAGCCAATGGAAGAGTTGGAAGGAGGTCAAACCATGGAGTCTTACCGTATCTGCCTACCTCCGTAAGCAACTTATTCAAGACTAGAGGTCTAGATTCGCATTTATTGGCAATTCATTCATGGTTCTGGGAGTGTGAATCTGGTGCTTTTGCAACCGTGGGCCAATAACACTCGGGGGCAGGGGTTCTTTATATATGGATACGGGTTCCAGTCTCTAGGGACGAAACTAAAACTAGACAGCTCATGATATGGTCATGGGGTGTCCACCTGACGGGACGGAAACCCCACTCTTCCGCCTATCAGTGCTTTGCGTATCGGCGTCATCATTGGAATCTCCATCTTGATACCAACTCATCCATCCCTTCTTTCCTCCTGTTGAGTCACTCCGATTGCGAAGATACTCTCTTCTGTGGGCTGCTGTCGGCTGACCCGGAAGCTGTGTTCCTACCTCCACCTCTTCTTCGCCTCTTATCGCTCTCACACCCACGGACATAGTAGTTATTAACTAACTACTAGTAGCATCCATTATATCATCAAACTCCTGCCTGATATACGACGAGAAGTTTCTAGCTTTCCACCTATCAACGACCAGTTTTGCTTGAGTCATTTTCCAGATGCGTTCACTTGCTACGTAGCAGGATAGCATAAGGTAGTGGTTGTCGTGTTCCACTGCCTGACAGCGACCGTCCCTTACTCAGGCTGACCCGATTGCATAGGGTACGCATTCCTTTCCCCTTTCCTGCCCCTCCTCTCACCTCCGCCATCCACATAGCACGTCTTCTTTTACTACTAGCAACATCCCCGACACTCCACAGCTTTTAAGTAGCTGGTGGATGGTTTGGTATTACTTGTTGTACTAACTACCAAGGACTTGAGCGTTGTAGTTGGCGTCGGGAATATCTGGCTTAGTACTGGCTTTGGCTATACCTTGTTTCCCTGGAACGGATTGGTTCTGAACAAGCCAAGATGCCTGGCTCAAAGGGTATGTGAATTTTCCTTCAACTTTAGTCAACGATAGCTAGTTGAATCTTGCCTGGCTTATACCACTCTGCCTTCTAGCCATCGTCACCCTTTATCCGCTTAACGTATCGGACGTCCTTCCATATCGCTCCTTAACCTTCACGTCGGACTCTGATCATATCGAGGTTGGCCGCGCCTCGAAACGCGAGAGTAAGAACCTCATCCCTACCAACCAGAATGGACTGTTTGACTCTCGCGTGATGTCTCGGAATCATGCAACATTGCGTGTATGTTTAAACAACAAGGTACGCTAGCAGAGTACTTCGCCAATAGGTCCTATCATTTTCTCGCTTCCGTCATGTGGACCATACTTATACTTTTGGCTTTAGACAGTCTATCTCAGTGACGGCAACTCTATGCACGGTACCTGGGTGAACGGCGAAAAGATACGCGCTGGGGAGGAAACTATTGTCAAAAGTGGCGATGAGGTGATTTTTGGAACAGAGGTTATTCGTGGGCATGGTGAGTCCATTTGTTGAAGTAGAGTTCAGAGGCTTTCCTGACCTGGTTTCAAAGAGACTTTCCCTCCACTCAAAGTTCGCTGTGAACACCAGTGGATAGATTCTGGGTATGCTACGCGCGTAAAACTGGTGTTGGATTCACTAACATAGCATACAGTGACGAGGTTGTGTTGGATGTTAGCAACAACCACCAGTCGAAGCGGGCAACTAATACGTTCTGTGTTCCCGACGACGACGACGATGATTATGACAATGAAGTGATTTATGATTCAATCCCAGCCCCAGTAGTGACGGCTGTTGAAAGTAGCTCTGAGTCTGCTGACTCTGATCCTGGCTCGGGTTCAGATGACGACTCGGTCATGGAGATTTCCTCCCCAATTACTTCTCCGCCTAAAGGTGGTGATATCATCGGATCACAGGAAAGCCCGATTGACGTCGATAACGAGCAAGCTGAACAGCCTCTTGCAACCCCAAGAATGACTCCACCCTCAGCTGTTGATGTCGCAGAGGAGGCCAGCAACAAGGTTCACGAACAGCCCTCCTATATCATTCACAACCCAGAAAGTACAATAGTTCTGGTTTCTGAAGAACAGTCGGTTGCCGAACCTAGTGACTGGGAGAGTGAGGATGACGACCAAGCTGATTCCCTGAATGAATCAATGTCCGAGTCACAGTCGGAATATGATGGTGAAGAATCTGACCCAGATAGGCTCTCCGTGAGATTGAGTCCTGCGCCATACATGGCTATCAATCAGGGTATACAAGCAAACACAACATGTGGTGATTATGACGCTACGAATAGGGATCTTTATTCAAAGGGTAAGAAAGCAGAGGGATCCGCACCGGATTCTACCCATCAGACCGCGGTCAGCTGCGGAATCAGTATTCCTCTCTTTAACACAATCTCTCCGAGTCTTGATGAACCGAGCACATCTTGGCCGGACACTATCAGAGATGATGCGAACTCGGGACTCCCTTTGCATCCGAGCGGAAAATTATTTGATCACTCACTGGCTGGGTTCCATTGCACTGCTTTCACACAGGAAATGGAGCCTTGGCAAGCGCACGCTGCTCACGGTCCAGCGTACCATTTTTCAGATCACTGCAGCCCACGCCCCCCTTACAAAGATGGTCCATTTGTCAACTCGCTGTCCCAGTTTGTCGATAGTACTAATCGAGATGACACTGTTGTCCCTACCGCTACCGCTGCTGCTGGTAACGAAAACATACAGAGCCGTTCTATTGATATTGAGATCCATCGAACGGAGGCGAGTGACGACGCTAATTTGACTAACGTTGGCGTGCAATCTTCATCGCTTCTAGAGAAAATTCCCGGGCCAGAGTCCGATATGCCCTATAATGATGTTGATCCATCGTTGTCAAAAGCTACGGCCATCCCTCGGCAGGGACTCAAGAGGAAAGCATTGGATGCAGAGATCAATTCTCTGGATGCCGATAACGTTGTTATGCAGGATAATTACCCCTGTACTGAAAGCAATTTCTCGGTGGACGAGAGACCTACGGTGGAAGAGGATGATTCATGTCTTCCTGATGCCCAGCCACATATCATTGTACCCGAAATCGGAAACGTACCATCACAACTTACTGAATTACCTATTACACCCGCATCTCAAAAGTCCGATAGCCAACCCCTCCCTACTCCGGATAACGGAAGGCCGTCGAAGCGGCTGAAGACTTCTGAAACGGCAAATCTCAGGAGTCATGCTGCTACTGCTGCCCTGGGCGCAGTGGTTGGTGCAATCGGTACTATCGCTATCCTTGCCTCGCTCCCTGCGGATTACTTCGCTTAGAAACCCAGCCGGTTACTTTTGATACGAGTTGGGTCTCATCTTGGCCATTGCATGACTTACGATTATGATACACTATCTCTCAACTTTTTTTTCTTTTTGTTTCGTTCGCCTCTTAATGATTGGGAATGTTGTCTTTTGTTCTTAGGTATTATCGAACGGGGTTAGGGTTAGGAGAATTGTAGGCCGGTGCATTCGTCTATATGATATTTTGACATGTTTCTCCTTTAGGCCAATAGTACCAATCAATTCAGTACATTGCATGGAATCGATTAGCTTCGAAGGTTAAGCGCATCGTACTTTGGGCCCGAGCTTCGCCGGTTGTGAAGTGGCCTTCGCCTTCCAGGCTTGGTCCTTTTGGACCGACCTTTGTTCACAGGTAACTCGGGATGCGCAGTCGTGGCGCACTAAAAGGCCGACTATATGCGTACAGGAGCCGGTTGTTCTAAAATCCTGCTCGCTGTGCCCGCATCGAACCTTCGTTTTTCTCCGATCTTCGGCAAGATATTGGTTTCGATCAACAGTGTTCGGCCCGTGTTGAGTCAGCTGATACATATAATGATCGTGCGTCTCGAGTGTCCGCTGAGCTTCGCTTTCGTGGTGTGACAAGTGTCTCCTAATGTTCATGCTCAAATAATCAAAGATGAGGCGACATTGATGTTTCCCGAGTCAACCGACTCCAGTTCCGCTGTACGAACAAGTCACTTGTACTCTGGATTTCGGGATTCCATTCAGCCGCAGGTTAAGTGGCAGTCAACTTGGAGGTACATACACAGAGCGCAGGATGGTGCACGCTACAGGCCAATTCCAGATTGCATATTTATGCGCGTGATTTGTAGGCCCGGCTACTTGCATATATGTAGCCTCGTATACGCATGATATTCTCGACCCTTTTATATTTTTGTTTGGCATTCCTCGCCGTCAAGCCACATATGTTTAGCTGTCCAACGAACGCAATAAATGGAGCAGCCGGTCCCATATATATGGTGTCCGAGCTCGCAAACACTAGGCAGCTTTTGATTATTTTCATATTTTCTTTTTCTTTTTTCTCTGCGCAAACTGGGTCTTGAATAATAAATAACAGTCGAATACTGTCTTCAAGAGGGTAAAGCCCCACGCAGACGACTGCAAGGTGACGAAGTCTTGTCACTCTGCATCGCACAGGTAATCCGAGGACAGCCTCCTCGATGGCCCCGTTTCATCATATTCCCAGGAACACCCTCTTACATCTGACCAATAAGCGATCCCAGGCCATTCCAGTACCATACTTCATGGGCTTGATTGGTCTGAATAAAGGACTTTCTCGCCGGAGCGTACAAGTCTACACCAAATCACTGAACTGTTATGGAGCACCACGGCAAGTCTTTCCGGCTTCTATGCTAGGCGGCACCGTACAGATGAGGGCATTCATATCTAGCTAGAGCACGGAAATCTCAACACCGAGGAGACCACCATAAGGTTAACGTATATCGGTGCTGTGTTCTAGCGTCGGAGAAGTTCACCTTCTCGGTTCAATCATTCGATGTTGTGGCTATTCCTCACACAGGAGCTGATCGAATAGGATCCTTACGATACTCCTCTTTTCTTTTTCTGTCTTTCTCGTTCTTAAATCTCGATCTCTAGTCCAATCGGAGGTAGCGCTTCCTCCGACTTTGCAGCCCCAGCCGTTGTTGGTCCTTTTGTCACATTGCGACTGGGGAATGCGCGACTGCGTTGCATGGTTCTGCATTAGCAGTAGCCAAACGTGCCACTCCTTGGTGATCGAACGATTTTTCCCAATCCTCATCAAGGAGACAGAGATATCTAGTTTTACTCCGAGGGTCTTGCCATATTACTAATTGGATTGTCTACCAACAACTATTCAACCTTGCGCATGATCAAATCCTGCGAACGTTGGAAATAGACGACTGATCACATCAACTACAAGCGCTAGCAGCTAGTGCCGATACATACCTATCCTTCGTCTAGCGTTACTACTGCGTCTAGAGTTTCCAGCTGTTGTTTAAACATCCCTACACTGGGGAAGATTTCAAGGCTGCATGCTTCCCTGCACAAATCCGTGGGTAGCAGTGAACTGGACACTCAAACGCGACGCACCGGCTGATTTGAAGCGGCCAGTCTGTTTGTACGTCTGTACGTCTGTACGGATCAACTCGACTGCTTTGTAAGTTGAGTAACACAACACTGTGTGGCTGCCATGCCTCTAGTTTTAATTCCCGTCATATACACCCCACCCTTTATTGCCCTCGGCGCTGATAAGCGCTGGCCGTCCTTTCCTTTCTTTTTTCGCTATTTGATGATTGATAATCCCCATTTCATGTTCGATGTGCCGCATTTATCCCGACCCGCCCTAGGCGCAGCTCGCAGGCACGCCCTCGGTCCGGTTGATAATGCTCGGAAGAACAACTATGGTTCTGACCCGGCTTGATGGATCAAGGATGCCTCAAAGTGCCCACAGCCCGGCATGGCTCGAAAGATCTGTTGGGTGTAGTCAATCTTTGCTCATCTTCTACATTTTGAGCTGATTATGCAGCCATTTGATGACCCTGGACCATGCCGCATTGCCCGTATTCGTGTCATTGATATGGGTAGAATACCGAGTTTACCGAAAAGCAACATCACTAATCACTGGAATCGGTGTCCTGCTGATCCATTCTGAGTATCCTCCGACAAGAGGATGTTGGACAACGATTCGATACTGCCAATACGGATTCCAACAGCGTCCACGGACTCGAAACTTGGTAGGACAATCTCCCTGGCATAGTACCACGGTTCCAATATAGAGGACAAATAGCAATAGCCCCGTGCAAGGAGCGGCCTGGCTTCACTACTGGCATCATCCTTCTGCCTTCCCGTTTCTGCCTTCAACCTTGGCTTTTTCTGAAATGCGTATGCCGACAATCTCGATGCAAAAATATACCCCTCTGTCGGAAGAAGTGGTTCAGCAGAGTATTTAAGTATGGACTCTCCCACGAAATGGGTCATCGTCAATGCAATCCAGACAACTTGTCCACTCTGACTGTTTCTTCTTTGCTTCTTCGCCGAGGATCCCACCATCATCTTGTTTAAACATGGCCCATCAGAAAGGTTCAACAATTCATCTTGATCCAGAACATATATCCTGTACAGGCGGAGGACGAATAGCCCTGACATGCAGAAGTTGTGCAGGAAATCCTCGAAGGTTTGCTCCCCTGATTGCGCCCAGCCTTCTGATGTTAGCTTAAGGTTCCCCAGAGTTATGGATTGCAGTAGCTGCCAGGGACTGGGTTTTAACACGTTTGTCTGTGCGCACTGTAACCCCGAGGCAGCGACAGGAACAGTCCGAAGTGCAGTCTCCTCGCTCCGTCATTCTACCACCCCCGAATCGTCCCAGCCCAATTCTCCCACGTCGCTGAGCAGAAGCTCCTCTAGGTCAATGTCTTCGCAGAATAGCGGACACCAGAGATAACGTTAAGACTGTTTGGAGTTGGCAATATTCAATCTGAAACGGGAAGAGTGAACCCTGTGCACTGCGGCCTGGTGCTGCTCATATAGTGTCTTGGGGCCGAGGGATCAAACTTTACTTGCCTACTGTTGGTTGTCGCAGGCGGACAGGAGTACTATGGAGGCAATATCGTAAATCTCACATAGTCTGTGAATATGTGCCTTCTTTCGTGACTTTGTCTTTCTCTTTTCTCTTTTCCGCCCCGTTACTTTTATCTGCTTTTTACGTATGTTAACTTGCAATGCTCATGTATGCTTCTATTTCCCAACCTTGGCAGGTAGCAATAAGAATATACGATTTCGTTATGCCAGGCCGCCCCGACTTTTCCTTCAATCTCTGATTAATGTACTACCATTTCCATGCCTTATTTCAGGCTTTGGGCGCATAGCTGCGAAAAGGAGAAAGTAGAGTAGAGCATGACACCATACGAACCATCGACCGGCCAGCATCGGATATTCCGGTCGTTTCGTTCGCGGCTTCTCCGGGCTCCGGGGGATATGCGGGGTGGACCAATTATGACGAATCCCTCTCAATGATCTACAAAGTACTCGTACATAAGGACGATCAATACGATGTCCCCTCTTTTGTGAGTAGCATTGTGAGATTCCTCAATACTCTGCAGCTTATCTCAGAACTTTCACATCATCCTACGATGGCTATCTCCTGGACGAAACTCCCCCCTCCGGAGAGGGTTCCCTACGCAATCCCTCAGCTGGAGGGAGAACGTATTTCAATTCCTGGCAGTAAGGGGGTATTCCGTATCCTAGCGTCCTCAAAGCAGACAAATGGCTTGATGGCTGTTTTCCAAAGCGGTGCGGTGCTGTCCGATGCACCGGGATTCCATTACCACAACCACGCCCATGACGTTTTCTTAGTTACAAAAGGCTATCTAAAGCTATGGAATGGAGATAGATGCCGCATCATGGGACCAGGTGACTTTGCATATGCGCCACCGGTACTTCACTCCCGCATGTTTTGCATGGAAAGAGATGCAAGATCTGACACATCGCTAGACAGTCGTTCATAATCCCGAAACGTTAGGTCCGCATACAGAACTCTACGGCCTGATAACTCCCGGGGATTGGGTTGACTTCTTCCGACACGTCTCCGAGCCCTACGAGGGGCTACTGGTTCCCGAGAGTGACGACCGGGATTTGAAGTCCCTGTTGATACCCAAGGTTATGGCTGCGAAGGAAAAGTTTGATGTCGTCTTCCAACCAAACTATCAACCTCCAGATTTAGGAGACTGGACAAAAGATGATGAACGTCTCCCGGACTCTTCGCAGCCGTTTTACCTACGTGCCAACACCGGTCCAAGATGGATGTTGGGAGGTGTCATGTCTCGGCCATTTATCACAACGACCCAAAGCAACGGGGTGTGCGCAATTTCAAGTATCGAATCGTCCAACCAATATAGCCCTTCACTACTATCAGAATATATGACGTTCCACGATGTGGATCACTGCCTCTGTATTCAAGAGGGAACCCTGATCGTCCGTCTGAAGGGTTTACCGGATGCTGTCTTCCGTGAAGGCGAAACGGTGGTCATTCCAGCCGGTCAGACATTTGCCCTAGCTTTCGGCAGCAAATACGTACGTGTCTGGTCTTTCACAGATGGAGATGGCATTGAGAGTCTGGTGCATCGGTTGGGGACGCCATTCGAAGGCGTTGTTCTGCCTGATAGGGAGTTAGAATGGGATTCGGCCCAGGTTGGATCTGTTGCAAAGGGGCTCAATGTAGATATTGCCTTGTAATGGTTACCTCCACCACCCATGGCTCCATTCGTTAGTTAATACCCTGAATGCAATCTAAATTACTCAAACAAATTAGAAAGTTTAGCTAAAATAGCGTTGAAATTCCCCGCGGGGCATGTCATGTGACGGCTAGACAGGCCGGGCAGTTTGGGTTAGTGTTCGGCAATTCCGACCACTTTTTGTCGCGTCGCATACTCTTTGTACGCTGTGTCTCCCCGGATGCACATTCCAGCATCACCACCCCCGTACATCTATACATACAATATATCTTAATGTGACGGATATGACTATAAATGGATGATGCAACGTCAGACGCAGCGATCGCCATCAATTCGCACCACAGTGGATGATTCTGGTCCACCTCGGGCGAAGCGGCCGCGTGCTGCTCAAGCCTGCGACAGGTGTAGAACAAAAAATATAAATGTGATGAATCATACCCTTGCTCGCACTGCAAGAGTAAGTCGCTTATCTGGCCTCCACTCAGTAAAAGATCTATCTAACCTGTACAGAGAGCGGCATCAGTTGCGTATATCAAGGGAATTACCGACAGCGTGAAAATGACCGCTCAGCTAGGTGAGTTACGATTCCCAGCGCGGTGTGGTAGTTAGTGTCTCTGATAGCATTTGTCAGTTATGTTTCCGACTTAGAGAAGAAAGTAGATGAGCTTTCCGCAAAGCTCCGCGTGGCTGAATCTGAAATTGCTTCTCAGCGCTCTCCTCGGTCTCAGAGAGAGACGACAGCCCCTGAAACAAGACAGGTACCCCATGCCATAATAGATGCAACTCCGTGTTCTATGCCTCGGCATGGCTCGACCCCAAGAGAAGAGATATCACTGTCATACGACAATCATGACGAGGCCGGGGACTCCGTGGAAGATGAAATCAGCGAGCTTAATCACCACACCAACGGCATCGAGTTCCATGGAAGCACATCGTCAACTGCACTAATAGGCCATCTTCAAAAGAGGCACGAGCCCGGCCGAACTCAAGAGCAACATAATCTCAATGGCGTGCCAGAGTACTCTATAGTATCTACACTACATAATTCAAGTTTCTCGCCCTCATATACGGCTGGCCCGGCGCAACCCGGGGCACTTCATGAGCACAACTACTACTTTGAACAGGCTCATGCATTTATGAACGGATATTTTGAGAACATCCACTTTATTCATCCTTTGATTGACAAAGAGGACTTCTGCCTGCGGGCTCATGATCTATGGTTCAACCGAAAGAAACAACCAGAACCAAGTTTTGTCGCACTGTATCTAAGCATCCTCTCATTTGGCGCCTTGGTTCGTGTTTGGGATGAGGAGCGACTTGGAGGCTTAACGCGTTTCGAGTGGAGCCGGAAGTTGTTCGGGGAAGCCCAAGTCTATCTGAACTATTTGCAGTTTTCGAATAATCTGGACACAGTCCAGTGCTTGTACCTCATGGTATGCATGGCTTATATTTATTCACACACATAATTTCACTAACATGGGATAGGCTAAAATTTGCCAAAACGAGCTCAACCCGAACTGTCTGTCATCCTATTCTTGCAGTGATTTCGTATTGCTAATGCCTCGTAGTGGCTTATATGTACTTGGGCCTTGCTATACGCACATGTCTAGCAGCTGGTTTCAACAGGGAAGTGCGTAACTCTACAGAGCAAAGGGCAGGTTGGATCTCCAAAACTTGGTGGTAGGTGCACTTGGAATTATTCAGTATTCTCGGTGCTAATTATCTACAGGGGCTTATTCTCTCTCGAAATGTGAGTACTCTCTGAGGTTATAAATCTCTGTGATGTATACTGATGAGGCAGTGAGATGAGCTTTTCTGTTGGCCGTCCGGATACTCTAGGAATGGATGAATATCACAATCGAGCTCTTCCGGAAAGAGACGATTCCGAATACGCCATCATACCATGGATGGTTGATTTTGCACAAATGATTCGTAAGGTGTCTGTGCAAATCTACCATTCACGAATCACCTTGCAGGATAAATTGCAGGTCGCGCTGCAAATCGAGGCTGAGTTGGATAGATGGATGTTGAGACTTCCGGAGAGAATTAAGCCGGATGTCCTGAGGCAACGAGCATCTGGCGGTACACTGCGAGACCCAAAGTGGGCTCGCCGGCAAAGATTGGTCCTGGGTATTCGTAAGTCGTCCACCGTGACCCATACGGAAATTGCGGCTAATCCAGATAGGCTATTATAACGTCAAGATGCTCCTATTTCGCCCTTTCCTGAGTCATTTTACACGCAAATTAAGACATCCACCGATCGAGCTGGAACAGACTATCGGGAAGTGTCTTGACGCTGCGATGAAAACAATTGAAGTCATCTATGATATCTACCGAGTCCATACGTTCTTCCGGTGCTGGTATGTTCTGCCATGTTGTTCTCGGATTTCCCTCCACCCTAATTTTATCTGATAGGTGGTATAACACAACATATGTGATGTTCGCCACATCAACTCTGCTACTCCCCATGGTCAAGCTTGGCATGTGCCCTGAAACTATCCCGTTGCGACGATCCGTGGAGATGGCGTTGGAAATCTTGGAAGCGATGGATGAATCGGTCGTGGCACGGAAGTCCGTTGATCTAATCAAACGTTATCTCAAAGAATTCAGCTTGTCGGACGCCCAATCAAGTATGGCGAACATTGAAGGAAGTGTTCCGGCATATGCAGCGGAGACCCCTAGTCAGGGTACTTTTGATATACCGGTATGTGACTTCCAATCCTCTATTCAAGGCCCTCGGAATTAACGAGATCGTGGCAGGAATGGGCCCACGGCTTTGGATTCCCGGACTGTTCGTTTGAAGGAATCGCCCGGCTCTTCGATGACATAGGAGGACTGCCAATGTTGGACAATTGACTGTATTATATGCGATTTCTACAATCGTAGCCATCTACGTTTCTTTGTACATACGCCATCTCAAACTGCCCATACATTTATTCACGACCCAGAATCAGTGTCTGAATACCTATAGAACTGGCACATCAAATCACCCGTACATACACATATCCCAGGAAGTAAGAAAAGAAACAGATCTATAGATTCGCCTTCTTCTTCAAAAATAACTCCGGATTCTGCCCAACCGCCTTCTCCACCTCCTGCAGTGCATCGTACCCATACAACCAGGGCTGCACCTCAGGACACGTCCTACACGCATACACATCAGCACCTGACCTACAACCACAAACACACAAAAGAAAAAAGGAAAATTATCACTCACCATCGACTAGGAAACGCCCCTTTAATCTCCTTCCCCAACTGCGATAAGAAAATCTCATCTCTCTTTTCCTGCTCGGGTCCGTTGTACATGTGGAAATCGTTTCTCTACGGTGAACCGTTAGTTTTATAGTTCATGAACCAAGTAAAGACGGAAAGAAGACTATAGAGTAAGAGAAACATAGAAATTACCTGCTTAAACGTCTCCTTAACAATCGCCTCGCCTCTTGACTTTCTCAAGCTTTCGTATAAGCGGAGAATCTCCGGGAGCTGTGATTTGCTCTTCATGTGGCCTAGAAGGCCACCGAGGACGGCGCCGTCCTCGAGAGATGAGTTTGCGCCTTGAGCTAGGTAGGGGAGCATTGGGTGGCAGGAGTCGCCGCTGGAGTTATTAGTTAGAATTGCTGGAAGATCGAGTACAGAGAGAAAGAGCGGGGGAGGAGCGTACATGAAGACGAGGTTGGATCTGTCATTAATCCAGGATTCCATTTCACCGTCTGTATCAAACCGTTAGTGGACAGCCCATAAAAGGAAGGACAATGAGATTCAAAGACTCACGATGCATCAGCTTCCACTTGTCGACAGTGTCGACATAACTGAGGAATTGGTTCAACCTAGACGACCATGTCAGCCAATCTCATTCCCCACAACAAACTCCAAGAGAAGAAGGGGGAGGAAGGACATACACAGGATCCCACCCCTCAAACAGCGCCTTCATCTCCTCCACGCTCCCCTCCTGCCTGGATACCCCGGGGGGCAAATTGTCCGGCACAAGAAGCACAATATTAAACATGCTACCTCCACGCAATGAATAAGCCACCGCATGCGCCCCGGGCCCAACCCAGAAATGACACTCTGGGTTCTCAACCCAAGCTCGCAGTTTCGGATCCGTGATCTCGTCCGCCCTGAGCACAATCCGATACGCCAAATCGCCTGTCGGCAGCGGATCGTCCTTCCTCCCCTCGTAGCACTCCCGACATTTCGACCACAGCCCGTCCGCCGCGACGATGAGATTGCCACGGTACGTCTTCCCGGAGAGCGTATGGACAGTGGTGGAGTCGAAATCGAGCCGGTCGACCCGTTCGTTGAGGTGGAATTTCACGCCGAGGTCCTGCGCGCGGGCGAAGAGCGCCTGTTGGAGGTCGACGCGATGGAGGTCAATGAAGGGCGCTTGGTACTTTGCGCGGATGTTGGTGTGGAATTGATCCTCGTGGGCCAGGATTTGGCCCGTGTATTTGTGCACGGTTAGGGCTGTTGGCTCAGCGGCCGATTGCCAGAGCGATGATGGGAGGCGCCAGTGCTGGAAAAGGCGGGATGCGTTGGGGGTTATTTGGAGGCCTGCGCCGACCTGCAGTATCGTATCATTAGCTTTTGGAGCTTCTATATTGCCGTATATGTCCGGATATACGAACCTCGGCGAGTTCCTTTGCCTGCTCAATAACTTCGACTGTGTGGCCCGATGTAGCGCAGGATATAGCCGTCGCGAGGCCGCTGAGACCTGCGCCGACTATAATGATGTGGAGGCGGACTTCGTCTGTGATCTTTTCAGTTTGTTAATTTTTTTTTTTTTTGTTTTTTTTTTGTCTTTGTTCAACCGGACGCAAGAGTGATGAACTTACCATAGCTGTTTCCTCCTTGCGCGACTTTCCTCCCGATAACCTAGTCAACAGACGATAAATGTAGTCGAACATTGAGATACGTTGTCCACCGAGGATTTCAAATTGATTTGCACATAACGGCCAACGCAAGGGGGGCTAATGAAGCTCAAATACGAGCAATCCGGCATCCAATCAGACGATCGTGAAGGGCATTACCGGGGTCGGCAATTCCGACGCTGTCGGATATTCCACAGCTGGGCATCTTTGCTTGGCTTTTCATTGGGCTAGAGATGGAGGATCCTGCGTGAAATTGATATGGGCCCCGGGCTACTTTGGAGCTGGTGGTCAGGGCGTTGGTCTGAGCTTTTGGGTTGTTGTGTAGCTTATCAAGTTGTATGGGGATTTTAGGGGTGGTTGGATGCTACATAGTTTGAGTTGGATTGGTTATATTGGGCCAAGGGATATGCGTTTTGATACACAACTTTGGGGTTTTTGGCAATATTTTAGTATTCACTATATGCTTGTGTTCTCATTTATTTCTTGAGAATCCTGGTCTTACGGGGTATGCCAAATGCTTACAGCTATGTGGTTGTTTAGAAGAGAGTATCCCAAAGCTATGAACCTTATCAGCAGGCACAGGCAATAGTTCTAGCCCGCTCGGCAGATCCGAGCCATAGGTCTCAGTCACAAGTTACGCCATAGCTGATGGGGGTAGCCATTGATCGTACGTTCCTGTGGCGAATTCTCCACAGATAATTCAGTAAAGCAATGCCGGGTGGATCTAGGTTATGCTCGGGTATATCGGCAGTTACGTAGAGTGAGCCAGCCGGGGGAGTGGAAGTGAACATATCATGGACGCTTCATTTGGCACAATCTAGTATCTCATATGCTCACTATGTACATCTATCGCATAACGTCATCTAAAATCAGCATCGGTCCGCCTAAAGAGCCGACTTCTCCCACGTAATGTCCTTCCCCACTATTCCCTCCACAGCGGGAATCAACGGCCGCAGGGCATATCCGTAGTCACCACCATTAGGCGTGCGCAGCAAAGTATGAATGTGGAACTTCTTCGGCTCTTCATTGTTCAAGAAGACGCCAGAGTGATGGTCAAACTCCACGAGAACCACGGGGCTCTGAATCCGGTAATAAAACGGATCCTCGTCGCCAAAACCACCAATCCAGGAGAAGTACGTTTCTGACTGGAATTGCCGGATGTGATCCAGTTTCATATCCCGCGATCGTTGGAAGGTAAAGTAGATACTGCTCCAATATACCGTAGAGCAATTCCTTCTGCTCCTCGTTGAGCGACGAAGCGAGGATCCCCTCGTACGGAACCTCTCGGTTATCCCGATACGCACCGCACACATGTCGCTGGTCATCCTTGTTCCAGCGACCAGGTGGCATTGCGGGGTCATGCATCTCAGCGTACACGCGAGCCTGCTGCTGGAGATCTGGACTGAGCGACTGCATAAGTCGGAGACCCAGTTCCTCCTCGACCTGCATAATGCGGGTGCCTGCATACGGACCGGAGTCGATCTCATTGGGTTCTGCGCCTGTGAACCACGGCGAGGCGACGATCTGGCCCTTGTACAGGAACACGTTCAGACAGAGATGATGGCCGTAGAACGACCAGCCCCAGGGCCTGGTGGTAGAGGGACGTCCAAACAGGACGAAGTTGTAGGAGAACTCGTTCATCACCTTTGGTGATTCGACGAGCTCGCCTAGGAAGTGATTGATCCGCATGGCTTTAACGGCCTTGTCGTAGCCTTCTGGTGATAACGTAGCCTTGAGCACGTTCAGAATTGCGTCGCGGGTTTCGGCGTTGACTTCGTCGAGACGGAGGCCTTTGTGGCTGAGGAGGAATTCGGGGTTTGACCATGTGCGCCATTCGGGGGAGTCGATGTGATATGAGAGTGCTTGGCGTTGTTTGTCGTCTACTATGGAGAGTAGAGACTCAACTGCACTTACTATTGTGCCGATGGGAACATCTTCATCTTGTAATGTGAAGAGCCCGGGTCGGACATTTCCTGGCTGGATATTAGCCACAGAGCAGCAATTGTGGGAAATGAAATGTCATACCATCGGTTGTGACACCCTTGAATGGCTCCTGCAATAAATCCAACCAGTGCATGTACAGCGCATGCAGCCATGGTGGGTTGTGAAGGGTCTTGAAATCATGGGCATATTCATGCGCGTCTTGAGTGCGCATTACCTGGAAGCGTTTCAGGCTCAGGTCGGGTATATATTGGCGGTACTCGCCCGTGGGCTTGTCTGATTGTGCGCGCGTCATGTTAGATAGCAATTGAAGGAGCTGTGACTGGTTGAAGAGAGTTGGAGAAGAGGAGGGGCGCTACGTTTTAAATGCAGCTTATCTATACTTGGATTTTTTACTTCCCCATATCGGATGATCCCCCCGTGGCGTTCTCCCCACACTTTCCCCACGTCGGTGCTGTGGAGAGCGGCAAACTTCTTATCCGTCGGCCGTTGATTCCACTTCGAGGAGAAATTAGTCCACCAGAGCTGCGGATTCCTAATTCCTGGGGTTGTGGGGTGACGTCGTTAGGGTTGATGCATATTGTGGTGAAGGCACCCCCGGTAGTTCTACCGATTCACGTATAATGCTATATCCTTCTTGTAGTATAACTCCTAGTGCGGCTTCGTGACCCGATATTCTATCCAGGTTATTTTTATCAAACACCAATATACCGTATCAACTAACTAAAACAGTGTGAATCAATGAAGGACGTCCTTGCAAAGACTCTGTATGCTTCCTCTGGCGAACCAGCAGCTCTCTGGGTTAGATCAACGCCGTGCATACTGATTCCTCTGGAGTCCTTTGCGTTGTACACTGAACTGCCCCCCATCCCATTCACTCTTCATGGTCGGCAGAGTCGCTGTCCTCGCTATCTGCCAGTTGCGTATTCTTTGGCACAACCACTTTGGAATACCCCAGCTGAACCTGAGCACCATATGCCAATAGAAGCGTTTCGACCTCGCGGTGGCCTTTCCTCTTTGCCCACCCAAGGCTTGTTATTCCATGGCAATCTTTCAAGTTTGGGTCTGCACCTGCATCAAGTAGCATCTTGACCACTGCGAGCTGGCCTCTGTATGACGCAACTGTAAGGGCAGTAGCATCGTGACGGCCACCAGGGGAGTCCAAGTTGATGCCACTTTTGATAAGCCTTTCCACGACCAGTGTCATTCCAAATGAAGACGCATAGTATAGTGGTTCTGTGGACCAAGCCTCTTCGGTGGCAGCCTCGGGAATCAAAACCTGAACCCAGGATCTAAAGTTACCTCCATTATGTAGGGCACATGTTGCAAAGAATGCCATTATCTCGTCCAACTCAGAGTGGTCAAGCACGAAGCCAGCAGGGGCATGCAAGCCGCAATACTGTCCCCAGGTCATGGAGGCATAGCTCAACAGAGGAAACTCCTTCAGACGCCTTCTGAGGGAATGTCGGCTTCGGCACGGCTTCTGGAATGCATCAAACATCAAGTATGTCAAGCATTTCTGGAAGATACACCGTGTAGCTTCGACCTCCTGCAAGCTGTAGTATGCGGCAGGGCCCTGTCTGATAGCATCGGATGTAAGAAACGCTTTGACCGAGGAGTGGGCTAATGTTATAACCGAAGTCACTTCATCATACGCCACTAGTCCCTGGCATATCTTTAGGATGACTGTGGGTGAATACAGCCTACATTCGTCATCTAAAAATTTGTCTCCCTTGATGATGACCACAGCTTCGCTCAATGCTGACAAAGTGATCAGTTGTCGGCTAAATGTAAGCCAGAGAAGTACATCTCTTGCGAGTTCACGGCTATACGGGGGGATCTGTCCGAGAATCACTTCGTACGTTCCATTTAAGCTTTCTGGCAATGTCGCAAGCGCCTTCCGGACACCTCGACCAGTTGCTTGGGCACTGAGAAGGTCAATCTGACATTGAACGTATCGGAACCTACGTTGTGGATTAGCTCAAATGTATCTTGCCTAAGAAAGCCTATGTTCGTACTTACATTCCGTTGGCCTTGGCAATAAGTACGGTAGTTATATCTCTTTTAGTGTGTGGAGGGAGATAACGAAGGCTTGGACGTGTCTCCAGCTGCGCGTTCACGAAATCCTGGATGTCTTTCTGGTTTGAAGATGGTTTCATTTGTTCTCTCAGAAGATCATCCTTACTCAGTGTCACTGAAGCTGCTGTGCTGGTAACCATCACATGTATCTGATATTCAGATTCTGCGAGGCTCAGCAATGTGCTTATAATATTTTCACACTCATCGCTCTCATTAACAGCATCGACAAAAATATACAGCCGTTTAAGCTCACGCGCATGACTGCGAAGTATCCGGAGAAGGATATCCGGAGAAGGAAGTGACTTCTTCCTAAAGTCGGGCTCCAGTACATCAAGGGCTTGAGGAAAGCGGTCGGAAAGCTGTGCGAGTAAAGCACCGAGAACATGGACCAGCTTCTGGGAAGCACTGAGCTGAAACGAGCAGTACGTGAACAGTGCTAAGCTAAAGTCCGTGCTTTGGGTGGCATTCCTCGCTTCTTCTATAGCAGTAGAACTACAGCCAGTACATGTTAACGACTGTATAAAACAAGGCATAATTCCATGATCGAACATACCAAAGGACCGTTTTCCCAGACCCAGCTAAACTCTTTGTAAGTACGTAGATTTAGCGAAGCATCGGAAAGCCAAAGCTTACATTTACCCTCAAGATAGAGCAATCGAGACTTCTCCTGTCCTCGAAACCATCGTTGAAAAGTACCATCGATAAACCAAGATCCTGTGCCAGCCTGGCATACAGACCGTGCTTTGCGATGGCTTACTTCCACATCAAAGGGACATATCCATTCCCTTATCTTCTGACGCAGGTCCTCTAAAGCTGTCATTAGATGGGGCTCGAAAGATAGGAAAAAGGAGGATAGCCCTAAGGCCGAAAATGAATAGGAAGGGTCGTTTGTTTTGGTATCTCACTTTGGCTATCTTGTCTCATCAGCGTTCCCAGGTCCGTCAAGTAATTTATTGACGATAGGACCTCCTTGTCCATTGCCCTGGTAAATCAATCAGCTTCAATCCCAGATCGGAAATAGAGATACATACGAGCTCTCATTCACCATAACTAAGATAAAATAACTCTTGAGACGTTCAAGCTGGACAATACTATCTTGAAGTTTCTCTTTCTTCCCTGGCCATCCTAACTGCTTGAAGAATGACTTTCCTCGTAGTTGTCTTTTCATCAAATCGTCAAGGATGTCCTTCAAGATGCCGTTCGCGCTGAGCAAGGCGTGACGAAACGATTCTGAGGAAAGCGCTTGTGCAGACTTGGGATCCTCTATGTTCAGTGTACCTTGCCGTTCTTTACTCATTTGCTCAAGAACTGCTTTTAGAGCGAAAAGTTCGCCAAACAATTCCCGGATCTCATTGTCGGCATTCTTGACCTCCTTGCAATATCTATACACCTGGCCAGCAGTTTCTATAACTTGCAAAATCAACCCGGTTATCGCAAGGGGGTCCGCCATTCCGATGGTGGAAGCCTGGCCTGTGACACCTGTCTGTTCGAAAACGAGACTTAGTGCTTCTTGTGTGGTTTCTATTGTAGATTTTAAAGCGATCATGTAGGGGGCTTCGGATGCTTGAATGTCGAGAAGTTGTCGCGAGAAGTACCCAACTGCACACAAATCACCCCAAAGAGAACCAAGTGTTGACTAAAAAATTCGGCTGAAGCGATCAAAGAGTTCAACTGCTTATGCGGGGCAAAGTTGATCAATTTCAAGTCCCGTTCTGATTGGTGTCTGCATCGATATACTAGTAAATAAGCCCCCATTTCTTGGAGGCGTACACAGCCTTACCGCCCATACGAGAACTGAATACTCTGTGCCTATCGCTGATACTGACGGCTTATATCACGGGAATGTGCAAATTTGCTGAGCCAAAATTACCAATGTTGACTGCGTAACGATATAATTTGAATGGCGTATGATGTAGAAATCGGCCTGTTCTCCTTGAAGAGTTGTCATAAGGCTCTTGTATTTGGATAGCAACCACTACAGGTGCTGTGAGCATTCGATGCAATATAGGCTGGAGGGGGACTGTAGGATTTGCGCCCCCAGCTTTTCCTCGCTGTACTTCTCTTGAGTGATCTGTCGGCCCTCGACAATAGCCGTACATTTTCCAACCGACAAGGCCGTGGTTCTCTAACGATCAGGTCCACAACCTCCAGCTGAGGAATGCTGTGTATCATCTGAGTCAGTGTCAGCGTTCTTGTATAATGGCAGGAGCCAAAGCACTGGGACACACAGTACGGATCGTCGGCGTGTCATTCAAGACCCAGCGTCCATCCGATCATACGAAAGTCTCCCGACAAGTCTCCCGCTCAAACCAGGAACAAAGTTCACCAGTGGGCGTCTTCACGATTTGCCCCGACACTGCGGATCTTGTTGACATCCAACCCGAATTGACGGCGTAGCTCCAGTGATCTGGGTGACTGTGCATGGGCCTTTGGTGCATCCAGTCTAGTGGGATGGCGTTCGACGATCAATGTCCGAACTTGTTGAGAAGAGTTAGAGTCGTACGCAATAATGACAGGCACTATGGTAGATATAAATCACCCCCGAGTCGCGCGAGCATGAAAGCGAGTAAGAGGCCACAGGGACCACTTCCTATGATCAAGATAGGGACATCATCATAGATGATGGTATCTTGAACAGGAGAAGTTCTCCGATTTTATCCTTGCTATGTTTTATAATTTTGGGTAATTGAATGGCGGTTCAGAGTATGGTGCGCCGAATGAATCGATATGGTTTCTTTCAGTGTATATCTTCCTCAGTATGGGATTAGCAGCTTATTCTCTTGGAAGTCTGACGTCGGCCCATCAAGTTATGAGGAGCAAGCCAAATCCAAAAAGTCCTGGATTTGCCTATTAGAAGTCCGCATTCTTTGATACTCGCTGAAGAATTGATTCCCCACTCGCCCGTCCCACTCTGAGTGGGGAATATTGAAAATCAGTGCGTCGATAAAGACAGCTCAGGCAGCATCAACTAAGTACTTGGACAAGAGAGTGAAGACAGTGGAAACGTGTTGATTGCGAACCATGGTCTAGTAACAGAAGTAGACAATAAAATTATGAACAGTAGGTGAAATTGGTTGCTTATATATCCAAAACCTGCAACTTCTTTTCTCAATCGAGAGAACAGAAGTGCACTTTTGTCCGCTGACATGCAACAAATCAAGCAAAGGCAGGAAAGCAGAATAATAAAAGAATCAGAACGCCGCGCCAGATGCACCGATTTCCCCGAGTACGCCAATCAATGAATTCCCAACATCAGGACCACCAGAGGTCTAGCTTGCGACCGCCAATTGTGCCACGAGATCAGAGGCAACATCAAGGAAAGGATAAGGGCTAGTTATCTCTTTTTCCTTATTCCGGAATCTTTTGCTGATAGGATGCCATTCAGTATCGCTCTCCGCACGGATCACGTTCTGGTATCCATCACACTTGAAGTCCACCATGTAGTTGTTTTCCTCTAATTGATATAACTGGATATCAACGAAAACCCAAACACCATAAGCGACGCGCGGGATTGAAAGATGTTGCGAAGCTGAGGAAGGGCCTGATGCGCTCAAGTGTTCATTGGGACTGTGGCTTTTCTCATCGACCGAGGACGGTCCACCAGCCAGATTGAATTTCCGACGAAGTTCGCTAATATCGCTCCTGCTGCTATGCACGCTACCAGATAAGCCAGGTGCTTTGACGCCTTCTTTCAAGAGACGTGCCCGTATGAACCACGGATCTTTTGGAATATAGTAGTCCGGGGGTAGATCTGGATATTTGCTTTGGAGCGGTGTGGGTTCATCGGCGGACTGCGAGCCTATTTGAGTACCTTGACATCTTGGTTAGTTTGAGCTCAACCAAAGCTTCGAGCTATAAATGAACTGACCTGACTCGGCTGGAAGAATTTCCCATCGTCCTCTCTGCGCTGCAATAGCTTTATAGAGATAAAGCATTGCTCGTATGGTTGGTTACGAGACCGGATCCCAAATTGCCATTTCCGGGTTTTCCTGGGTTGATGCGGGGCGTTACGAGCTTCGGGTGGTTCGAGACGCAATTTGTCTAGATCGACGATGCTGCGAGAGTGAGGTTTCAGGGCCTTGGCTGTTGCCTCCTGTTCCGCTAAAGAACGGCCATCAAGGCCGGATCGATGTGGATCTTCAGAGGCATCCGAGCCTGACCGAGCCTGCTCCTCTGCCAGACGATCTGCGGCGCGGGCTCTTTGTTCCCGCTCGCGCTGTTCCATCAACTGATCATGGACGTAAGGTAAACTAGTTGGCAGAATCCTAACATGGCTGATACGCGATGTCTCCAAGTTATCTGAATCACTTGGCTGATGCAGTTGGAACGACTGGCGCTGTGAACCACTTCGAGTTCTCGTAGGTGGCCCGGCAGGAGCTCCTTGTGAGGGAGCAGCAGCGGGCCGGCCAGTTGTTGCCGGCGAGGCTGGTGTCCGACCCGAAGGTGGCGGAGGTGCAGAGGACATCAAATTCTCATCAGTGGGAGCTAGTGCAAATTATTAGCATACCACCCTCACTCAAGCAGCCTCTATCGATGTCCGGATTCTTGGAGAGTAGAGGCGGTAGAAAATATCTCTTAGTACTCACAGTTAGTTTGCATCATCTCATTTTCTACGATGATAAAGAAGGCATCTTTGATTGCACTGGGTTCAGGATTTTTTAGGGCATCCTCGATATCTTCACGGCCATATCCCATATTTCGTTCCAACTTGGCGATGGCAACCTGGTGGATCTTGTGTTGTACTGATATCGGCTTCCCGGGCGCAATCTTGCGTGGATCGATTGCCTTGTTAGGATCTACGCCCGTTGCGATAAATTCTTCGGGGGGTGGCTGAAGATATTTCGGAAGATCCTTTTGGAACCATGGGTCCTGGCGAATTTCGGGAATTGTAAGTCTATGAACGGGGTGCACCTGCAGCATTGACCTAATCAGGCGGGCGGCGCCGGAAGATATATAAGGAGGCATATGGAAATTGCCAGCGGCAATTTTCTTGAAAAGGGCCGGAATATAATCATCGTCGAAGGGAAGCCGTCCCACTAAAAGCACGTAGAGGATGACTCCACAGCTCCAGACGTCCACCTCGGGCCCCGCGTAAAGCTTTCCGGAGATGACTTCAGGTGCTGCATAGTTCGGGCTACCACAGCTCGTCTTGAGGAAGTTCCCATCTGTCATAATGTTGCTCAGCCCAAAATCTGCGATTTTGACGTTCTTTTCACTATCGATGAGCAAATTCTCTGGCTTCAGATCACGATGAACGATCTTATGGCGGTGGCAGTATTCCACAGCACAAATTATCTGCTGGAAGAACTTGCGAGCTTCGGCGTCATTGCATCTGCCTCTCTTCACCAGGTAATCAAAAAGTTCACGTTCCGCATATTCTAGGACCATGACAATGTCGGTTTTAGTTGCAATGACGGTATATCTGTCATAGACATGCGCCAGTCAGCTATTTAGTTCACTCTTGGCTAACTTCCAAGAAGGGGTATGGACTATACAGCTTAATAATGTGAGGATGCCGCAAGAGCTGAAGGTACTGAATTTCACGCTCAACACGCCCAACCATGTCCCGTGACAGCAGCTTGCGACGAGAGATGATCTTCAGGGCGACCTGACGACCACTAGGCTGGTGAATAGCCAACTTGACTTTACCGAAAGAACCCTCGCCCAGAACCTTCACGGTTTGATACTGATCGAGGCGCTGCATATCCCTGGTGGTCGCAGGGGACTGCATTGACGGATCACCGCCCCTTCCGATCGGCCGTGATGGCGGGGGCATTGTCATTCCAGCGAAATTCGAATTGGGAGGAGTCGCTCCAGAAGCACGTTCACGACGGCGATCGCGGTCGTATGATGGAAGGGGGACCGAGAGGTCTTCGTCATCGAAAGCAGCGGCCATCCTAACGGACAGCAGCGGTTCGGCAGGGTCGGGGAGAACAACGTGACGTGATGGATTTTGAGTGGTTCTCGGGGGTGAACTCCGACCGGATGAAATACCTGAGGGAAAACCGAATGGGAGAAAATTCAAATTGTCAAATGATGCGCCGCGGGGCCTAGGTACACTTAAGTCGGATTCGATGGACGCCAATTAGAAACAAAATCGAAACCGACACAGAACAGTTTCTCCCCCCACAGCAGCTCAGGGTTGGTGAAAGTGGAGCGCTGGAGAGAGCCGACAACGCAGAAAGAACCTGACCTCTGGCGGGGCGGGATGGAGGGGCGGAAGGTCAGTCACATAACACGAGAGCGAAGTCGGACGCTGGAAATGACTATATTTTTGTATCGGGGGTTGAGCTAAATCTTCAATCGAAAGGAAGGGCAAAAGTCAAACCAATGGTGAGCTGGCTGGTGTCCAGAAGATGGATTTGGTGGGATTGCAATTAATGAGGAGAGTGCAATGGCCTGGATTATCAGGTATTATCTTACCGGCTAATTTGGAGACGCTATGAACCTGGAAAAACAATAGTTCAAGAGTCTAGAACCACAATCTGTATCCAGAACGACGTAAATCCCCTATCTTTTATGGATCGTGGTAATTTAAGTTTATTCCTGGGGAATAGCTTCCTGTACAACATTAGTTTTCATATATGTGGCCTAGAGACTTCCTCGGTACTGCTATTTCGTAGTAGATCACGCCTGTACTCAGTAGTTTTAGAACAAATTCAGCGGTCCCCGTGACTACGAATTATCGGGGCTGAAATTTAAAGTAGCAATTTGCGGTAAAATCATTGATATTACCAAGAGTTTAGAACATACTTACTGACTCTTGGTAATTGATAATAGCAACTGCGATGTGGGAGAGTAATACTGTATTGTCCATAGTTATAACATACATCAGCTTTGTGTCATACAGGAGACAATGATGATGATTTACCTTCAAACGGAAAAGCGATGCTCTCTATTTCTTGGCAGCCGCATGTCATGTGGTGGGGAAGCTCAGTGGTCCAAACAATTAACCTTCATGCTTTGGATTGTCCTTGTGCCCCTTGTGCTCAAAGAATAGAGGCTGTGCCTGTTTCTATCATTTGTTTTTTGAGCCTCATTGCTGTATTTATTTTTCTTCTTCGAGCCCATCATCGCTGTGCTGCTGGCCAACAGCACAGAGCTCCGTCATGGCTTCGGAACCAACAGAAGAAGCCATTGCGAACTTTGTGAGCTTCACGAGCACAAGTCGCGAACAGGCAATCAGCTTCCTTAAAGTCAGTACTGCGTCGCGCACATATTCCCACTATACCAGGGCATTTGTCATTCTTCACTATACTTCGCGTGCTAATGTATCATCTACCCCAGGCCAATGACCTCAATTCAAATAAAGCGATCAATGCCTACTTCGAAGATCCCACAGGTCCGCAGACACAGGTATCGTTATTGTTTTTCTTTGCAGGTGCAATTTTCTTTTATATAACATTCTTACTGACCAGGGTCGGTCTCTTTGTAGGCTTCCAATTACCTAAATGACCCAAACATACCCTGTGCGTCCAAACCCAGTTTGACGCGAACCACATGCATAAACTTACTGACTGTCTGCCATTCGCAGCGTTTCATATCGAACACTCCGACCCAGTTCCCAGCTCAGTCCCTCCCTCACGCCCACCGACCACATTAGGCGAGAAAGTACAAGGACCTGAGTATCAACAGGCGACCCCGCCGCCTTCGCAGACGCTACGGGTGAGACCACCTCACTGCGAAATTGTACCAGGATCACTAACTTCAATCTTACCGGGCTATGGCAGATCCCAACAAAGGATTATCACTTGCTGAGCAGGAGGAGCGTGAGCTACAACAAGCTGTGGCCATGTCCTTGAACCAAAACCTTGGACAACAGGAGACAGGCGTTACAACTTCGAACAAGTCGAACTTTGGCCGGGCCACCCGTGACTTTTATGATGAAGGTGCTTGGGCAATGACTTTATTTAACTCTAGCGCTCGCGAAATTATCATCAGTCCAAATCCGGGAGACCGTAAGAGGGTGGAAGGCGAACCAGCATTTCTGCGTCCATCAGAAGACAGTCTATATCTAGGCGGGCTGTTGACCATCCTTAACTCTATACCCCTGGCTCGGGAAGCTCTCCTGCAGAGAAATAGGATCCTCTCAAACTATGGGCACGACCCGCAGTGGTGGAACGGACAACCAATAAACCTTCCAAAAATAGTGACAATTCAAGATGCACACGACGGCGACACGGATTGGGATGATATCATCTACGAAACACAGAGGCTTATCGCCTTTCTGGATATTACGCAACGCTCCTTTGGTAGCGTGGATGCTCTTGTAAGTTTAAAGAGCATGTCTACATACGACTCGGAAGGCAGCATAGGCAGGTTTTTGGAAACATGGCAAGATGCCGCTGTCCGAGCAGATCCTGGGAATCAATTGGCAACTGTCTTCTCGTCCAAGGCATATAAACGACCTCTTACCGTTTACGACACACCTATACACAAAGATTTCTTCATCCTTGAGTCATTCGTGGACCCTGAGCATGGTCAAACTCTCTACGATGTTTTGGATCGCGCCATTTGGTCAGACAGGCCTGGTGAAGAGCTTGACGATGTATGGTTGGAGCATATAGGTGAAATATTCACTATTAGATTGGAAAGCACCGACAGTACAAAGCCTGTTGATGTAAAGATTCCTGCGGTCTTCTACCCTGATCGATATCTCGCCGATTCCAGAGATTTTTCTCGCGACTTTCGTGCCCAAAGACTTCAGGAATATGACGGAATATCCAAATTAGAAAGCCTGATCGACCGCTTTTCGGCGTCAAAGTCTGCTATGCACAGCAGAGGGATGACTCTGAAGGAAACGCTAGAGAAGGCTGCTTCTGCAGTCTCCGTAACACTGCCCAAGAGCCTTGCAAATGGCGCGAATGGGTTGTCTTTGAGCCCGGAGGCGGCAAACGCGGAGGCGAAACGTTTAGCAGATGAATTGCGAGAAGTCTCCAGTAAAATTGATGATAAGCTGAAAGGTAAGCCTCTTTTATCCTGATCGTGCTTCTACATACTAACGCTACCTCCAATCAGAGCTGGTTCAAAGAAGAGAGAGCGCTATTGAGACACTTCGAAGCTACACAAAGATATTAACGGAACCGTCGGATATCCCAGGGAAAACACCTCATTATAAATATACTACGGGGCGTGTGTACTGAACCGCACGTAACTTACGTGTTACGACCTAGCAATCATATGGAGATGGCGGACACCGAACCTACAGCCGCCGATGAGTGGCAGTGGTGGCGGATCAGCTTTTCAACAGATGACGCAAAAGCTCGGCAAGTAGAGTCACAGCAGGGTGATGCGCCCAGTTCCAAAAATGCAGACGTCATTGGATATACGGCGCGCAAAGTTCGAGAAATTGAAGTCCTCAAAGCGGCTCGTGAAGAATCCAAGAATGTTTTGCTTGTCTATGCTAATGGAAATGCGATGAATTTCCGAGAGGAGCCAATTCCGTCTCCACTCCAGGTATGTCTGGTTATTTCTGGAATTAAACCTTAAGCTAACCCCGGTCTAGGAATTTGTCAATGCAGACAATGCAATATTTGACGCTGAGTTCAAGGAGCAAGAGCGTGCGGAGGATGCATCTGACAGGCAGAATGAGGATTCAAACTCCGCCAGTCGCCAGGATGAGAGCACAGAGATGAATGAACTAGCCAAAGATGATCAGCGAGAAACTACCTCGGCCGCTGCAAATGTAAACGTGTTCGACTATCAAGTCTCAAGCTTCGGCGACGCAGTGGAGTCCAGCCAGGAAATGCAGGAAAGGGGAGGGCGAACTCTACTAGGTCAGAGTAGTACAGCAGGCCCTGTACAATATTCGCCGAGTACCAATACCGCGTGGAATTAGTAATGGTGGAAGTGCGAAAGTGATGTAGCTGCTATGCATCTCCAGTGTCTATATGTTGGGATTGATACATACGAAGTATTAAGGATACATATCTTGCAATATGCCAGTACTCAAGTACACAGCTACATTTTAACATCTTTGTATTTCCACTTGTCTTAAAGCGAGCATACCAGCAGGATATAATAGGCTTGGCAATATTCTCATGCCCATGAGATGCCTACATAAATCAATCCACAGCGACCGTTGATAAAACGGTGCAACATCCCCACATGGCCCCCTATTCGGTATGTTTGTATGTCATGTTTGCATCCTAACCCCAACATAGGTTTGATCGAACAAGGAAGCTCATTTTCCATAGATTACCACTACACCTAGACAATGGGTCTCGAAAATGAGGCAATAGCCGGGGCGACGATTGAATTACTCGAGTCTCGCCTCCGGCGACTAACCTACCTTCTCACGGGCGACGCAAATTGGACTGGTGTTCCCACCGCACCCGCGAAACCAGCTTCTTTAGATGACAGTGTCTCGCGCCGTCTTCTCAGCTTAGAGCGAGAGCTTGAGAGACTTAGTCGAAATATCCCCGCAGTGCGGGATGTGCTTCTTCTCCGTGCGGGAACTCATCCTACTATGATCGTACACACACTAATCTACCGTTCTAGATGACCGCTTCCCCGATCTCTTTCGCCCTACACCACCGCAAACGTTCCCAGAAAACCTGTCAACCCAGAATCTCGCCTCAATAGTGTTATCGTATGCCTCCGCGTTTCCAGAGACCGCCTCGCGACTCACATCATTAAATGATCTCCCGATTCCGGATACGCAGACATCGGCCGCCCTCATCCAGCTTCAGCCGCGATTGGACCAATTGGCGCAGGTGCAGGAGGAACAGGCGAAGCAGATCTCAGAACTACGTGTACGGACAGCGCGAGCTTTACAGCGGTGGTATGAGATTGCTTTGGTTGGGGGTGGCGAATGCTGGGCGGAATGGGAAGGGCGCCTTGAGGATGTTGAGCGGGAAGTAAAAAGGGAAGAAGTGGTGAGGGAGCGGAGGGCGAAAGAACTCTGAGCGCGTCTTGATGACGGTTTCGGTCTTGTGCGTTACGACTTATGATACCTCATAATTTACATTTTTCGTACTTTAGTTCGGTGCAGCGCCTCGTTTGCTGTTGTGGATTCTCACGTAATCTCCGGGATATTAGAAGGAGCGAAACTATGACTATGTGCATATCGTGACCAAGATTATCACAAAAACTGGCCCCGGTCTCGAAGAGGGCCACAGCCCCTGCAGAAAGCGCAAGGTACAGACACCCATTGCAGATGGTAAAACTAGACCGGTCGGAAAGAATTGTTCAGGACTGATGTTGACTCATGACGAAACAAGACAGGGGGGATCGTGCATGGCCGCCTATTTTTCTACTCATAGGCACGATCAGCATGCACGATTTGCGGAACTATAAGTTGACTGTGCAAGGCACATAGTAAATCCCATGGCCACATCATATGGACCCTTGCATGTTTCCGTGGCTCCGAGAAGTTGGGATCTTGCCGAAATTACCGTTATAGAGTGGGTATGGATGGGATTGTGGATTTTATACCTCGCCTCGGTTGCAATTTCCCCATCTCTTGGCTAATAAGCGTTGTGCATAATTGTTAATTAAACCGACCAGTTTTATCTGCACATGAGGTCTGCAAGTATTGCCTCTCGGACCAGGAGTTGCAACAGGGTCTTTTGATCCACGGCATGGATGGGTCTAGGTTCAGATAGAAAAAAATAGGTTATTCTCGAGTGAAAGATGGAATATAATTTTTGGGGGCGGTGCTTGATAAGAGCGAATCCACTGGCCCTGTTGCTGTAAAGAAGGGAAATCAATGGACAGAAAGTAACAGAGGATTTCTCGGCATTTGCATTTTCATGGATCTGAATTCTAAGAAAAAAATGCTTAATATTAAGAGAACGACTATGGACTCCGGAATATAGTGGCCTTCTTCATGTGAATAGCCCTACTTTGTGGTTTTTCCCTTTTTAGTTCCCTGATTCTTTAATTCGGATCCCGAGTCTCCTCCGGAGTAGAGTACGTAGGACCCCATTAATTAGCACTTTTAGTGTGGTGAGTGTAGGGATTCTGAGTGTGGTAATGGAAAACTGAAGGATTTCCCAAAACCTACTGATGCAGATTATAAGCAACGTTCCATAAATCAGGATCCATTCGTGGATATGAAAGTTGCACACCATGTTGATCCTTTACTCTTTTATGATGCCGTCAAGCCACTCATGCCACATCTCAGCCTCAGCCCTGGCCAGAATTTAATAAGAGGAACCCACTATCTGCACTAACAGTAATTAAAGCAAAGACCGAGTTGCGTGTCGCCCATCGCAAGCGGAGAAGAGGGATCCATTCGGACAGTTTTGAATCAAGATCTCATTTCGATCTTTGAGTTGCCATGGGTGTGGTCATATTAATGATAGGCAGCGCCATTAAATTGTCATCCAGAGAGTTCAGTCGATGGGGAATTGTGACAATGAGAGTCATTGTGGGGACAGGATGATAGGCTACGAAGGAATAGAATCCTTTGGCCGTGTGTTACCAAGAAAATAGTTAACATTAAAGAAAAAAAAAAATTGAGTAATTGGCAGAACTGGAAAGGGAAAAAGAAAAAGAAAGACAAAAAAGTCCATAACTGTGTCATTACCTTTCTAGTGTTCATAATCCGCATAAGAATAGTAACGACAGAAACTTAGTTCGGCCGAGGACCAGTCGTCATGCGTTCTCGATCTTCCAGGCCAGGGGCCAAACCAGGAACAGCAACCAATCAAGCGCAGTCCGTGTGTTTGTGGAAACGGGGTTCGCGTGGACGCTCCAACTCCAGTGGGTGTGAAACCTGCCAAGTGGTCCTCTAGCGTCGTCGCATCTCTGCCTTGCTGCCTCAGTGTCCAGTCCACATTCTCTTTCCCCTCCCGTCCCATCTTCTCTCCTTTTCCCGACTGGACGAAGTATTCGACTTGTTCAACATTTTGCACTTCACTTTCCCCATCTTTGTTACTTTCTATCACTCCTTCACTTCATCAGTCGCTTTTACGTGATCGACTTTTCACTCGTTTCCACTCTTTCCCCCCTCTCTTTTGCTGTCATCCCTTCTAACGTTTCATATTGATCTTTCCTTCCTCCAGCCAGGTGCTGTTGTTTATTTGTTGCCTGCAAGGGGCATTCTTGTTTCTAAACTTCCCTCAACCAACCTCTCAAGGGACACGCTCTTTGGTCTCTTGATTGTTGTCTCAGAATATAGTGCTTCTTGAATTTTTTATTTATTTATTTTTTTTTAACTTTACCTTGACCAGCCTCCTTGTCAATATTCTTTCTTTACCTCTAAGGTACGATCATGCACTTGCGCTGGCTGACCGCTTCTGTTCTTCTACTTTTTTTTATTCAATGTATTTTTTAAAAAAAACACGAGTCACTGGTTCGTGTTGTTATCATTCACGATGTTCTCGATCCACCGCCAATTGATCTACATGTTCTTTATCCTTCGCGTCTAGAACTACACAACGAAACTAACCGCTTGATAGTAGAACGCTGACTTAATCGATAAATGCCATAAATTATCATAAGCGGCAACTGATATTTCCGGGGAACCTTGCTCGGTCATTTCATCCTGTTTAAAGAACGCAAAGAAGTGATTATAAAGTCATCGCCATTCACAGACGGGATATACCTCTTCGGCCACTTATACCGACGGCAAAGAACCAATCTCGAACGTCCTATATATTCTCCTTCGCCCTTTCCTTACCACATTCATGGTGGCTTACTCCGCGCATTCCTCATCTCTACATAAGCCGAGTCCATATAACGAAAGTCCTCGAAGAATGGCGAGATTCCGTCCAAGCAACATCCTCGGTGACCCGTTCGCGCTTGCAACGATCTCCATTTCGATAGTATGTGTCTCAAACAGCGGGGTGATCCAGTCTTGGTGATTGATGCTAATGGGGTTTCGTTTGTAGCTGGCATGGATCATTGCATTCATATCGTCGATTGTCTCGGCTATTAATGCCCGTGGCTATCCCACCTATTCATGGTGGGGAGTCGCTTATTCGCTTTGTATTATTCTTGGGATGACACTCGTGTTTGGTACGGATACTGGTTCTGTCTACGGTGTAGCTGTATGGTTTTCCTGGTGCCCTTTATGCACATGAGCCCAAAGCTGATCAGCAACAGATTGTGGGGTATCTTTCCGCTGGTATGGTAATCACGACACTTGGTGTGAATTCATTGGTATATCGCAGCGATTCTGCGTCGCAAGCTGCAGGTGCCGGATTTATCCTCATGTCTATGGTGATAGTGAGTCACATTACGCTTTCATATCGAATATAACTCACGAGTTAAATAGGTTATCTGGATATTTTACTTCGGGTCGACGCCGCAAGCCTCGCATCGTGGATTCATTGACTCGTTCGCTCTCCAAAAGGAACACCCTGGAGCATATGGCAACGGCAGACCTATGTCTACGGCCTTCGGAAACCGACCTGAGACTACTTCCAGCCAGGCACCTCAAATGTATACATCGGCACAGCTCAATGGTTTTGAGACGTCATCGCCCGTATCGGGCTACCCAGGCGGCGCCCCCGGTTCGGAAAACCGCAGCTCATCGCAACCTCGATTTGGCAACCCTTCGAACGCCAACTTGCCTGCCAATGGCAACGAGAACGAGGTTCCTCAACCCACCGAATACCCGTACCGGGCAAAGGCAATCTATTCGTATGATGCCAACCCAGAGGACGCCAATGAGATCAGCTTTTCCAAACATGAGATATTGGAAGTGTCCGATGTTAGCGGTAGGTGGTGGCAGGCCAGGAAATCCAATGGAGACACAGGCATTGCTCCATCGAATTATCTGATCTTGTTGTGATCCGGATGGAGTTTCACTGTGTAACGCTTTCTTTCTTCTCTTTTTGGTTTTTTCATGGTCCTCGCCATTTGGTTGCGAGAAAAATTATCATTGATACCCTTCGAGTAGTATCACTCGGCGCGAGTCTGGTTTGCGAAGTCACGTTACGTCTTGATGGCATTTTCTTGCTTGTTTCAACATTCCTTGGTCGGTACTTCCTTTTCGTTTTGTAAAGCGCATGTTCGGTTATCGATCTCTTTGTCTGAGCTTCTTTGAGCGGGCAGCTGCGCGCTGATATATTATGCTCTATAAGTTCCAGCTGTCATGTTCCGGACATAGCTCATTACATGCTTCAATGTTTATCGCATGTTGAACTGGAATGGTTAAGCTTTTCTTGAATGTATGAAATCAAGGCTTTGTTCCAGCTCTAGGCAATAAAGCGAGTGTAGCTTCTGTCTCTTCTGAACGTAGTAAGGATCCCATCCGGCTACTGTGTTGCAGTATAACACAATGTCGACCAGCGTAGGCGAGGCATGGTGCAAAAAAGAAAAGCGTTGGTGCCTCTTACCATAAAGCATGCCGTAGGTTGTAGTACAATCACGATCATCTTGTTAGCCTGCGTCAGCAGTTTCCACGTGCGCCAAATGCCGAGGTTTTATATTTTTCAAAACTTCGCTCGAGTCAATATCTGGAACTGAGAAGCTTACCTGCTGATCATGCCACAATGGTATATCATCTTGGCCTTGCCCGTAATAGCTTTAAGGGGAGTGGCCTTCAGTTCTGTGAGGAACCAACCTGATAATTCATTGGTGGTAGAATGGAAGGTCCCCAGCCGTTGGCTTCTCATGTGGATAACCTGTCTCGACTTGGTGCGAAGTCTGAGTCTTTTCTGCATCCTCCATTAGGACCCGGTAAATTATATATTGGACATGTGATAGGTCTGGATCTACTCAAAACCTTATCCGCAGCTCCAGCAATTTTATTGAAGTATAAATGCAATTCTTCTGAACCGACATACCTGGATACGCATTCTTCTATTAAGCCATGAGAACAAAGGGAATGTAATTGCAATAGTTCGGTACCATCTTATCGATCAATTGGAATTCTACGAGGAGTCCGTGCGCTTCTTCCAATGGTTTCATGAAACCTCCCTGACTTAATATAGATAGTGTCAGAGACTAGCTACGGTTCTAAACTAGTTAGTTCCCTTAGGTACTGTACATGCATAAAACGCTGACATGTCAACGCTGCATGTACCATCGAAATGAGGCGACGACCGCCGAAATCTCTTTCCCAATAATTATTGCTCTTGTCGGATTTCCCTTCGCTTCTCTTCTCATTAACTAGTCTCACTTCGCCGGGGACTCTTTGCGGCCCAAGCGTTGGGGTTTTTAGGAGAGAGTGGCTGGATTTACGCCCTTCTCCTATTACCATCCGATACTATTATTATTACTACTACTATTACTATTTACTATATTTACTATCATTATACTACAAGGTACCGGGATCGTACGGGTCAAGATCCCCCCGGTGGGCTTTAAAGTAAGGTAGGAATTCCCCGTGACTGCTGAAGCAATTGCCTTGTTGAGTAACTAGACCACCACTCCAACCGGGGTCGTTCGACAACTGAACTTCCCCTCAACCGCTCTCCGTTCCCTCTTGTGCCCTCATTTTTCATTTTGCGTTTTCTTCTTCTTTTGCTTCCTTTAGTTTCCCCCTTCCCCGCCGTCGCGCTCCTTCCCATCTCGGAGGGGAACAGTGGAAAGAAAGTCTTATCAAATAGTTCGACTTGCGGTCGTTCCTGTTCCTCTCCTCCTATACAAGAGATGAGGAACGCTGCCCTTCCATTTACCCCGTCCATCACCGCACGGTGTGCCACAGCTATAGTTGTCATCGCCGGTGCTGGTGCTGGTGATGGTCCTAGTCTCTAGCCGTCTTGACCATTGAAATTAAGAGACAGGAATAATGGAAGTGACAGTATAGTGTCTCTCATTCATCTGATCCACTCCTTTACATTCTGTTTCCTTGCCTGTTTTCTTTGTTTCGTTTTTTCCTTTATTTATTTTTTTCTTCTCTTTTTAAAAAAGAAAGATATATATTTTCCTGGTCCCTGATTATAAGAAGCTGTCGTGGTTGAGGCTCAGCCATGTCGACAACCAATTCCTGGAGCAAGTTTAAAGCCAAAGTGCTGCGGCGATCGTCGACTGTCAAGGCGGCCACTGGGGCGGAACCTTTCCTCGTGCCAAATTCTAGCACCGCCAACACCAACTCCTTATCGCCAGTGCCTTTGCGCTCTCCCCTCACGTCCGACAAGGGTTTCGCTCAACCCCGTTCGTATAATTCTGTCTCCTCGTTATCTACTGCTCAGCGCTCAATCTCGGACGATACCTCCGTGCCCCCCGCGAGTCCATCGGCAGAACGGGGGCGGTATTACGGTTCCGTTGACGAAGGCTCGGTAGGGAAATCACAATCTCCTCGGGAAGAAGAACCATCACGACTACGCAAGAAGACCCGAGCTCCAGGACCATTGAATCAAAACCCTCTAACTCCCACCCCAGGGCCACAGGAGCGACAGCTGTCCGAATCGAATCTTGATCGTGTCCGCGCTGTAACCGACCGTCACAGCTTGCCCCCGGACTTTCTGAAGTCCCCCCCACGGTTACTTGATCCGAACGAGCTACTACAACAGTTACCTTTTGCTTCAACAGCGACCTCGCCTCTGCCGACTTCGGGCAGTGGAGCGTCTCAGACTGCGTACAACCAAGGGCCGGACCGTACAGGGTCTACGGTCGGCGAGCCCCAGTTACCTACACCCCTGACTGCTGTTGCGGAGAATCCTTCCGCTGCATACTATAATCAAGGAAATATCTCCAGTACCGTTTCGATCCCCAAACGTCCTAGCCTCGGCTCACGTCGTCAATCGCTTTTTGCCCCGTCTCACCAGCATTTGATTAGCGATCTACTCGAGCAGCCAAGAACCTCCCTAGAAAACGACGGTAGTGGCCGCCTTGCCACCGGTACTGCTGGGATGCTACAACGCAAGATCTGGGTTAGACGGCCAGGGGGCTCGGCCACTTTGGTGCCGACCGCACACGATGCTCTTGTCGACGAGCTACGCGACCAAGTAATAATGAAATACGCCAACTCGCTGGGCAAGACGTTCGACGCGCCCGATATCGTCGTTCGCATCGCAGCTCGGGAAGGCTCGAACAAACAGGCAACCCCGGATCGGATGCTAAGTCCAGAGGAGCCATTGGTCACAGTGGTGGACTCTTATTTTCCAGGCGGCCAAACAATAGAGGAGGCCCTGATTATTGACATACCTCCACGACGAACGCCGAAGCCGTCCCCGCGTCATTCTATCTACTATGAGCAAACTGAACCCGGTGAACATAACGAATATTTCCCTCTCATGCCAATCCACCCTAATATTCCCACCCCGCCAGCCCATGCATCCAATTCTTCGGGCAGTGCCAGTGCTCATCCGGCCCCGTCAATAAGTATCCTCACAACTGGGATGGCACCGCCATTACCTTCCCCAGGTAGCCGGGGAAATCGCCATACCCGCCGGCCTCCTCTTACCCGGCATACTACAAATTCGCCCACTGTATTAGGGCAATCGGCCAGCTCCAAAGGTTAGTTGTCTGATGTCTTATCGGATTTAACTGGCTTGGGGCCACTCTAAGGATGTGTACTGACTGCTTACAGATGCTGGAGCCCAACAAGCTGCCATAGCTCCGCAGCCAGCTCCACAAGTCCCTACGCCGCCTGTCCCACCTCCAGATTCGCCTCAGAATAAATCGATGACCCCTCCTGCACGCGGCGCGTCACCTCGCCCTCGTCAGTCGGCAAAACCCAAAAAGAGCCCTGCACAGTCATTGAGTGCAGCGTTCGGAGGACTCATTGAGGGCACTGTGCCGCCCATTAATGTTCTCATCGTTGAAGATAACGTCATTAACCAGAGGTTGTTAGAGGCATTCATGAAGCGTCTTAGTGTGCGTTGGAAATGCGCCGCAAATGGTGAGGAAGCGGTCAGGAAGTGGCGGGAAGGCGGCTTTCACCTTGTTTTGATGGATATCCAATTGCCCGTTATGAACGGCTTAGATGCGACGAAAGAAATTCGCCGGCTTGAGCGTTTGAACGGAATAGGTGTTTTCCCTAAGACGGCATCCGGACGGTCAAGTGCTGCGAGTGCCACCGCGATGACCCCGCCGGAGATAGACCCCGAAATCAATGATTCTTTGACAGAGGAGGACGTATTGCATGATCTTTCGCTATTCAAGAGTCCTGTCATTATTGTCGCATTGACTGCCAGCAGTCTGCAAAGTGACCGACATGAAGCATTAGCTGCTGGCTGCAATGACTTCTTGACCAAGGTATGCCTTATTGTAAATGCCTTGCGCATGACCAAAGCTGACACATTGATAGCCCGTGCGATTCGAATGGCTGGAGCAGAAGGTTACGGAATGGGGATGCATGCAGGCTCTGATTGACTTTGAAGGCTGGCGCAAATGGCGAGGGTATGCAAATGATAACCAGTCGTCAGCGACACCTACACATGCTCAATTGGAAAATGGACGTGTGACCAAGAAATATTCTCCTGCCTTGCCAGATTCTTCTTTTCAAGAGGCGGCAGCCCGGCTTTTGCATCTTCCCAAGCCGTCGGATCTCTTGCCAGAAGACTCTTCTGGAGGGGAAGCACCTGACTCTCCTGCAAGCCCGTTGACCACTGTGCCTGTTGAGGAGACTTCGAGTCACCACGACGCGGCCCCGGATGCCGTCTAAGTTGCAGGACTTCACGTTTATTTTGATTTTAGGCCCTCTCGGTTCGCCGGTTTCTTTTTTTTTTTTTTCTTTTCTTTTTTTTTTGTCACAATACATGCATGGTTGATGTTGTTGCGTGAGCTTGTTCCGCTATTTTAGGCTTCTATGGATACCCAGCATAGCCCTTGTTGATTCCTTCTATAGCACTGTTGTTCGCTGGTTTAAAGGGGGCGGCTTCTTCATCTTTCGTGGTGTTTTACAGGTTTTTTTTCATGATTATATATCTACCTTCAGGGGCATGCTCAAGCATACGATCGAGACTTTTCATGTTCGCTTTCTCTATCGAGATGTGTACTAGTAGTATCCTGATAGGTGATGTAGGCATGGATGCCATGATTCGTCCCGGGTGTAAACTTGCATCGGCCTGACCGTTGTGCTAACACTATTTAAGCAGTGCTACAGCACCGACCAGTATCTTAGAGGCTGTCGGATCATAATTATTGTCTACGATGCTGCATCTTACTATGCTCTAACCAAGATATAAAGTCAATATAGGGGAAATTTGATCAGTATCCAGTCTTTACGACGTCAATTCGATTCAATTATAAGTACAAGCGAACGCTGACCCGTCACATCCATATCTGTACAGAGGAGCATAGAAATACAAGAGCGTAAGAAAGGTAGAAGGTATTGATATAGAGACAGAGACTGGAAAGATATCCCGACTAGCGGTGATAATCCAGACTTAGACCTCCACGCGTGTGGGGATCTTGACCTGGCCCTTCTTCCGCTCGTAGCTGGGGACACCGTATCTGAGACCGGGGGCCTTGGAGCCACGACCGTCTGCGCCGGTTGTCTCCTTGCTGACAACGACGTCCTTGAAGCGGAATTCAAAGCGCGAAGACTCGGGCTGGACCTTTGTTTGTTGCTGTTCCTGGCGCTCCTTGGCGAGGCGCTTGCGCTCCTTCTCTGCGGTCTCCTCCTGGCGGAGACGTTGGTTGTATGCCTTGAAGATCTCGCGGAATTCGGTTGGTTTAGCCTGACGGAAGCGCTCGTGAGCGACAAGGTGGGGGTGCGGGATACGGGCGTCTGCGGGCTGGAGAACTTGCTGTTCGGCCTCGCCTTTGCCAACCTTCTCAATATGGGAAGGGTTTTGCGTTATGCGGCTGATGGCTTCTGCCGGGTCAGTAGCGTCGTTAGTGACTTGCTTGTTTTCGAGAGCTGGGGCAGCGGAGAAGACACGACCAGCGTCGAGACGGTTGAATTGGCGGGATTCGGATGCAGGATAGAAGATTTGGGGGTCGGTCAGTTTGTGGACGGGAAGGTCATTGATTGACTCGTGAGGGCGGCTGCGGTTGTCGCGAGTGTCTTCGTATAGGGGTGTGGTGGGTACCATTTCATGGATAGCCCGAGCGTATGGCAGGCTAGTGATTTACCCTGTGATTCAAATGGTTAGCGATGAATCAGTCGTACAATTGAAATGTAGAATAAATCAAGTAGAACTGAATGCAATCAGATATTAGGCGTTGTAACCATTCCCGGCCGGTTAGACCGGGTCATAAAGACTAATCGATTTTATAATTGTCTCATCATTGCATTGTGGTGGAGGGCCCTGAGCAGGGTGCAAGCGGGAAATAAGGTAAAGAGAATAAATACATACCTGTAGTTGCTGACGTTTCTCCAACTCAACTAACCTCACAACAGCACCGACTCTCCGCATGTCGACGCCCAGATCTACACTGACAGCTCTGACACTCTTCTTCTGATTTACGACGCGGTCGTAGATCTCGTTCCGCAGCTCTTCACTCAAGATAGACTCGCTGACAAAGTTCTGGTTTAATGGGAACGGGCGGGTCCGTCCGGCAGGTTGATCATCTCTCTCCTTGAATTGTGTGAGATAGTTCGTTGACCCGGGGACATGGTTTTTCAGAGCGGCGCCTTCACTGTTCAGCCAAGTGAACATCTCGTTGCGCAGTCTCGTTTGAGAAGCCACGGTTGAAGAGAAGGGACGGCACGTCCGCCGAGATGTGGATGGAATTGATGAGGAAGAACATTGGGTAGGGATCTTGGAGATTGTGGATGTAGAGGTGGAGGAGGAAGAGAGGTAGGGGAGAAGAGAGTTGGTCACGAGCTGATTCTGTACTCGTGGTGGCATGGTGATGGTGTATAATACAAGTCTAACTAAGGGACAAAAGGGGTATCAAGTCACAACGGGCTTCTATCAATGTAGGTTGGCCCAATTGGTGTCTGTCGAGGGGGTGAGGGTGGTATAGAGAATAGATGTCAACAGAACAACCGGAGGACGAGGAAGAAACTTTTTGGCGCGGAGTGATCACGTGGTATATACCAACCAGCCTAACTCATCTGGGACATACGTGTATAGCTCATGGAGCCCATGGTTCTTACATCTCAAAATTATTGCAATGATTCTTGATTGGCACGTTGGCAATAGCAATTATAAGTTCATTGAATGTATCAAGTACACGAAGAGCAAATTCCCGCGAAATGGAGATAAAAAATCGATATAGGTACGCCTCTTTCCTCCACCCAACTGCCAGTGTAAATGAAGGGTTGAAGAAAACCGGATGAGAAAACCCAGAATATGCTCCCTAAGTTAACAATAAAAGCCACCACGCTGCTCGCAAGAATGCAAGTAAAAGAAAGAGCAAAGAGCAATCCGCTACAAATCAACTGGCCAAAGCCGGACGTAAAGGATCCCAGAAATGTATCTCAGTGTATAGACCGTGAAGAACGCCTCTCACAATGGGTGTTTTCATGTAACCGTCGCAGACCTTTATCATAACATGGGATGGAATAATAAGCTGAAACCCAGTATCATGCCGCTCTTTTTTGTTTTTTCTTCTTTTGTTTCTGTTTTGGTTTTGATTTAGATAGGAGAGCTTCGCTTCCTTGACCTAGCAAGCAAGCAGGCATTCACGAAGGCAGGTAAGAATGAGATGGGCGAATGGTATTCCTCGTAAACCCAAGGGACAAAGCGACAAGGTCCCGTCCATGTAGAAAGAAAAGCATTGCTAAACCCCTCTGAATCAAAACAGTGACGCCGGATGAATGAATGCGACATGAACTCGATGCCACTGATTGACCACAGACGAAGCTCGTCTTGAGACAACTCCTCGAACAACACTATTATCAATAACTCAGAAATCGCAGTACAGCACAGGGTATGAATGTGTACGAAACACAACAACAGGGGAATAACAAACAAATAAGGAGACACTTGTCAGAAAGGTATAAAGGGAAAAAAAAAACAAAAGATCAATCAGATGTCAAGACGATAATGCACCCCCAAAAGAAAATAATAATGGAAGACCCACAATCCTGTGTTGTTCAAGTACATTGCAAGGAAACGAAAGGAGGATGGGGGAGGAAGAAGCGAAAACGGCAAGCAAGCTATAGAAGCAAGAGTCCCATATTCCTTACTCCCGGGAGGAAGGGGAGCCTCCAAATGCTAATCTAGCTCGTGAAAAATCAAATCAAATCCCCAATGCGCCAGAAACCCAGTGATCATCATCAAACATGTCGGACATTATCTCCACGATATGCTGCATCTTTCTACCGACCCATCATGTAGTCGGGGTAATAAGAATTAAAGCCTGCCATATTCGGTCCTGAGCCACCGCCAGGGACCCCTCCGGAGAGTGGAGTGGTAGGGGACATCATGGAATTCATATGGTTTGTCCGAATCCCTAGGCCAGTATTTGGGTGGAAGGAGCCGTTGTTTGGTACTGGCGCGTGGGGATGGCCAGAGGTATGCACGGCTCCGTTGTTTCGCAACTGCAGTGGTGGCACTAGGCCTGGAGGGGCCGAAAGACCCGGGGGAGGCCCGCTGACAGTGGAGAACATATGGTTGTGCATGCCACCGAGGCTGCTACCTCCAGAAGCTGCACCTTGCGATGCAATATTGTTGGAGGCACTCATGGAACCCGGCTGCCCAGAACGAACACCCAGGGGATCTTCGAAAAACTAAGGCGGATACCGGTCTTGATGCTGTTGGAAAGTTTGTAGCCATACAGTTCATTCAAGGACTTGCCGGCTGTGCCCACATCCTCGAACTCCACGAAACACATGGGTCCGTTTTGCTTGTTGCGGAAGCAAAGACGTTTGTATCCACGCTGCTTCATAAAAAGAGCTTTAAGCTCTTCTTCTGACGCGTCTGGTGGCAGGTTGCCCACATACAAAGTGTTGCAAGGTGGGTTCATGTCGTTCGGGTTTGCGGCGGGCAAACTATGGCGAGGTGTATGTGGATTGCCGTAGGGGAGCCCGTGGTTCCCACCCATGTTGTTGGCCATCGACTGGGGATATGCAGTCGAGGGAGTAGGAATTCCCATATGGGCCGAACCACCAGGAGCGTAATTCGGTAATGGTGGCGAGGACAAATTGGTCGCCAGTGACAAGTTGGCAAACTGATTCGTGGGGAACTGGGGATTGGTGGAACGACGGGGGATGGAAACAGAGCCGGAGTGCCCATTCTCCGCGTAGCCCACGGGATCTTTGAGAAGTTCACCCGTATCTTCGTCGAGGTCCTGATCAATCATTGACTTACCACTGACGCGTGGCAAATCATGGACACCATTTCCGATCGGGGACTGGGGCGAGAAAAGGCTATGGATACGCGAACTTGACTCAGGAGGTAGGGCATCGCTGGCCGATGAGTTGGATGCGTTCGCCACCGTCAGCTTCTCCAGGCTCTGGAAAGTACCGTTAAAACGGGATGAATGCCGCGACAAGTGTCCATTAGACGTAACACCCCCCAATAAGCTACGCGTCGCGGTGTGGTCAATTGTATTGCGCCTGGGTCCCCCCAGAGCTGAGCCGACAGGGCCATTATACATTTCCACGATCATGTTCGCATCGTTATTGGAGTTCGGCTTGCCATCGAGCAAAGCCCGCGCCTCTTCGGCTGCAGCGACCGTACCAAATCGTGCGATTGCGCTCACATACCCGTTATCTTCGGGAGGGCTATTCTGTTCAAACTCAATATCCACAAGATCTTTAGCAAATAGAAGCATGCTGCGCAACAGCTCGAGACTAGTGCTCTTCGGAAGTTTTCGCATTAGGATCGCGCCGCCCGTTCCGGGTCGAATGAAGCCGTTGAGGCCCTGCGCCGACCGATCAGCGTCACTTAGGCGCATGGTGGCGGAAGGCATGTTATCGAAGGCCGACGGCGGACCGAGGGGTGTGAATGGATAGGTGAAGGTGGGACCTAGTGATGTTGACGCCTGCGATGTGGATGAAGTGTACACGTCGGTCGACATCGCATTCTGGGCCGTTAAAGGCGCCTGAGAGGATTGAAGTGACTGATGTGGAGGCGACGCGCCCGACGACACGGACGGCGTGCGATGAGTGGTACTCAAGGACCCAGGACTCGTACGGGTAGACTGATTCGAACTGCCACTCATGCCTCGCGGATCGATGATCCTAGTTGTTAAATGGATCGACAAATCCCACGAGCGATAAAGGCAGGATTAGGTTCTCCAGGTAAGGGGAGGTGGGCAACGGGAGGCAACAGATGACAGATGCCTAATGCTGAGAAGTGCGTCACAGATTATAAGTTTATTTAACCTGAAAAGATGATCCACAGTGACAGTGATAATAATCAATTCATTTATTCGTCGTTGGGATGCGCCAAGGCGAGTCGAGGACGAACAGATCGTGAATATTGAATAAAGAAGCGATGCGACAACGGGCCGAGTAGACCGATCAACCGAGAAGGAGACGAATAATGATCGCACGACGGGAATATACGGATGAAGCAAATGCGAAGAAAAGGGAAACGAGAGGGAGTGGCTAGAGGATGAAAGGATGGTTGAAGGCGATGGTGGGAAGAAGAAATCGTATCAGGGGGGTGTGGGAAGAAAGAGTAAAGGTGGAAGAGGAGAAGGGCGATGGAGCAATGAAAGGACAGGAGAGAAGTGAGAGAGTTCGGGGGAAGGATAAAGTTAGATTGGGTTTGGGGGGGAGGCCGGAGAGGGGTGGCAGTAAGTAAGGCTGGTAACAAGTTCTCTCCAGTGGTACAGGCAGTACCTATGGGCAGTTGATGACGGGGATAGTAGAGCATGTATTGCCGTTACCTGATGGTAATCATGCCGAAGGAATGATATTATCAATATATATATATTCATATATATTTTCAGAGGGAAATGAACTGACAGGCGAGCTCTGAATAGGGAATAAGGAAAACTATAAAAATAAAAAATAAAAAACAAAAAGAAAGGAAAAGAAAAGGAAAAATATAAGAGGCTGATAAGAGAATAGGCAGAGAGCGGTTGTAAGAAACCAGAAATGAGCGTACCGATGCAAAGTCCGGAACGGTCTTTTCCCCAATAACAATGAAAATGAATGAATAATAGGGACTTGGGAGGGAACGATGGTGTCAGTTGAGTGCACTGGGGGCGGCAGTGCGTCCTTTTGGTCCACGGATCGAGTCTGACTCCGTTCCAGGACAAGATTGAGTGAGTAAAAGTACACTGGCCGAACTAAACCCAAGAAAGCAAGTAATTAATCACCAACGACGTCGTGACTAAGAACGCTAACTAAACTGCTGTCCAATCGAAGCCGCTAAACACCAGATGCGCGACCCGACAATCCAGTTGACACGACGCGCTATTGTGAGCACTGAGCACGGGTATGAAAGTCGATCGACCCTGAAAGACCTGCTGTTAAAATAGATCGAAATGTCTGGCCAGGTCGGCCCGTGGAGTGGACACTGTCATATCCTGATTTTGCAGCATGACTTACCGAGCGCAGCAAACCTGAGGCTACCTCCTACTACGCAAACATTGCTTGAGTATTCCGGATGCGAACGTGTAAGTGCGTGCGCCTTGGGTGCGAGGGCGTGGAGAGAGGCTCGAAGCGTTTCCCCGATAGATACTGTGTACCTACTCCGGAGTACGACCATACCGGAATGAGTGAAGGGACAAATTCCTTCTACTGAATTATATTAACGAAAATCTGACATTGGCCTATTTTCTTCCGTCCGTATTCACATTCCTTTTTTTTTAATTATCTTTTGCCCCAGTTTAAGGTTCTATTGTTCACTAGAACTGAATGGTTGACTCAGGTACCGCATACCTTGCGCATATCCACTCATACTAGTCAGTCCACTGATTTGATGGCATTCAGCCGGAGTCATTCTCCTTTCTATCACGTACCCCTTGACCTCCAAGGATATTCTCCGAGGATAATGAACACCAAAGTTAGCCAATACGGAGTACAACCGTTATCCCCCAGCTGACCAGAAAAATGTTGCTCTTCATACGTATATCCATCCAAGCTCTAGCGATCCCTCGGACCGCGGGTGCCGATGACTACTACAGCACGCATAGCTCCCTCGATCGCGCCAAAGAATTACTCGACCTGTGACAGCTTCATGGACCAGGAGCAAGTTTACTGTACCCTCCTTTGTCTCGTCGATTTGCGGGATTTAGTCATGCGAAGAGCCTTGGGTAGGCTTCGTTATCAGTCGGCATCATACAGTACCCTAAGTGTACCTCTCTGTATCAGACAATGCCATGTCATTTTCGTCCGGTCCGTGGGTGGATTTTCTCATGTGACGAGAGGAAGACCTCGAAATGGACCCAGAAAATAACAAAAAATAAAAAATGTGAAAAAAGATAAAAAAGAAAAACGTTCCTAACAGTCGTTCATCGTGACCGCGACCACTTAACCCTAAATGATAAATCCCTTACTTACCCCAGCCAGAGATAAACTACAACTGTAAAAGTCGACGGATGGAACTCTAAGCCCCCATCTCCCAACAAACGACCTGGATGCGAATTGTAGGGAATACCTGTGCCAAAGAGCGGAGCCTAGTGGCTGCCATGAATCCGTGGGAAAGCTCAAACTCTACTGCTGATCTTCCATCTGGAATTCCCAACGATGACCAATCACCTTTGCCTCCATGGTGTCTGGACGCCGGGCTCCCCGCGACGATTGGTTCATGGCCGGCACTTCCAACTTGGTCTGTGAGAGAAGAGGGGTGGGCAAAGACGCCGATGTGAATCTAGGGGGTCGAAGGAAAGGCCTAGTACCAACAGAAGCATTTCAGATACGCGCGCTAAACAGATTGTGTACGTATCCGAGGAAGATGATTAGCCTTCATTGATGTGCAGCCTACCACTAATATACGGCTCGATCGTGCCTGTTGTGTTGCCGTGGTTGAGAACCCTTTCTGCCTACACGCTGACTCACTAGGATGATGTCAGATGTTGGCTCGCTGCCTATGTTTCTATACCAGTACGTGTATTGGTGTGATCATGGCACAACGTCGAGGCTATGTCTGGTGATAGGTGAGGTAAGAATGGTTGTATCCCTGTCTCATCTGGACAATATGTCGCTCATTATGACGCTTATGTAGACTGTCATTGATTTATACTAGGAGCAATCATCAAATCGGATACTTCATCTCCAGGGCAGCATAAGTGAACATTGACCACACATAACGCGGTTGCTTATGCAGCCGTAATTTCCATGATACCGTAGTATCAACTTTAGTGCATTACAACGTGAAATATGGAAGGTACATACGAGAGGTCAACACATCGTTAGCGCGTACACTGTGTAGACAAGGGCTTACCACGAGAGAGATCTAGTATGTAGAGTTCTCACTGTCGAGATACGTAAGACACAAGGGCTTAAATTCAAGGGTGCATAATATCATAATATCACCACGGCTCTCCAACACCACAAAAACCCGAGACAAGGAATAACGGTTAACTCGCAAGCGAACTGCGACTCTGCGAGTCAGTGATCTAATCAAGAAGCCACCCATGTAGAGATACGGCGCATGTACATCTTTGACCACAGCGCGGCTCACTATATCTCCCGTGTTTCATTTTACAATGCCGGTGCGACCCCCGATAGGTCCAAGGCATACTTCAACCCACAGATTTTGCCGGCAATCTGAGAAATTGAACAAGGAGCCCCAGACTTAGCGTGCATACGGACAGGGAAGATCAGCCGCTCAGGGCGCAGCGTGGCCCTCCATAGTTTATTGTTCTCAGTCCGTAATCGACAAATGCGATTCTCTCATGTCACAATTAAACACAACCAGCTCACATAATGTACAGGTACAAGGTTCGGTCATCGAACCAATATATTCCAGAAAAGGTTCACGCAATAACGCCATGGAAAATGCCAAAACATGGCACTCAAAGAGTATATCAAGTCAAATAGGCCGTCCTCTTCAATCACTGACGTAAAGATCGGGATAGCGATGCATCAATCAATACAAGAAATCTGGGTATGAATGAAACAAGTTTTAGTTCTGTGTCTTTGTTCTGCCATCGCCGATGCCAGCCTGTATCCCAGTATTGTTAGTTCACCATCTATCACAACGTCTGACCTCGTATTCTGGACTCATCGTTCACGTACCAGGCTCAGTAACCGCCACACACCATCACTGGGCTGCGCTCCAACACCGATCCAGTACTTGGCTCGGGACCGGTCAAGTGATACTTCCTTGTATGGCCTTGCGCTGCGGGCTTCCTCGTCGGAGAGGTTCGTAGGGCGTTGCGGGACGGGGTTGTAAGTGCCAATGACCTCCAAAGGTTTCGAGTTACGAGCACTCCTGTAGTGATCACATTACATTAGCTTCACAGCTGCCTCTTTTCGTTGGACATATTGGCTTGTTCTCATAGGGTAAAAGTCAAGACTCGGGAAGAAAAAGGGAAAGAAAAATAAAACCGCAGACAAACGTACCGTGCCTGCGCAACAACAATGTTGTAAAATGGTTGATGCTTGTTCCCGAATCGGGCCAGACGAATACGGACGACCATTTTGAAGGCTGAATGGAATTGACCGGCAGCAGTGAGTGTCCGACAGAAGGTCTATACGCTGGGTCTGAAGCAGGACAGCAAGACTTCCGCGGCAGTTTCGCAGATTGCCGGAGGATTTGTTGATCCGGTCTTACGGAATGCGGATTAGCGCTAGGCGGTGTACTGTGTATGGGATGATAAGGTATGATGTAATCAGATCCCACCACAAGCTTCTTTGAGGTTATTTATTTAGATGAGTTTCATCGTGTTCTCGAGATAGACCATTGTTGAAAATAAAAGATAGCTGAAGGATATTGAGCTCTAGAACTTTCCGCCCTGTCCCTCCAAACAAGTGATATATGTTTCGTTCTGCATTGACAGGGTTCAAGCGATATCCATTCCCCGCTTCGATTCGATACTACAGTAGAACCGCCAGGATGTCGTTGAAGGTACGGTTCCTTTTATTACACGATTCCAAGCGTATATCAAACTAAGCTATCCACATAGGCTATTTCTTCTAAAGATGCCGCATCCCTAGACAAAGACCTGATGGAAATCGGAGGATGGTCGTTGGACCAACTGATGGAACTTGCTGGATTGTCTGTTTCGCAAGCAGGTGAGATGCAAATTGAGAGAGACCAAACGAGTTGTGGATCCCATTGACAGCATACTCTTTAGTCTACCGCGTACATCCTCCAAGCGCTGGAAAGAATATCCTAGTTGTCTGCGGTCCCGGCAACAACGGCAAGTCAACGTCAAGGCCACCGCGATGAGACACAGGTTAATGGCAATCACAGGAGGAGACGGTCTGGTCGCTGCTCGCCACCTCGCTCAGTACGGTTATAAGCCATCCGTTTATTATCCGAAAGAGGGCAAGAACGAACTTTACCAGGTACGTTCGCCAGCCAGGGTGGATTCTACTCAGTTGCAGCCAAAACTAAACTCATCGATAGCGCCTCAAAACCCAACTCGACAACCTCTCCGTGCCATTCATTACCGATTTTCCCGTAGCAATCAAATCTGCCGATCTCTTAGTTGATGCAATCTTCGGGTTTTCTTTCGGTGGCCCTCTCCGTGACCCTTTCCCAACCATCATCTCTCAGATCGAGGCGGCTTCAGTGCCTGTATTAAGCGTCGATGCGCCCAGCTCTTGGGATATAGAGGGTGGCCCACCGAAGGAAGGCCCTGGGTCTAAGTTTATGCCAGAGTATCTGATTAGTTTAACAGCACCGAAACCCTGTGTAAAGTATTACCAGGGGATGCATTTCCTCGGTGGTCGGTTTTTGACGAAGAGTATCACGGAGAAGTACGGGCTGGACCTTCCCAATTACCCAGGCATTGATCAAATCGTGGAGGTTGGAGTTGATGCCGAAGGAAGGCTTTGAAGAATAGGATTGTTTTACTGTCTAGAAGAAGGCTTGTGTGATCCTTTGAGGTTCGTTTATATGTACAGCGTGTGTGGATTGCCTAAGTTTGTTGAGTCTCTAATAATGTAAAATGCATGGCTATCATTAAAGATGATTGTCTAATCCTCAAATGCATCATGTGCTCGAAAAAGGCCGTCTACGCCTTGCCTTATTGCAGCGACTCCCTGATCTCACCGACGACGCCCTTGACCCTGGGCTCCTTCCCGGGACCCGAGGTCGTCACGTTCCCAATGACTTGGCGAATGTCGTATACATCTGTAGCAGCACTCTTGACTTCTTCACTGAGCCCCTTGATCAATGTGCCCAAGGCGACAAGGCTCCGATATACCGCTTCGGAGTCCTTCTCACCGACGATCATCTGCACCAGTTCGGCGAGGAGCACCAAACCTCGTTCAGAGGACTCTGGGGCAGATTCTCTACCTTCAGAGGTGAGGTAGACAGCGATATTAATGTAGAGAGTTGCAACTGCAATAGTAAGATTGCGGTTTGGTGTTGCACCGCTGCTACTCAGTGCCGATTTTACAGCGGGTATGATCCGGTCGAACCTACTCATAACCAGCTGTCGGCCAGGATCGGTCTCGAAGAGATTGGCCAGCATTCGTACTGAAAGCATTGCATTGTTGACATTCGGAGAAGTATCAAATGTGCCGCTTGATAGGATGCCAGTTATGAGGTCTTGACCGTTGTAGTTTGCGGTGGCAGTCACGGGTGTTGCAGCCGCCGATAAACGAAGGAGATCCAGACCCGGTAGTCTATTTGGCACAGGCCAGCCCGTTGCAACCTTAAACAGTAATCCAAGTCCGGTCTCCAAAGTAGGGAATTGCTTGAGACTCTCTGGGGTCTCTAGGTGATTGCACAGTGAAACGACTGTGTCTACTTCCGGGGGGCTTAGGGATAGCTCCTTCGACCCAGACGACACAAGCTGCTCATTGATTTCTTGTAGCTTCTTCGCAATCACCTTCAAGTTGGCAGACTTGATAGAAAGGTATGTCTTCTGGGGAAGAACGTTGGGGCGGGATTCAGGAACAGAAGGGGGTTGAGCAGGAGGTTGAGCGGAGGCATCCCCAGGACGGTAACGATTCTCCTGGCCCCAAGGGTCAGCGCCAGCAGGAGTCGATCCCTGCGTAGACTGGCCAATAGTCGCACCCTGTGTGTTTTGGACAATAAATTGTGCCACTTGGTCGAGATAGTTCATGGACAGTTCATTGTCCTGAATGAACTTCGTTGCAGCTTCGTACGGGTTCTGAGAGACATTGTACGGGAGCTTGAGTGGCGGTTTCCCATCTTCAACGTCAACGTCGAAGACATAATCATAGTCCTGGCCTAGATAATCCGTCTTCCTTCCACTGCTGGCAGCAGAATCAACCACCGTGCCCACGGCTACCCATTCCTGCGACGCTACCGACCATGTATGGGCGGTTACGCTGCCGTCATTTTGTCGAATCATTTGCACCTGGCCATCTTTCGTGCCAGATTTCTGCTGAAGAAACTCGGGTCCCGGTAATTTCTCTTTATTGATATTTCCAACTTGTTGTTCGGGTATCGAGGACTCTTTAACAGACTTCTCGAACTGCTCCACTACCTCAGCGCTTGCTGCCCGTTCTTCGCTCCGGGTGAAAACCCGGGTCACACGGTCGCTGGCACCCGTGACAATATCACCGTTTTCTTTGCAAGTAGCAACTCCCCACACTGAGATCGCCGGGTGGGTGATGGTTTGCACGCACTGCGTGCCGCTCCAGACCCTCACTGTGCGATCTTCCCCGGAACTCACCAACTCTCCCGACGGTAACGCATCTAAGGAGTAAATAAAACTTTCGTGGCCATGAAGTTCTGCGACTACCTGGCCCTGTATGGTGTACAATCGGATTACACCGTCATTGCCGGCTGAAGCGAATTGTGCACCAGTGGGATTCGACGCAGGAACCTTACAAAGGGCCCTGACAACATCCCGAGAATCTTGGATGGTCTTCAGAAGAACTCCGGAAGAATTAAAGATCCTGATAGCTTTATCTGCACAGCCTGTAGGAGTATTAGCATGGGAGTCATACAGTGTACCTGAGCCCGTAGTATGGCACATACCGGTAATGACTGTATCTTTATCATACGCCAGTACAGCCCAGACACTCCCCTGATGGCCCTCGAAGGTGACATCGCACTCCCATTTCCCAAGTTTCCACAGCTTAGCCGTGGAGTCCCAGCTTCCACTGACAACCCAGCCACCCTCGGGTGACACATCCAGAGCGCAGATATTGTGGGCATGTCCTAGAAGCATAGCATCCGCATTGTCATCCGACGCCTTACCCGGCTGTCTTGCCTCGATGATAGTGTCCTGGCCTCCGGAAAATACGAGGCCCTCAGGAAATTCAGGGGTTGGTGGATAATAGGCTATGGCGTTGATAAAACCGGAGCCGGAGGATGTGATAGTGTAGTCGTATGTTGGGGGCGGGGTAGATACAAGCTTCCAGAGTCGGACAGTCGCATCGCGAGAAGCCGAAAACACGGCATTCGGATTAGGAAAGGCCACAGCACGAACCTGCGATGATCGTTAGCGATGGTCAGTTGTTAAAAAAGCAATAATTGAGATACCACTGGTTGTGGACATCAACAGCCGGGGACCTTCTTACATCATCGCCGTGGCCCTCCAAAGAAGCGGAGATCTTGAAGTCAGGCATACATAAAGTTCACCCCCAGAGGGTTAAGAGGAGGCAAACGAGAGAACCTAGGCAAAAATAGTATTGTCGCAAAGCTGGCCAGGTCCTATAACGAGACGGAGAGATTGACCCTGAGTGAGAGTTGCTGTGTTGGTGTCTTGGTTACTAACGTACCAGGGAACTAGTCACTCATACTAGCACTTACCCTTAGTAAGGGACAATAGGATCCGCGGAGTCCCAGTCACGTGGGCGGTGGAGTAGAAGCTGCTAGAACTGTAAAGCCTAGACCGGTGGGTCAGGCACCAGCTGATGGCTGCTTTTTAGCCACCAAGGTCTCCGATTGGAAGCTGGGGCCAGTCGGACAGTATAATCGATCAAGAACTCTGCTATACTCAGAATGAGTGACCGTTTATTACATGGACTTAAAGGCGCCAGACCGTGGGTTTCAACGAACCTCTATGAGACAAACCCTGTGTCGGCGGGTAAGCCCAAGGCAAAGATATATAATTTGGCTTGATGAGGGCTGTCTTTCATCTAAAACCCCAAGGTATTACACTAGATATTGGCTCTGGGCCTCTCGGCTCCCTGCAACCTTCGACGATTATCGGAAAGCCGACGTTGAGAATAATGAACTGTAATTTTTTTATCCAGGAGGGTGATGAAGTTTTCAAGTAGTCTTCAAGTATGGAGAAGCTGCTGTGCTATTCACCGGTCCGCTAAACTGTCTTCTAGACGGACAAGAAGCCTCCTGGATATATAGAATGGGACCACAGACGCGCAGATTTTTGGATATTACAACGAAAACCTTGATAAGCCTGGGCTCTATTGAGGGAAATGGCCGGTATAGGAACCTACCATGCATAAGGGCTTCGGATACCAGTACTAAGTTAGTACTAATGAGCACCCTCAGGGTATGCAACGCTCAATTGACTACGGGACTCTGGCAAATGAACCACATAGTCTTCGGATTTAGACAACCCCTATTTGAAGGTTCGAGATGGTTTGTCTGTAACCGACGGCATCTGTCTAAAGAAGAATGAAATATATACCCCGGAGAACATCAAAGCCTTTGTTACAAAGACGCCCTTAGCTTGCAAGAATCGTAACTCTCTGCATCCACGAAGCGATTGCATATCTGTGCCTGCATTGGACTTGTACATCAAAGTATAGCGACAACCGATCATAATGGATCATTTAACAACGCAGCCCAGTGTTCTTGCTGGCTTGCTCTTAGCTACTTCTGCCTTGGCTGCACCAACTTTGAAAGTAAGGAAATTGGGTGGTATTCGATTCCAGAATTACTGATCATGTATGTAGATTCCTGCAAACAGGATGTCTGCTAAAAAGTCGAATAAACATGCTGAGAATAACCTTACTCCGGTCGACAAGACGAACAATGAGAGGAGTGTCAGGAGGCAGGAGAACAACGCTCATCCTTTTACTGACAATATAAATCATGGCTCCCATTCCTTAAAATGGAAGATCAAAGACTGGGTGTAGAAGAGGCGCTCCAACGATGCTCAGTGGATGTAGGGCCAAGTAGAGAAAGGTATCTTTTTGCGGGAGATAGGAGCCTTGTCGGTTGACGATCACGGCACTGTATGTACATAGACTTGCCATTGCACAGTTGGATAACAAACTGTTGACATCAAATTTAATTCCTGTGGTGAATTTTGTGTGCGATTCTAGTATTGCGTTGTTTGCATTGAAAGGAAACAGAACTATCATGTATTACAGTAGTACTACTTATGCTATACTAATTGCTGCTTGACATCACGTGGGATGACTGGGATTCTTTAGATCACTTGACAAGGCTTCTAAAACGATTCAAAATTTCTGAAAGCAACCTGATCCTTCAACTTTGATCTAAGCGGGCTGTGCGTTGGCTCTGGCCAGACATTGATGACTACTCAAATAAAAAGACCTATTCTATGGATAGACGCTACTCTATTCCAAGATTCTCTGTGTCATTACATTCGAGGAGGCTATTCTTCTATTCTACTCGTATATATGCTAGCCCGGTACCTTGATTAATCGACCTTTCCCGCGGGCAATGACTGGCGGGCTGCCAATAGCCAAGGATCTGGTAATTATATGCGCACGCTGCTCAACTACCCGTTACAACAAAGAGATCTGCAGCAGCCATTGCTAGTAAGGTATGTATACGTGGTCAACAGAAACAACCAAGTGGGGATAGTAGGGATAAAGAGTGAACCAATGATGTGGAGAGCTGGAAGCAACAAGGATGGACAGGTGTTGTAGTATATAGTAATACAGCAACCTGTGGTCAATATCTGAGAGCAATAAATGCAATGAGACATGGGTTCGTCTTAAGGACACACAGTTGTGTTAAAGAATACTTGATTAAAGTTGGGAAAACAAGTGGGTCCAGCTACAAGCCTCACGTGCACGTACACTAGTCCTGATCGACATTAGCGCGGTGTGTCGGACAATTGAAACAAATGCCGGTGGGTTGAACGAATATCAAAAAGAAGTTCACCTCGCGACTTCAAGCTTTCTTCCTTTTGGGTCGGGGTCTCCCCTTTTCTTTATTCTCTCGAAGGGTTGCGGATTAATTGTTCTGTAGTGGGCTTGCTGCGGTGGACAGATCTGTTGACTGATTTCTCCTTCTCTTTCCCTCTCGTTACTTTATTTCCTCCGTCCAGGATTTCTCAATCATTGTTACTACAACCCCGCCGTACTTGAGTTGATGACTTGACGAGACTGACGAATTTTCTTCTGTACTTCTACATAAACCCTTTTCAAGCTCTTCTCATTTCTACCTTTCTTTCTGTTCTTGGACGGGTCCCTTCGTCTCCGTGTTTGAACATCAGATCATTACATAACGGCCGCACAGAATTGAATTGAATTGAATGAAATCACTCTAATACCGAGAAATTGTCATTTTACAACCCCCCAGTTGAAAGCTGCAATGGCGTCAGGTATTGTCATAACTGCTTGAAACCTCCACCATCGATGGTTACTCATATGTCACAGATCTTACAAAAGTGGTCCCCTTGACCTGCCACGGACACTCTCGTCCCGTGCCGCATATCGACTTTTCTTCCACAGTAGAAGATGACCAGTATTATCTCATATCCGCTTGCAAGGGTATGTTTCTGATCATTGGTCAAGCAGAATGCTCCAAACTAAATCTTTGCAGACAACAATCCCATGCTCCGGGACGGTATCACCGGTGATTGGTACGTATCCCTCAGTACTATCTATTCCCATTCATGACAAAGATCACTAACCACGACACAGGATTGGAACCTTCCTCGGCCATAAAGGCGCAGTCTGGCAAGCCAGACTCTCAACAGACGCCACCATAGCAGCAACAGCTGCGGCCGATTTCTCCGCGTGAGTTCGGGAAGCTCACTTTTTCCCCAGCAGCTGTAGCAAACCACTAATGCATTTCTACAGAAAGGTCTGGGACACTCACACAGGCGAATGTCTCCACACGCTTCAGCACTCCCACATCGTCCGGGCAGTTGCATTTCCCATGCAGCCATCTCCCCAGGTTCTAGCCACAGGCGGCTTCGAAAAGAAGCTCCGCATCTTCGACCTGTCCCGCAGCAACAGTGGTAGCAACTCATCCTCGCCGACCTTCCCCGCATCAACGGGGGAAAATGGCACCGGAGTAACCAGCTATGAGATCGGCCCGGGTGTCCATGGTGGAACCATTAAATCCATCGTCTGGAACCAGGATTACAATATCCTCACGACAGCCGCGGAAGATCGTAAGATCAGATGGTGGGATTTGCGCTCTCGTCACCCCGTCATTGAGTACACCGTCGAGGGCACCATCGGTAGCTGCGAATTGAACACACTGGCCGTCCGTCCCAATGACCCCGGCATCCTTACCGTCGCCGCAGGCAAATCCGTCTATCTATTCGATGGCTCGAGCCCCGGCCGTCTGCTGAAGAAGACCGACTTCAGGTACGAGGTCGCTAGCGCCGCTGTCAACAATGAAACTGGTCGCTTGGTGACCGGAAGTGCAGACGACACTTGGGCACGAGTTTATGATCTCCGGACGGATGAAGAGCTGGGTATGTTCTCTCTCCACTTATTTTCATCCATAGTAATATATGAGCCGAGCTAATACCCAGACAGAAGTCCAAAAAGGACACCATGGCCCGATCTGGTCTGTCAGTTTTTCACCCGACGGTAAACTCTACGGCACAGGAAGCGAGGATGGCACGATAAAATTGTGGAAAGCATGCAGAGAGCCATACGGTTTATGGAGGTGAAAGTAAAACCATATCTGTGAAATGTCTTTTCAAATCTCTTTCACCCTACCTATCTTGCAGATACGGAGGTACGGATCTCGGAGGTTATCTGAAAATATCGAATTTGGTGCTTAGCTATGATGCTATGCTCAATTTGTACTTAGGGGCAAGCTGTTGTTGGCTTGGGATAGCCTTTCCCCGGTAGTTATTTTTAATGAAAAGAACAGATTAGAAACCAATTTGGTTAATTCTATATATTTGTATGAGCCGAGTTGAATGGTCAATGGCTACGAACTGTTATGGCCTAGCATAGTCGTGCCTTTTGTGTGTTAACGTAGCAATAACGACAAATGAATATCCTTCCCAATCTGATGCGAAACTCTCGAAACCCACGTATTAACTAGTTACAAGCGTTGATGATTGGTGGATTTACTCAATCATGTCAATATCGTCGTCGCCAGCAGCAGCTGTAGTCGCAGGCGCAATTTGCTGCGGCTCAGCCTGAACGGTCTCCTTGTCAGCAGTGCCAGCACCAGTGTTTGCAGTGCCCCAGTAATCGTCCATCTCTTGGTCCAGCTCTTCCTGCGTCTTCTTGGGTCGAGCAGCAGGGGCGCGACGGCTCTCGCCCTGGCCCTGGCCCTGGCGTCGTCCGTTGGCGGGACGACGCGCCGGCGATCGCTGTCCTGGCACATACCGATCTATATGATCCGGAGCTGGCTTGGAGACATCGCTACGTCGGTAGCGTCCGCCACCTCCCCGGCGGCCACGACGGCGGCGTGCACCATCGTCAGCACTTTCATGTCCACTTCCGGGGCTAAGACTGCGGGAGTCACGATCGCGTGGCCGCTCCACACGGTCAAACAAGCTACCTTTAGGCCTTTCAACATTGTCAAAGGGATTCCGGTCTCGTCGTCCACCGCCTGTGGAAACAAGAGTTACACGAATAGGTTGTCCTTTAGCATTCGCGCCGTCAAACTCGCTAATGGCCGTCCTCGCATCGCTGGTACGTGCATAGGTAACGAAGGCGACACCCTCAGAGCGTCCTGCTCGGTCATAGACAAGAGAGAGGTTGCTGATCGGGCCAATCCGAGTGAACAGATCCTGGAAAGAAAATCCATTAGACGATCTAGAAGGCAAACTAGTCAGACCAACATCTTTACCTCAAGATCACTTTCTGTAATATCGTAATGAAGGTTCTCAACACGAAGCTTAGCTCCAGTAGGGGCGCTATCAAAGGGTTAGGCCACTACACGCGGAACATTCTTCAGACTAAATAGACATACTGGTCCGTCGGCGGGGAATAGCGGTCACCGCGTGGTCGTCGAGGGGCACGAGATGGGCGTGCTGAACAGATTGTGTAAGAATAGAAAACTAGAGGTTCCGCGGCAAGTGCCCGGGTAAGGTTCAAAACGCACAATCTCTGTCGTCTTCATATTTGTCGTGTACCCAATCCCTATAATATCGAATCCGAGCTTGTTAGCAAACTTAACACAGCCGTAGATTAAGGAAAGAGGGGTTTTTACAGATCTAAATCAGGGCGTTCTTCTCTATAAGACTGTTGTGATCGCAAAAAAGGACAATGTCAGCTCGAAATCATCTCAAGTATCATGGAAACTGGTCCATCGTCTGCGGATTCCGCGGCCGAATGCCTATTCCAAGACAACTACGAGGCCAGCGAATTATGCTTATCAAGATGCGCGTAGAGGGTTCGAAAGAGAGTTGGGAGGAAGGACCTATTTTGAAAAGCAGGCCGATCAGTATGAAATCAAAAAAAAGAAATATATGTGATGAATGTAACAGCGGAGTTTGAGAAATACCTTTCTTACGCCATCACGGCGACGACCTTGAGGAGGGCGGCGGCCACCCCGATTTTGTTTCTGCTGGATATTTTACATGTCAGTGAGCTAGTTATTGGATGGGTGGCGACAATATATTATGGTCAAATTGGAATTGGCGCGAATCGGAAGACTTACAGGACGCTCCGCAATGATCTCATCCAAGCTGCGGTCCATGGTGGACATGGAAGGTATTGCTACAGTAAAGAAACAAGATAAGTTGCTGTCAAGCCGGAGAAATCTCTAAAAGTCAAAGTACAAACGTACACAGTAAATAAAGGGATAGAGTGTTGAGGTTGAGGTCAAGGTGAGCCGGAGAAAGAGACACGGTCCAGACAGCTCGGGCGGAACGAGATATCACGTGATACATACTGTACAGGATACGATTTCTTAAATCCGGGATGGAGGAATCAGTTCATGGTGAAGACATCTCCTTAACATTACAGCTGTGGTTATCGATACTGTGTTTATTTCCATAACTACTTCCGCCCCCATCAATGTGGTGTACATGTGAGCAATTGCCAACAGGCATCATAGAGGGAGTAGAGACAAAGTAAATCCAGGATGCGATGCAAGAACACCAAGAAAAGTCTCGTCCTAGTCCGGTATGCATATTCCATGTCGTCGCCGATCAAGACATATCCCTCCCTATAGCTCCAGAGAACACCAGTAGCAGCTTCCAATAGCAAAATATTAGAGGATGTGAAAGAAAAGACCAAACGCCAATGGTGCGATACGAAACCTCATTAAGCCCCGCCATTGGACGCGGCATTACTCTGTCCACGGTTGCCACTCTCCATCATCTTCTCCATGAAGCTATAGTAGTCGTACTTGGGTTCATTTTGGTCTTCACCCCGGTCAAATACTTCATGCCTAGGCATGGTCTGAACAAGATGGTCAATAACTTCATCGGGAATAAGGGAGTGTCGAAGATCAAGTTCAGTGACATATGGCTATTCAAAGTCAGTGAATGCACGAAACAAGGCGACGTAGCCTCCTGATTGGAACATACCTTGCCATCTGCGACTTCACGGAAACTCTGCAACACTTGTTCGGCGGTGTTTTGATCCTCAGTCACACTGACCATGAAACGGATAAACTGTTCGAAGCTAACTCCGGCGTTCTGTGCTAATCTAGCTGGGCCACACGTCTCAACGTACACCTCGTGCATCTCATCCTCGTCATATACGAGTCCAAGGCTGGCAAGGGCAGCAGAGAACTCAAGCTCATGAAGGGTGTTTGAGGAGTCGCGATCGAAATGTCTAAATACTGATTCAAACTCTTCCAACTGGATCGGGGTCAAATTCGTCATGTTTCGAGCCACAAGCTGATTGTCAAGGAAGGCTAGCTTCTTCGAGATGCTCGACTTGACTAGGCTCAACTCGTAGGAGAGTTCATCTAGTGTATATGTTGTGTAGTCGTTCTCTTCAATGTTCGCTTCCACACACTGCTCGTCTATCTCCGCAATAGTATCTAAAAACGCATCAAGGGGAGGAAGGTTGTCATTGAGTCTCTTAACATGGGCTAACTGGTCTTCTACATCGCCATCAAGACCGGATATTGCAAGAGATAGAGTCTTCAAAGTTAGTGCGAAGTCATTCGCTTTGTCCGCGAAGGAACGACGGAGGGCGTTCTTGATATCTCGAATCGTTTCGTTAATGAGTTGACTACGTTCATGCTCATCGCGCGTTAGATATTCCCATTCTTGATCGCAAACTTCAAGACTTAGCTCTGCCGGGGGGTCATAGGGGCGGAGACGGTAGGTGCTGAGCTTGGTTTTGATGTTACCCAAGAGGGCAGCAAGGTCGGATTTTTCAGCTACCCATTGTCGTTTCTGTTTTCTCTTGTACAAGGAAAATTGATAGGCCTGGTCCTTGGCATCCTTGTACGTTCCTTCGAAAGAAGCGTTCTTCCATTCCTCGCGTTGGGCTCTGATGAGGCGCAGAAGTTCCTTCATTCTTCTTTCATACGAGTTCTGCATTTCCCAAGCGCCATGCATGTTGTTGATGAACTTTTCGACTCGTCTACCGGCATTCTCGACCCGCTCCAACTGGGAGAAGGCATGGAACCAATATGCGATGTAAGTCATCAAAGAGCGCTCATCAGGTCTTGGGACATCGCAGACATCGTCCACATCAAGCAGGTCGGGGATGCCGATTTCGTTAGCAGCAATTTCAAATGCCAGTTTCATGTTCCCACGGTGGTCCTTTTTGTCAAGCGCGTCGAAGTCGATTAAGTCAGGGCGATGTATATCCAGAAGGGCACAAAACGCCAGACCATCGTTCCAGCTAGTGGAAAAGTCTCGGACCTCGACTTCCTCGTAGCAGGCGGTTTTCCTTTGACACCACAGCAACAGACCCTCCTTTGCGGTCATACCTTCCTCATTGATATCGCTGATGGTGAATCTCAGAATGAGAGTCCATATTAGCCCTAAGATGATCTTCCTATTGCCATCCACGACGTCCTCTGCACCGATGTTTGTCATCTGAATTCCCCTCCCCTTGATAGTGTCCAGACTCTTGTTGACATTTTCAAATTTTTGCACGCGCAATCTGGGATTTGAGGCATATTTACCGAGGGGCTCGCCACCGAGGATTTCGAGAAGGTGAATGAGGATGATCTAGGTTAGCTTTGTTAGTCTCTGCGCATCATGTTTTCTCATTCCCTCTCCTTTTTGATTATTTTATCTTTCCGAAGACTCGGTAGAGGCAAGGGGAGGCTTATCGAGGTGTCCGGTAGCGGGGCTCACTCACGCCGTTGGAGAGGTCAGATACTAGATCTTCGATGAAGAGTCTTCGAACCTTCAACTTATCATTGAGCCTGGAAAATCAATAGTGTCAGCTGAATGGGACCCAGAAATGTACGAGAAAGAATAAGGCAGGATGAAATCAAGGGATCCGATAGACGCACGGGGTTGACCCCGATCAAGGGGAAGCAACAGTGGGCGGCTAGTGGAAACTGACCATTTTGTAAAGGTTTTCTGCTGAACATTGACCCATGACTTTTCAACCGTCAACATGGTGAATAGCTGTAATGGTTGAGGACATTCAGGCTGGTCCGAAGGGAGGCTGGAGATAGCGCCGAATAGTAACACAGACGAGGGATACAGTTTGATAGAGGGGTAATCCTTGAATGGAAATGGTAGGATCTTCAGCCGGAACTAATTAGAAAGGAAACAAAGCGGTAAACGATGCAAGTGTTCAGCCTGTTTTAGTGGCTGGAAGCACAGTGAGCGGAGAGGGTAATAATTAGTGAGCTAAGATTAGGAGTTCGTACTTTGAAGGCAGCACCGCTATCCCTGAGTTGGCCATGTCAACAAACCCTGGCCGCCCCCACAGCAACCAAGCCCATTCTTCATGTCAATCTTTGGGGGAAACTCTCTCCACAGATTCCAGCGATGCGAAATTTTAGCTTATATGCAGGTCACAGCATGGGGCAAGGGGTTGGGAAATTTCAGAAGGAAATAGAAAAAGACAATAACTAAAAAAGGGTCATTATATTGGGAGAGCAACCACTATGAACACCAGATTGAACCGTGAATATCAGCCTCACCAAACAGAAGACCCAGGTCTTGCATTTCCCCAAATTTCGCAAGGAACTCGACAAAAAAAATATTCTTTAGACTTTATAGAATTTGAGATCGGAGTATAACAATCATAGATTATTTGGTTCATTTATTGACGAGAATCAAGACGAAGAAGGAAAAGAAGAGGGTGGGAGAGCGAAAAAGAAGATAGTTTAGCTTTTCGATACTTGAACCTCGAGGTTTCAACAAACACCCATCACAAAAATGGAAGTGCCTCAGGTTCTCGGTTTTCGACGGAGTAAGCGAAGATCCTTTCTTTAGACTGGGGCATTCTTAAACTTCTTTTTGCGGAGTCTTCTCCTCTTCAACACGCTTTCGTTTATGTGTCTATTTCGGTACGCTTCTACCTTTCTCATCTCCCGACCCGAAGTTAACCCGCTCCGGTCTTATACTATCCAGATCCTCATATAACCCCTTTTGAGTAGATCCCTTCAAAGACATTCACCGCTTGACCGTAAAAAGGTGATAAGAGTTTCCTGGCAACAAAGGGGGTATATAGATCAACCATGAAGATAAAGAGATTCTCTATTAATAAGGATCGTATTGAGTAGCTGATAACGGATATTCTACGGTGAAACATTCCATCATAATACCGGACACATAAGGCTCTTTAAACAAAAAGACAACTTTCCTACACAAAGAAGGTTAGAACATCTTCAGATAACGCAGTAAGCTTGAAATTATAGTACCGCTCACTACGGAGCACTTGTCCGGATCTGCAAGTATATTAAATCCCCTCAAGAGATAGAATTTGGATTGATGAACGAGGCGGGCAATGGTGCCGATCCTTCGGAAGATTCAGGAAAGCTACTGGGCCCGAAGCCATAGGACCCACATTGCTACGACCAATGCGGAATACCGCTTTTGGAACCTTGAAAACTTGGCAGGGCTCAGGCATTCATCAGGCAACCTAGAAGGGCTTACCAAGCCCTCTGACAAATGCATAAGAGTAAAGGATTTGAAGCGCCTAGAACTTCCAAGAAGTCTTGGTGAGACTGGGCGAGCGAATATATTGGTAGCGATATACTCCGGAGTAGTTTAGGGAGCTATACAGCACTTGGCAGTTTGTCATAGAATTGCTGCATATGGCATACTCGGTAGAAGTCAAGGTCACATCACCACCGGACTGCATCCTATTCTGTCGCCGCGTCTACCCACCGCACATCCCTGTCGGTTCTCCAATGTTCTCCAACATGGCCCGCTCAGAGGAGCGCATGCATGAATCGACAAAAGAGGCCTAAAATAAGTTGAAATTCTGGAGTATGTTCAATGGTGGAAAATTGATCCCCACAAAATGATGGTGGTAGTGATTTAGGTAATAGAAGGTTTCAGTCAAACCATAATCGTATTGCGAGGTACGGCGTACCAAGCGGTGAGATATAATCAATGACCTCTTGACCAGGGGTGTTGGTTGGAATAAGTATTGCGTGACAACAGACAGAGGACGGAGGAAGGTTACCGTACTTCCTTTGCTTTGCCACGTTGTCGTCTACTTTAGAAACTGATAACCCACCGAAGATATGCATTATCAACTTATCAAAATGCCCATTGGGGAGGAACGTGAGCGATGCCCACTTTCGTCCCCAACATCCCCACGTTTTACACAGTACTCTTACCAGTTGTAATCATGTCACAATTAGCCTCTGTAGTATTTTTTTCTTTTTTCCTTCCTGTTATCATTCGGTGGCTGAGGCTGATTGACCGAAAGCCTGAGAGTTTCACACTAGACCAAATCCGGATTCGTGGACGGGCCGACCTGAGATCTGGTTGGTTGGACCAGCAGTTGGAGTGAGCTTGTTCTCCATATGGTTCGACCATTCAAGATAAACGTCCGCCACCAAATCTTATTAGTAACAGAAAAAAAACACACTATCATGATTCTGTCGAAATTCCAAACCCAATCACACCACGCAGTTTCATGCAAGCCCTCTTGGGCAACCGGCGGGCACAGGCTTAGTGGCAAAGTATACGGTGCCCTTCCGAGTCCTTTCTGCTGGCTTCCAAATCGGTCCAAGTCTGGTACATCGATTATATAACTGCCGTGGCCAGGCTTTCCTCAAATTCTGCTCTCTTCCCAGACTTTCAGGAACGTGGTCCGACAGGGAAACAGCCCACACCTTCTTCCCTTCTCGTCCCTTCCTCGTTCTCACTTTCTCAGCATCTCCTCCGCCCCCCCCAAACTTTCACAATGGGCTACTCCTCAGAAGATATTTCAGACCTCGACAAGGCCAACAACAAAGCCATGGAGCTGGGGCCGAGAAGCTTGGTGTTCCCCCTCACTATGATGGGGACTTGGTTGGTGAAATGGACGAGAGGGAAAGGGACATCGTCGAGGATGGTATCCATAAGTTCAGCCGTCTCGGTTGGAAGCGTCTCACCGTCGTGCTTATTGTGGAGGCCGTTGCTCTCGGAAGTTTGTCCATTCCTTCTAGTTTTGCGAAGCTTGGTATGGTGGCTGGCGTCATCTGTACCGTTGGCTTGGGTCTCGTCGCTGTCTATACTAGTCACATTATCGGTGAAGTGAAGTTGAAGTTCCCGCATGTCGCTCACTACCCCGACGCTGGCCAGCTTATGTTTGGTCGTTTCGGTAAAGAATTGATCAACATTATGCTCATCTTGGAACTTCTCTTCCTTACCGGCTCGCATTGTTTGACTGGTACGATTGCGTTTGTGAACATCACCAGCAGTGATGTCTGCTCCGTTGTTTGGGGAGTCGTGTCTGCTGTGATTTTGCTACTCCTCGCAGTGCCGCCGAGTTTCACTGAAATGGCTATCCTGGGTTACATCGACTTCGTTTCTATTATTGCCGCAATTGGTATCACCATCATCGGCACCGGTATCAAGAATAATCAGGAAATTGGACTCTCCAACGTCAATTGGTCTGCTTGGCCACAGGACGGCCTCACCTTCACTGACGGTTTCATTGCAATCTCCAACATTATTTTCGCCTACAGTTTCGCTCTCTGCCAGTTCTCGTTCATGGATGAAATGCACACACCCAAGGACTACGTCAAGTCTATCTGGGCTTTGGGCATTACCGAGATTATTATCTACACCTTGACTGGTTCGCTGATCTATGCCTTTGTCGGTGTTGATGTGGGTAGCCCCGCCCTGCTTTCCGCTGGCAATATGTTGAGTAAAGTGGCCTTCGGTATCGCCCTTCCCGTTATCTTCATCAGTGGTTCTATCAACACCGTCGTGCTGGGCCGCTTGGTTCACGGCCGCATTTTCAAGAACTCTCCTATCCGATACATCAACACCAAGATGGGATGGATTACTTGGTTGGCCGTTATCACTGTTGCCACCATTGTCGCTTTTGTTATCGCTGAGGTTATCCCCTTCTTCAACGATCTGCTGTCGATTTGCTCGGCGTTGTTCGTCTCCGGTTTCACTTTCTACTTCCCGGCCCTGATGTGGTTCATTCTCATCCGCGAGGGCAAATGGAATGAGCCCAAGAACCTGATGCTGGGTGCTGTTAACCTGTTCGTGTTGCTCATCGGTCTTGTCACGCTTGTCGGTGGCACCTACTCCAGTATTGATGATATTGTAAGTTTTGGCTTCTCCTCTCTTCCATCTAAACTCAAATGCTCATACTGTCTTGCCAGATCATCAACTACCGCGAAGGCAGCGTTAGAGGCGTCTTCTCATGCAGTCCCCCAGCCTAAACTTTGACTTTTAGCTAGCTGTTACCCTTTGCTGTCTCACTGCAGGCGGGCAAAGTGGCTAATCCAATGATAAAACCAGTAGCTTGGTATTATCAAACCGCGTTGTGGATTTTCATTTCTCTGTCTGTCGGCAGAAACATCATGACATGAGGATGAGGGGAATTGCAAAAGCGTGATTAGTTTTACGTAATAGTTTCAAATGCCGCCTGCACCCCCTCTTTATGGCCTTGAAATACAAGCCATACACAGCCGCCATGGGTTAGCCGAAGCCATCCTTGTCGGTGAACGGATCACCCTGTACAGATACCCGTCTTTTGTTTATAGTCATGTCGCGTTTTTTAGCATCAATGTGTCTATGTATATTTATGAACGATAGAACATATATTTAGAGGAATCCTCTCATTTCACTCTGCTCTTCTCTTTCTGGAAGTAACATAAAAAGTATAAATTTATTTCGCGTCGTACCTTGCTCGAAAGTATATGCCCACGAATCGGCACAATCCCTGTAAGCACTGTGCACAGCTATGCTAAGCCAAGGACGGCAATTCCGAAAGCATATTCATTACATTTGCTTGTATTTTCCTTGACGACTCCAATCGGAGCACTTAGTGTCATGCATAATGAGGGATTAAATGCCGCCTGCAGGCTGCAAGTATGTACCGTATATTCGTATTCGAATTAAAAAGTCTCATATCTCCCCAACAACAATGATACGTAGATCATAAGATTTCCCCCAAGAGGAAAAGACAAAGTCTATTCTGCCCGACGAACCCAACTGTACGCATCATCTCCAACCGGCCCCCAAGTTCTCATCGCAAGGGATGACAACCAAAATCCCTTACATGCCATTGACGTCGTACAGAGAAGGCACACGTGGTACGGTAGAGAGATTCGAACCCGCGTGGCGCGTTCCCGTATTCAAGCAAGGGCGCTCCTGATCGACTTGAAGTAAGAGTCAGGAAAAGTCAAAAAGAGCAGCCCGGAGGGGTTCGGCACTTCCGGAAGGGTGTAATGATCGCGATCATCAGAGCGAATGTAACCGAGATGAGTCAGTTCGGATGGAGTGTGTCACTTCATGTTGCGTTTACCCGATGAAGCAATGGTATCTACTTCCGCCGGAAGGGGTTTAGACTGGGTTTCCCTTTCGGTATGATATCATGTTCGGGGGCGGGGCAATTGTCGCCCGCGCCAACCTACCACAGCCGAATACCTTTCTGCTCGCGGCTTCGGGTCTCGAGTTTCCTGGTTACATTTGTTGTTTTTGAGTCGGTCGGCTTTTACGGGATTGTCTTGAGCTTGGACTCCTCTTTTTATTTTTAATTTCGATTTCGATTTCGGGGGGTTTTTTTTGTTTGCGGGCAAAAAGTGACCCTTACGTGATTTTATCATGGCTGCCAAACTGACCATCACCGATTTGGTACCCCTCCCTAACTCGGCGGTTCGAATTCCCCGCCTTGGGTTCGGTGTTTATCGCTCGCCCCCGACTCAGTGTGTGCTGTCTACTTCGAAGGCTTTGGAGGCAGGTTATCGCCATGTTGATACAGCCCAGTTCTACGCGAATGAGAAGGAGGTCGGCGATGCGATTCGCGCCTCCGGTATCCCGCGCAGCGACATCTTCGTGACTACTAAGATCCTTGTCCCCGGTGGCTCGCCTGATGCGACCTATAGTAAGCTGCTGGCCAGCGTGGAGAAGATTGGGGGTCCGGATGGATATGTAGATTTGTTTCTGATTCATAGCGCCAACTCGGGCGCGTTGGGTCGGAAGGAGATGTGGCAGGCCCTGGAACGACTCTTGGAGGAAGGCAAGACAAAGAGTATCGGTGTTAGCAACTGGGGTGTGAAGCACATTGAGGAGATGAAGTCGTATGCGAAGGTTTGGCCGCCGCATGTAAACCAGATTGAGGTGAGCTTGGGATACCTGTCTGTGATTTGATAGACGAGTGTGCACTGTACTGACTATCCGCCAACTAGCTCCATCCTTGGTGTCAACAGCGGGTTGTCAATGCGTATTGTAAAAAGCATGGCATCGTTGTTGAGGCTTACTCTCCGATTGTGCGCAACTATAAAGCCAGCGATCCTACGCTTGTCGACCTGGCGAAGAAATATGGAAAGACAACCCAGCAGGTCTTGGTACGCTACGCTCTGCAGAAGGAATGGGTACCGCTGCCCAAGTCCGATAACCCTGATCGGATCGTGGCCAACGCCAATGTATTTGACTTTGAAATAAGTGAGGAGGATATGGCTGTGTTGAATGCCCTGGACCAGGGAAGTGCTGGAGCTATTGTGGAGGCCGTTGAAAACGAATAGATCCACGCTATGATGTATGATGAATGAATATACACTTGAGCTACAGGCGAAACGCCAAAGAATCTGCTTGTTAATAATCTGGTCGTTCCATAAGAAACGCGTTGACAGATTGGAGTGTAGCGCGCGAAGGGTTCACGTCATGTTTGGAGGATACGATCCAGGCAAGTCGCTGTCGGATGAATTGCTTGTCGATCTTGTTTTTTGCATGAGATCCAGCAAAGTTCCCTGTTGCATGATTAGCATGGTCAGTTGAGGCCAGAAGTATGAATACTTGCCCTCATCGTCATAGCATAGGCACAATATGGCGAGCAAAGCGCCTGCGGAAAGATCTTTCCCAGTCTCGCATGTTACGAGCAATGATTGCGACGGGTTTGACTCCAGCTGAGAACTGGCAAATGCCAGCACCTGAGGTAGATGCTTCCGTAGATCGCGACTCCCCAGTTTAGAAACCCCACAACCAAGGTTTAGTCGCTTTGAACTGCCCTCTGAGGCCTCCGGGTTCCCGTTGCAATCAATGACCAGATCGCAAGTACCACCCTCGTTGAATCGAGGGTCTGTAGGGCTGATGTACAAGTTTCGGGTTGGCGTTATCAAAGTAGCTTGCTGTCCACCATCTTGCTTTCGGTGCTCTTCTACCAATCTCTCAATAAGTTCCGGCAGATCTTCCTCTCCGGTGGCAGCAAGAGTGGACTTGTGTGCCCAGAAAACTGGTGGCGTTAGCCCGTGAGCCCAGCCCTCACTATCGTCTCCTGCTCCTTGAATGTAACCACCCTCTGACATTTCCGCGCCATGGACACGCTTGGAAGCGGAGCAGAGAACAAAGAGATTATATGCATCTCCCTTTTGCAAATCAGTTGGATGAAAATATGAGCGATTCGCCCAGGCGACCCGAATCGGCTTTCCTAATTTTTGCTTGAGATCATCTAAATCGAGCTTGAGATCCTAGAAGCCAATCAGCCTATTTTCAAGTAGGGCACAGTCACCCTCTTTCGGAAAGGTTACCTTGAGCGATTTAACAAAACCGTCGATTCTGTGCTCAATCTGCGACTCTTCGGAGGCGCCCAAAAAGTTCGGCGGGAATTGCACGGGATGGTATGCAGTGTCGGACGGAAATAGTGCTCGATTGATTACCGCACACCAGATCGGAACCGTCTTGGATAAGGCATCAGGCATCACTGGCGGCTTGTGAGACACGAGCAACCGAATATTAACAAAGTGGTCGTCAGCACTTACATTTTCCCCGGCGTGTTGAGTCCACAATGATGCAGCTGCAGCCATCATTGGTGGTCAGCGGTAGTCCAAGGAAAAGCGGACCGAAGGGAGATTCTGAAGGAACCGTGATACGCTCACTTACCCTCCATGCTTCCGAGCAATGGGTAGAATCTGCAGGTTTAGTCTACGGAAGCTAAAGTCCCATTGGCCTGTATGACCATCCGTGCTCTTGAAGTAAGCACTGCCAGCTTTGACCTCCGGTGGGATATACCAACTACCACATCTCTCGTTGGCGACCAAAGGGAGATCGTAGTAGTCAGCGGCTTCACGGACAAAGGTAGCGTCTGTTTCAATCGATTGAAGTCGGTTTGTGATGGAGAGGGCTGACCGCCGCAAGGACGTCAGAGTTTGGGAAATAGTTTGCTCTTTGGAGGGGAAATGAAGAGACGATACGGATACCGGAAAGGGATCAGAATCACCACCCATTTTGATCACGGGAGGGGAAGGTCTTGGGCGTCAATAATAACAAGTAGATTGCTTAAAATAGGAAATAGTTTACTATCGCTAGACTATGTCCCTCCCGTCAAGTTACGCAGAAGGATCATATGTGAAAAAAGAGGGGCCCATAGTACTAGTAACGGTACTGGTAAATTAGCCAATGATGACTCGGCCTCGGGCCCCATCGAGGCCAATGTTATTGGGCGGTGCCGTTCAAAAGATCGATTCCTGAGTGGAGAATGGAGTATTTGACAGTAGTCGGGTTTGTATTTTGATAAATATCTGATTTCGGTGCCTGACTCAGTAGGTTACATGTCATTGACTCTTTGTATAACTCTTGGTACACTCTCGGTAGAGTACGAGTCGGGATGATTTCAAATAATGTTGACATAGAAATAATCAGCTGATTAGTTAGTGGCTTGTCTCACCTGGGCATGACTAAATCACTACTAAACATGGGTATAACACTGGCCTCCAGACGTTTGGACTAGGCCATACACCTCGCATGAGCATCCCTGATCAGGATGCAGAATCGCTTTGACAACCTACTGCTAGTACAGGCATTATCAATTGGTAATGGAATAAAGTCTGCATGCTCTCCCACAAACTTATCTTCGATACAATATAGATATCTCTAGTGCCTGAGAATTTTACGATAGATCTATTAACTTGTTCCAAATCCCGTGCATATATTAACCCTAGTATTGCTGCCAGAACTTCCCTGCAAATTTCTCAGTTGCGTGATTAATACCAAAATTATCCTTATCTAACAATCTAGGGTATACCCAAGTGGGTATCCTCCAGAAATGAATAGTAGTTATTAATGCAACCTTACTGCTTGATAGGTAGACACTACATAGCTTGTAATTCACCACCATCCACGTAGACTTATATGGAGATATAGTAGTCGGGTGAAGTTTACCGGTTACTCTTTTGCTCGATTCATTCCACAGTACCCTTTCCTAATTCGTTTTCACTCATCTCCTGGCTTGCACTTGATTCCGCAACAGTGACTGCCTACATTACTGATGCTTCATCAGAGCCTACCACGTGCCGCCTTGAGCGAGCCGTCCCCCACTGTGATCAGTGATAAGTACAACATTGAAGCTGACTTGCTACAGGGTTACCAACTCCGGCCATTCTTGTCATACTCCAACCTAAAGCAATTGAAGGACGCGGCGAAAGCCATATATGACCAGTTGGAGAAGAATAGGAAGCCAATGGTTGGTTATCAGGGGTATATCACGAGCCGCCATTGACAGGCTGAGCAATAACCACCGCTGCTTGTCGGGCATCGAGTTTCGATTTATGTGGATTGGGACAACAGGACTTATCCAAGTAACCCCTTTATTGCGTATAGTCGGACCACATCTGACATGGACCACTACATCCACTGGCAGTGCATTCGGATGGGAGTGCCAGACAATGAGCTTGCTTGGGGACTTACAGTTATGACACCTGGCAATGTTACTACCCATGGTAGAGCCTCTGGGCAGCCAGTTCAAGAAACGGGCATTTCAGAGTCTTTGGCAAAGCTTCGTCGAGATGCCACTTGGTGGTTTCAAAATTCCTCTGAGGACACCAGAATCGTCATTCTCATCTCAATAAAACAAGCCACCAAGGAAATTAGGTTCGAGAAACGGCAGCTTGTTCCTCCTAACGTTTCAAGACCTGTTACATGACAAGCAATTGATCAACTACGCCAGCAACCCAGCCAGATGACCCCCCTTGCCCAGCAGCAGGCGAACGAACAATTACAGGAGGACCTCGTGTGATCCCTTTCAGAGCCATGTTTGATCGGCAGCCTACGGGAGCTGAAGGCGATATATTTATCCGCTACGAAGGCTTTCAGACGATTATGCGTTTTGTTTAAGCGAGCCTTGGTACTTCCTGGCGAACCGATCATGCATTCTGCTGTCTATTTCTTTTAATGTACTCAGCATTTCGTACTGAGCTTATCTAATGATTGCAATCATGGCCTTATTCTTCTTATATTAAAGCAGCTCAGCCATATGTTAGCAGCAGTCTAACAGTCCACCTCCTTTTTCTCTGAATGAAGAATCCACTGTGCACCCTTTTAGATAGCGACCCCTATATACCGACTTTCAACAGTATATCAGAATAGTAATCCCTACATCGAACTAAACATGAAGTAAGACAATCTAGATATAGTCAAATCCGACTGAGTAAGGCAGTGATGCGCAGCCGTGGAAAGGCCACGCTTCTAAGATCAAAAGGCCACGCACAACCGTGGCCTTTCCACTTTCGCCCTGTATCAGTGCACTGAAAGCCCCGATCCCATTGGATGGTTGCCGCAGAAAGGTGAAGAAAAATGAACAAACTGAAACATCATGAGTCTTCCAGCCGATTCGCAACTGTGCAATCCGGTTTCTTTGCATTTCCATCTGGAGTCCTGGTACAGCGCTATACTTGAATGGGCTAGTGAGAGGGGGCAAGGCAGCGTTACCTGAAGAGGGCATGGCAGCGGGTGCTTACTAACTTCAGTTTAGTGTGCTGCATGTAGACCCGATGGCCGCCGTATCTCGGCCGCCATTATAGGCCCATGCCCAGTCGCCAACGTCACGATATGACCTCAGGCCCCCGCCATGCCGCCTTCCTCGGAGGGGTTATTATGCCATTGTATGCATATGCCCCCCTTTGGATCACCGGTGGGCTCCCATGTGTAGCGTCGCGGTCTTGGTACCCTGATATGATTGGAAACCCCTTGGCAATTTTCCTTTTTCACGATTCTACTTAAAGCGTACAACTGTCCCTCCAACCCCAAGTTTCTTTGTACCATTCACCCAACAGCCCTTTCGCTGGTCGTCACCCCCAATCTCTTTGTCATTCTCTCTACTCACCACCACTTTTGAATTCCTAATATCTCTCTTCAAACCTGTCATTACATCTACCCTAACATAGAATCCAATCCAATCCAATCCAATCCACTACAGTCATCATGCCTAAGGTTAGCCATAAGCTTGTCTGATGCCTGTTACCACTGAGCCATAGCCAACTAACCTTGCTACCACACAGATTACCGAAATCTTCTTTGATTGCGACAACACCCTAGTCCTCTCTGAGGAGCTGGCCTTTGAGGCATGCGCCGACCTTACAAATGAGATTCTGGAAAGCCGCAATATCTCTGATCGCTACACAGGGGAGCAGCTGATCCAAGACTTCGTCGGTCAGAACTTCCGTGGAATGCTGATCTCCCTCCAAGCCAAGTACGACTTCGAGATCCCTCAAGACGAACTCGAAGCATTCGTTAAGAAGGAGGAGGACAAAGTCATTGCTAAGCTGGAAGCGAAAGCCCAACCTTGCGTTGGTGCCAACGAGGAACTTGAGAAGCTGTACGAGGCCAAGAAGTACCACTTGGCAGTTGTATCCTCATCTGCCTTGCGCCGTGTCCAGGCCTCCATCAAGAAAGTGGGGCAGGACAAGTTCTTTGACGAGGATATGGTCTTCAGCGCTGCGACCTCTCTCCCCAAGCCCACCTCCAAGCCTGACCCAGCCATCTACCTCCACGCCCTTGAAAAGTGCAATAAGAAGCCGGAAGAGACTGTTGCTGTCGAGGACAGCAAGTCTGGCGCTCTTAGTGCTATCCGTGCCGGCATTCACGTCATCGGTTACGTTGGCAGCTACCCCGGCGATGAGAAGAAGGTCGAAATGGCGAAATTCCTTAAGGAACTTGGTGCCAAAGTCATCATGAAGGACTGGTCAGAGTTCGAGGATTGTCTCTCTCAAGTCGAATCGGCTTGAGCAGTCTATTCATCGCATCAGTCACCGCCTCTCCCGAATGCCGACACGAAGTAATGACAGCAAGCGCATTTGGTCGCCATTAAGCATAGGCCACTATCTTCGATTCCACTTAATTTCTCATTTCGAATATTATCTTCGATTCACTCGGCCAGCTTAACCGTCTGCGCGGTCTCTTCTTTGCAAGGGCTCGGCCATTTCCTTTCTTCATCTAAATTATTTCACAAGATAGTCGGATCCATGTATCTGACATTATTCAACCTTATCCATAGACAGGTTCCATGGACAGAGATACATAGTGAGGACATCTGCAGACTGTAGACATACAATAGAGAATGTTCTCCACAATTTTTTATCAAGGCCCCAGTAATTTTCCTAGTAGACGGGAATGGTACAGTAGCGGCAGCCCACCATCAGCACAACACTAGCGCTAAATGCACCTAATCAAGGAATTCCGGGGCAATCATAGCCCGCATCTTTCACATGCTCCATATCGCACAAGATCACTGGTCCAAGCTAGACTACCACAAGCAGCCTTAGTTCCCGACTCACCGTTCCCGGGCATGCTACTCTGCTGCCTGACTGACGAGGCCCCGCGCAGCTGCCTTATCCCCTAGGCACACCGGGGGGGCGGTAAGCCACCAGCCTGGCTGGTTCCGAGGGCCCCCCTGGTCCTAGGCTGTCGAAACTGCCTCTGCTCGTCTCTAGGACCCCTACTAGTAAAATTCTTCGGTGTCACAGCCCTCCCTACTAACGCCGGTGGTTAAGGTGAGTTTTTTGTCATCCTGGTTTTCTTGTCTTCTTGTATCCTTTTCTTTGACCTTTCTCTTCGTTTATTCTATCCTCTCTTTTCTGCTCTAGAACGCTAAAGAGCAAAAGATACCAGGCGTAAACCTCTTTCTTTCTCTTCCCAGTACATACTGCAAATTGTTTCTTTCCTTACCCCTCTCCCTCTTCATGATGTCTCATAAGCCAACATGTGTAGCAGTTCTAACTAATTCTCCAAACAAACAAAGAAAAGGCAGCCCAACCCAACTCACAAACAACTTAAAAGCAACAGATTCAATAAACAAGTATTCCTTACATGAATAAGTATACACCGAGAAACTCTAAATCCTGAATTACTCTGTACTTCCTTTCCCCAGACCCACTTAAGATTAGGGCTAGCCCTTCGGCGGATCAGACAATCTAACCCCTCTCTGTCTGCGGCCCCTCCGACGACAACGTCTCCGAGCTAGCATTGACTAACACTAACTGGTGCCCTTTCACCCCGGGAACTTCGTATATAGTACTTTCATTGTGTTTGACTTATAGGTGGGGCTTTGTTGGATTGTATTGGGTTTGTTAAGAGTGTTGACGTTTAGATTGTGGGTAGGATTGAGTTAATTGAACAGATTGTTTCGTGTTTCGTTAGAGCTTGATACGATGTCTGATCCTAAGGCTTTGAGGTCGGAGATTATTGCTAGGGGCCCTTTGGTATGTATTCATTTTTCCTCCTTTGGGTTCCAACTTGCTACAACAGGTTGGAGGTTAGTGATTGCTAGTTTATACTGATGTTGGTGTCATTTCTACAGGATCCTAAAGAGGCTAGATGGACGAGATTAGTCAAGACTACATACCGGGATCCTACCGGTGTAGAAAGGACGTGGGAGTCAGCGGAGCGTCAGGTAAGGTCATTCCAGTGCTTTGCGCCGACCTCGATGTGTGACAAATACAAACCCCTTACCTATACGAAGACTTGGGTATGCAGGGCCTCCAGTCGGAATATCTAGCTGATATGCTTCTGTACTTCTAGACCCGCCCAGCAAACTGCGCAATCGACGGTGTGGGGATCGTGACCATTCTCAACAAATCGACGGGTCCAGAACTCCTTCTCCAGAAACAGTATCGTCCTCCTATCGACAAGGTGGTTATTGAGGTTCCGGCTGGTCTCATAGATGCTGGAGAGACGGTGGAAGAATGTGCCGTGCGCGAGCTTAAGGAGGAAACGGGCTATGTGGGAGTGGCGGAGCAAACGAGTACGGTGATGTATAATGGTAAGGTGTCACTTCGTATCTGACTGCATGTGGGGTGTCTAGTTGCATTCCAGGAGATCTGGGTGAAGAATGCTGACAGACATGGTCCCAGATCCCGGTTTCTGCAACACGAATCTCAACATGGTTCATGTCCGAGTTGACATGTCCTTGCCGGAGAACCAGAACCCGCAGCCACAGCTCGAAGAAAACGAATTCATCGAATCATTCACAGTGCCGCTGGCCTCTCTTTTCGAGGAGATGAAAAAGCTTGAGGCCGAAGGATATGCTATTGATGCCCGTGTGGGAACAATAGCAGAGGGTATCGAGCTTGCGCAGAAGTGGAAGCTATAGATTCGAGCAGACGATAGCACGAACTTTCAATTGTCGCTTATAGATGAGGTTTAGCGTTGTTAGACCTGTCAATGTGATGCATATTGATATCCACTCGACACTCTCCTGAAAAACCTACGGCGATTCGGTGATGCGGTCGTCAAGGGAAAACCCAGGTCTAATTTAAATTTTCCCCTCTTCCTTGAGTCCTTTATACAACGCCCATGATGCGAGTGTCTTTCCGTCCCGTAATCCCTCTTTCCACAATTCCTTCAAAGGAACTAATTTTAGCGTGATCTTCTCTCCATCCTCGCGTAAACCGGTCAATCGTCCCTGTAGACTTTCAATGTCCTTACGCGGCATTCGCTTTTGACACAAGAATAAAGGAATAAACTCGTCGCTTCCGCCAGCCGATGGATATACAGCTTTCTGCAATGCCTCTACGCCTTCGGTGCCTGCAACTGATTGCAATGCAAGCGAGGTCATATCAATCAGTTCATCCTGAGGAATCGTCAGGCCAGTTTCTTCTTGTATTTCCTTGGCTGCAGCTCCAACAAAAGAGCCGGAATCATCAAGCATTCGGCGGGGATTTCAGTGAAAGCAAGGGAACCGGCAGGAATGCGGGGTTGAATGGTCAAAATTGCTCGCTTTTCGTCTTCCATCGAGGGGGATACGTCATCTGGCTGGAGTAGGAGCTATTGAAATATCGGCCGAAGCGAATGTTAAACAGTGAAACTGACAGGTGAAGGAGAGATAGTTCGAAGGGCTTACCAGCATTCCTACACTGCCCCCACGAAGAAAAACACTCCCGGGGAGTGACTCGCCATTTCCGTTTGATACATCAGCTTTGAATTTCACAAACCCTAATCGCCCTCCCTTAAAAAAATCGACAGACTGGATATCAATCTTGCGTAGGACATAAGGGTCTTTGTGGAACGCGTGTGAGGGGTCTTGTTGCCGCTTTAACGATTGTCGCAGGGTAGACAGCCAGACCTGGAAAGCAGGGAATCGCAAGAGATCATCCTTGTTGAGATCAGGCGTGCAAACCACAGACAGGGATTGCTGACCATGGTCACACGGAATTGTGAAAGTGGACATTGGAATTCTGGTTATGTTGGTTGGTACCGATATAAGGGTTGGCCGCACGGACAGCCACCGGGCTAATCTCATGGATGAAATCCACTTGCAAAAAGCAACGTTTAACGGGGTCGACGCGGGATCGGGCTCGAAAAGAAATCTAGAATTTTGGGAAGAAGACGAGACTAGGAGATGGCAGCATCCACCTCGGAGGTGACTTACCAACAAGGTAGTACTACCAGCACGCCGGATGAAGTGGAAGTGGAGATAATTTAAGAAGTCAAAAGTGGATCCTGAGAGCTCTGGAGATCTGATGACGTCGTGGACAAAGCCTTCTGAACCAAAAGCAAACAAACCAACAGCGCCGCTTTGTGCCCGGGTCCCCAGAATAGGGATTCACGTGAAACAAAGTTAAAGCAGCAAGATCAGGGACAGGCCATCGATTATGTTTCATTTAGTATCCAGTCATTCTGTCATCAGTTACTATATTCAACGGAGGACAAACAATCTGAATTTAACTAATCCGTTCCCCACTCTTGAAGTCGCCGATCGGTGGACTCGGGACTCGTACCAATCTGGGTCTAGTCCTACCCTTTCTTATCATCATGACTTCCTCATTCTCATTGCTCATGCAACTCTGGTCGGCTGAACTCCCTGGCCCTGCAGCAGTGGATCGCTCGGTTCGCTGACGGTCCTTTGGGTCTTTGTCTGAGTTGTATTTCTCGTCTTCCCGTTCCCCTCTTTTGATTCTCTGATTTCCCATTCTTTTGCGATCATCCGGTAACATCAGACGGGGCCCGTATATACTATAATCCTGATTCATTATATTTAGTGGATCATTCATGCAAAGTGTAACCTTGATATCCGCCTGAGCTTCTGCTTGCTTTCTGAGCCCTTTTTTTTTTTTTTTTTTTGTCTATTTAAATTCAATTTTAATTGATTTATTTTCTTTTGTACCCTTTCTATTTTCTTTTCCCACCCTTCTCCAACCCCAACACCAACATCCCCTGCCACTAGACTCGGTTTAAGATCTCACTAATTGGATAGAACCGGGCAGGCCTTCCACGGTGGGCTTCTAGGCGCCGAGGCTAACGATCCTTGCCCATTCCTGGCGGTTTCTTTTACTTTCTCGCCCCTTAGGCGCAGTCTAGTGCAAGGCGCTGATGCTGTTCCCCCCGACTCGCCTGGGCTAAGATCTAGAGCTGGCAACGTTGTCCAAACGTCAGGCTGTCAGCTTCCTCTCACGGTTGCATCCCGTTTGGCTCCCCATAGCGGACTTGATCTTAAAGACTTTGAGGAAAGAAAAGCAAGGAGGGAGAAAATAAAAAAAGATAGACAAAAGTCAAAGGAGGGCGCCTAATCGATATCCTTTCTAAAAAATTCCCCAGGACGACAGGATAGTTTGTTGGTAGCTTACCGTTGCCGCTCAAGTTCAGCTTTCGTGGCTATTCCTGTCCTCAGAGTTGCTATCTCACTGGAGAGTGTGGAACCAAACAAAAATCATGTCTCCGAGGTCTCTGTGTCGCCAGCAGTTATCGTATAACTACTAGAACCAAAATTTGGGGACGGCTGCCTACCATTAATTCGCCCTGCTTTTCCGTTGCGACCTTGAATTCGGACGTCACCTTGTGCTCATATATTTATATCGGTTGACCCATCGCCTGCTCGTTATCGCTGGATGTGACTTCATGGTTATAAGCAGAGTATCTACCAAATACTTTGCTTTGTCCACCCACCAATAAGTTTGGGACCGACTGGCCATAAACGATGTTTGCTTGGTCCCCTTCACCTACCAGTACCAGTTGCACTCACAAGCATGCTATCGGCTGTCTTCGTCTGAGCTCGATCTGTTGCTTATGTGTGTTGTATTATTCGGATCTACCAGGAAGAAATCGATCGACCGCAGAGGAGCATATTCTACAAAATAGTACAGAAACAACCCGTGCCAGATACTGCTGGAGGTGTGAGGGTCCGTATTCCCATCCTTACAGTCCCTATGTCTGTACAGCTTTGCTGTTTCATTGATTGTCTACGCAACTTTACTCATAAAACGTTTTTTTATGTTTATTTAGTGCATTTTTGTTTTGAACCTTCACTGTCTACATCGCTCACAGGTCCGGGTCTTGTGATTTAGAATACAGGGGTGCTTGTAATCCCCATCTGCCGCTACTCTCCTTTGCCGATATTCCATCTTCATCCGAAGTCTCCCCTGGATATTCCATCGTGTCCCGATCTAACAACGTCTCTGACGCATCTCGAACCCCCTTTCAAGCGGCACCCCCACGTCGTCGGCTATCTCAGTCTGGTAGTATCGAAACTCTCCGTAAAGAGCTTCAGGCCATCCGCCACGGGACTTTAACAATTCTCAATAACCTGCAATTGCTGACAGAGTCTTTCCTCATGGCGCAACCTGTCTTATCGAATTCCTGGGACTCAAGCAATGTTCCTGAGCTCCCCAGGATCAATCCCAGCCTGTCACCTTTGGTTATGAACAATCCTGGGGGTATGGGCTCTTCTGGACCACTGAATATGCAGAACTCTACAAACCCCAGTCTTCTGAGCGCGCAGACGGTCAATTCTAGTCCTTACACTCCGCATGGTCTTCCTAACGCAAACAGCGGTCTATGTGAGTAATGTTTCTTTCTTAACTCCCATTACCGCTAATCGATGATCAGATCTCCCAGGTCCAAATATGTTTGGAGCACCTATAACGAATAATGGGTTCTCTTTTTCTCAGGTTCCTGAGCAATTTACTATGTTTCCTCCGCAATATACGCACAGCAATGACTCATTTCCCAACATGCAGAGCCAATTTGGTGGATCAGTTAGCCTGGACAGCACTGGGCAGAGTCAGTACCGGAATAATGGGCCCCAGGGGTCTGAGTTTTCTCAAGCGGGCTTACAAGGACCCTCTGCGGCGGCTGGACAGAGCACTTCTCCATTCGTACCTCCGAATACTTACTATCAAGACGTTTTCCCTTACCCCGCTCAGGTCTTGCAGCAGTTTATCCCATATCAAAACATGGCACAGGTTCCGCATACTACAAGTATCCAGTCGGCATCACTAGGGACGACGAGCCAGGACGTCTCTGTTATTCCTTCGCTTAATCGGCACGCATCATTTCGATCCCGCCCATATGGTCAGTTTCCGCAAGCAGGAGTCTCCCCCACATCTACATCGATTCATCATAGGCGGCAGCATCGCACTCATAGTATTGCTTCAAGTGCCCCGTCTGTCCAACAGCAACATAGCAGGGCAAATTCTCAAAATATACATTTGCGAACTCGGTCTATAAGGGAGCCGAGTACGTCGAATGGACTTTCACCACATATCCACAGGAGTCACACTACGATGGCTGGAACATCGCATATTTTGCCTAATACGGGAAGCGAGACTCAGCTGGCCCCATCACTTACTCAGCAGGAACAAGTAGAACTCGCTCGAAGACTCCAAATGAGAGAGATACTGCGTTCCGCGCGATCCAATGAAGCCCATGCTTTGCAGCTATACGAGGAAAGCTACTTTCGCCGGCATCGTCGTCAACAGGAGGAGGCAGTGTCGCATGCCAAGGGGTTGGACGATCAGAAGGATGGACGCCCGGAACCCAAGGATGACGAGGAGCTGACTGTCAACCTCGAGTGTAAAATCTGTATGAGCCAGCTTGTGGATACTGTTCTCATTCCTTGTGGACATGCGATTCTTTGTCGCTGGTGTGCTGAGCAGCATTCGCGGTCGGATCGGTCCCGGTCCAAGGCAGCGGTGCTATGCCCACTCTGCCGCACTCCTGTGAAGCAGAAGGTACGTCTTTGCACCGCTTTGAGTAATCCTATGCTAACTATACGCAGCTCCGTATCTATCTCTCGTAATCTACTACTCTAGTGGAGGAGGATACCATGTGTGGCGGGATCTACGAGTTACGACCATTGTTTAGTGCATTTCTAGCCTCTCCTTGCTTTCTTGTTCTTCTATGACTTATTTTCGCTTATTTCTATCCATTCTCGCATCTTGGATTAATTGGGGCGGTTATCGCATTATTTGGAGTACAGGTTCCAGCGAACGACTATCAGCAGTTTCGGCCACGTAATCTTCGCCTAGCACCGAGTCAATAACATCCATATTGAGAAATACTGGTTTACGGGTTTCAACTGGTTCTTAGCATCGTGAGACACTGTCCTTATCTACGCTAGACATGTTTTTCAATTGCATGGGTATCTCCTGTTGATGGCACGCTCGGGTAGCAAATTATCTCCCTGTTGCCTTTGTAGCATAAAGTTGAATCAAATATTATCAAATGGCTGACGCTCATGTAAAAAGACAACTGGGCTGACAAGTTGAATAAGCGAAAATGTGTTGCCAACCAGAGAAGTCAATATACGTACCGCTCAGTTGCGTAGATAACTGTATAAAGTAGTGACGGTAGCCTGTTCCTTCACATATGTCGATCTTTGGTAATCAACTTGGAATAAAACCATGGACGAAATGGCATCCCTGCAATCATATATGGGAATATACATGATATTACGTCTCTCAAGGATCATTGGGAATGGCGAATCAATGAATAGATGGTTTCATTGTTCCCATTTCCTTCACAAAGACCTAGTACAGGGCTCGGAAATACCCGGACATTCATGGGTAATATAATGTTATCCTTGCACTGAACATCCAAACTATGACCCCATAACTGACCACCTCTTCACCACTCCTTGCCTTATAGACACAGGTTCTTCCACCCCTCCCAACACTCGCTAATAACCATAACATATCACACACATATATGCTGCATCACGTATGACATGCGTACAACGTTGTATGGAGAGACCAACTGTACCAAAGATTTCAAGTTACTTAGATACAGTACACGTCCCCACGAGATATCATACAGGTATAGACCATTCAATGGTCAAACAACGGGCAGACAATTGGGTATCACTGTAATCCGTCGGAGGATAAGTACTGACGTTCTACAACCGACTCACGTCGGACCAGCTCATGGTACATACAAGCCATGCCGACAACTCGGGCAGGGTATGCGCACTCCACTCTGCTTAATTACAGGGCGGAGAGCAACGAAAGGTAGTAGCCGGATGAAACCCTATGGGAGTCTCGACTGTCCGACTACGATCTTATGGTGTACCACAAAACGACTACAAAACCCTATTATGGGTATAGGCGATGGGCTGGGCGTGACGAGGAAGGCAACGAAGGAAAGCCACGTAAAATGCCCCCTTGCCTTTGTTAGAGTCGGACTGACAAGATCGCCGTCGTCTGAAAATGGGGACAATATGGTGGGCGCTTCCCAACTAATTGTGATGAGTCAACTCAGACAGCGTGTTTTGAGAGGCTGACTCGGGGTTGTTTCTGTTGAATTGAGGCCGGTCTGTGGTCGGTCTCCCTCTTTTTCTGGAAATATATGGTACGTCCTGCACATCAGGGGCTGTGTAGACGGCATCAAGAAATATACCCAGTATCGATTCGACTGACAGCTTAGCCTGGCTTTATTTCCATGACATCTGCTTCTTGTTTGAGTTGCACAGGTTGATTGACAAGGTGTGTTTTTGTCAGCATGTTCTACCCCCCCCCCCCCCAGGTGCTTAATTGTGAGACAGACGGTGGTGGTAATGATCCTAGGCATGTTATCATGATGCCTAGCGGGTCAACTGATACATTCTATGGCCGACTTGACCGCGTCGAAACCCCTTGTGTCCCTTGAAGCGCCTTTCTGCCCTTCTCTTCCATTGCCTGTGTATTGCCTTCTTCTCGCCAACTCCCCCTCCTACACACAGATTCCTACTTCTGACCCAAAGATAACAATACATCTTGATATTCATTGTGATGTCAAGCCTCATAGTCTGTCTAGGATTTAGAGAGGGTAAATAAAGAATTTATTCTCCAAATCAGTCAAGTCCAGCATCGCAAGATCAACTTTCCTTCGGATAATCTGCCCATTCTCATCCAGCTGTTCCACACAGCCCTCCTCCCGCTCGCTATCACTCAGTTCCGCCATCCACTTTCTTCGTTCCTCGTTTCGCCGCGCTAGAATAAACCAAATGATAAATAAGATGGCGGGCGTCCCCGCCCAACTAATCACTATCATGGATACCCATGCACCATAGTATCTGGGTGCAGCGCTGGGTACCCAGATCTGCGGTGATACGAGATTCCCAACGCTGTAGCCGAGCATGAACATCACATTGCGTGTGAGCTTCTTAGTATACCCAGCTGCTGAAGACGTCGTCCAGCCGAGTGCGATGATATAGGTGATACCGTATGTATGTCCCGCGAGAAGCATACAGGCTAAGAGTGCGAGTTTGTTGTCCCAGGAAATTGCCACCATTCCGATTCCGCCAGCGATAGCAGGGAGACACCAGAAGAGCCCATGGATGGCCAGATATTTCGGAAACCATTTTAATACGAAGGTGGCAACGATACAAAGTACGACACCGAAGCCACCCCCTGCCACAGCGACGAGTGTCGAACCCAGTTGGGAAACGCCGAGAGAAGTTGTGAGAAGGTTCTGTTGGCCATAGGTGAGATTGTTTGAGTACATCAAAGTGAAAGCCTGCAGTGCGAAGAGCCAGGATACAGGGTCGCGCAGGGTTTCGACGAACTGAGATCTCTTGAACTGCTTTTGTTCGATCGAGCTCTGGCTGGAGTCGTGCACTCGGCGGATAACATGCACTTTCTCTTCCAAAGTCAGGAACCGAGCTTCGGCTGGATTACTCGGGTAGCAGAACCAAACCCAGATAGAAAGAAAGAAGGTAATTCCGCCGGTGACGATCATGAAAAGCTTCCAAGGAAGAACTGCGCCATGACTGTAGAGTAAACCGTATGCGATGAAACCTGCCACGATGGGGGCTCCTTGGCAAGTTACCCAGAGGATTGGCTGGAGAAATGATTGTTCTTGACGGTTGAAGAACATGCCGATAGTCATCTCCATCGCGGGTACAATGACCGCCTCAACCGCACCAAGGCAAGTCGGAGGACTACCAGGCCGGCGAACTTGGTGGCTACGCAATGAAGGAAGATAACAGCTGCCCATAGAAAGACGATGACACTGACAAACTTTCCGAAGGGGAGACGTTGCATTAGATAGTGTCCGGGCCATTGCGTGGCAAGGTAGCCTCGAGTCAATATCAGAAATAGCTCCAGGATAGCAGAGGTGAGTGCATTAGCTCATACCGATATAGAACACAGTATTTAGATCATTGTACTGCTTTTTGGAAATGCCCGTCTCTTCGAAAAGCCCAAGAATTGCTGCGTAACCAAGTGTAGACTTGTCAATCTACAGGTCAATCATTAGAATTATCTATGAATCAATCGCAGGTATACTCACAAACAGTACAATATTAATCGCAGACAGCAAAACCATAATATTCAAGTACAACTTTCGGCGTAACTTGTTCTCCTTTTCAGGACTCAGGGGCCCGAACTCATCACCATGGTCTTCGATAATGCGTAATGTGACATCTGCATATTTCTCTTCAACAGTTTTTGCTGCTTTTCGAGTCGTGGTCTCTTCTTCCTTGTTGCTCATGGCTCTACGTGGCATATGTGCAAGTTTTGTTCAAATGCTGCCCAAACGCCAAGCGGTGGCCTTTTCAAATGAAATGTATGACAAGTCATAGCCCCTTACATGTATGCCAACTTCATCCTGCGGCTTTTGTATGTAATGTTCTGAATGATCGTATTTCTTGTCATTGATGATGCCATCCCCATATTGATTGTGCAATTTTATCTATACGACCGTTGACCCCACCATGGTATGGGAACTTGCAGATAACTGGGGAATGATTGTCGCTTTTTTCCCTATAGAACTGCCTGATAATGTATGGTGTCATCGTTAATGAGCATTGCATCTTAAATTTTTCCCCCTTATGTGCAGGTCTAGATCATAGGATTCGTATCCTTGTAAACTGGTGGATATTGTTGAGGAAATAGTACTCGAGTCTTGGCGGGCTGGTATTTAATGTTGTTGATATAACGTGACCAGCGATTAGCCATGCTCAATATCTTAGAATTTCCAACATATATAAATACTCAAAGTAGACAGTGACAACTTAGGACGGAGGTTCGATGTTTGGAATTCATTTCTCCGGCTTTTAAAATCTTGTCCCTTTAGTAAAACCCCACTAACAGAGCGAGTCAAGAATGTCACCCAAAAATCGGTATTTAGCTGCATGGAATATACGAGCATTGAGGTAGCGAATATCCGAGCTTTGATGCCATTCAACTTGGTTTATATCAAGTTGGAACCAGCCCTGATCTAGAGGTTTAAGGGCGCCCAGGTCTTGGGATAGAACATAGTCGAGATCCAATCCAGGATACACTAGGTGCCTTTTAGTACTAAGATACCAGACTATGATAGTACATTCATATATAAAGACATTTCAGACGTTGAAATATTGTCTTTCTAGAGCTTTTGTAAGCTGAGTAAGCAGCATCCTGCTCCTCACGGGGGTCTCTAGCGAACCATATTTGGTATAAATACCCTAAATAGCATGTTTAAAACGTTAACAGAGTGAGTTGAAGCGATTCTTCAGGAAGTGTGGCTGAGCGGTGACTTGAGATAGCAGTTTAACTGACTGTGGGGTTCGCTACCAGGTATCCACGCGAGGAATCAACCACATGGATGAAAGTTGAAAGATTATGTCCGCTTGCATATGTCTCAGCTCACTTTCGATTGCCAAATTGACGTCTTATCCATGAAAACTTGGCTTTCATTAGCGCAAGACTTAGCAATTGAGCTGAAGTTGTCATAGCCAAGTTGATCAGATAAGGGCGCGCATAGTTACTCGAGAATTGCGAATGATCTAAAGATTCCATTGCAGCCTTTTCAATACACAAGTCTCTTTACCAGGTCTAAATGCAATTCGAGTGGTAGGTAGTATTGTGCATACACCTGTTCAAAGCTGGCCAATGTCATTGAATTTGTACGTCATAGCACCTGGGCCAGTCAGAGACGACGTGAGCACAGTCTCCGCAAGCGAAATGAACAAGAGGGGTCATAGGCATCCGTAAGAAACTCAAATGCTAGTGTTTTGATGGTTGCGAATGGGTCTGTCGGCAAAAGTCAGATGAGCTATTCCCGGGTCTGGATGGTCTGGAGGTCTGGGTCTTTGCTCCCTCCCACCGACCAAGTGGGGAACAGAGGGATGAACAGAGATGGTGTCATAATGCAATGGGTCAGTGCAACTGAGATGGTGCAATTTGCCAGACACCGAGATAAAGTTTCTCAATCTCGCATAAAAGAGAGGTTAAGTTCGTGTTTACTGCAGGCAACCCAGAGTGGAAAGCAGGTCTATGACTCTATCGAACCCTAAAGGGGGCTGCGCCACAATCCCCATGAAATCACGCAAAGTCAATCGGGCCAGCTGTGGCTTGTCTTCTGGGTCAACTAATTTGGCGATGGGACCAGACCCCTGACCCGTGCCAAGAGAGGCCAATCGTAGTCCATCTCAGCCGTACTTGCCACACCGTTCGATCTGCTGAGATGGGATCGTGCCCACTCCACATCTGCTCATTTGTGGATGGGTTCATAGCGTGATTGCCGCCTTCCTTCTGCCCCTCACGAGCTGAAACCTATGAACGGGATCTCCGGAAATCGCTGCCTGGATGAGCAAGCCCGGTAGTGGCATGGAGTTACCCCTCATGCCCCCTGATCGCGATATAAATATTGGCCTTGATGGCTTTGTCTTGTCTCTGTTTCTATCTTGCCTTGATATTCCTCCTCTATTAGTATCCAGACATCGTCTCAATTGCATTCCAATTCTTTCCCTCTCCCAAAATCCCTCCACACAAGTCATAAACAATGTCTTACAACAACCGTGACAACGACTATGTATGTTCATTGCACACACGTCTTTCAATTGTAAGGACGGACACTGACAGGAATTGCCTTTCAGAGCTCCAGCCGCTCTGGTGGAAATGATAGCTATGGCGTAGGTCTTACCCGTTTTGATTGCTCACTACTCCCCTGTTCTCAAGCGTTGCTAATGCTTCCTAGTCTCGCCAAGGCAATGAGTCCTACGGAGTAGGCTACCCCACTTGTTGACACTTCGATTAAGCCTTCTCAGCACTAACGTCTCTCAGTCCTCCGGTCTAGGAAGTGATTCGTACGGTGTATGTCTACTACCTGACCCAAATAACACCGACACCCCACTAACAATCACATAGTCCTCCAACCGCTCAGGAAACTCTGGCTACGGTGGCTCTGATTCCTACAACTCCTCCAGCCGTTCTGGAGGAAATGACTCCTACGGTTCCAGCCGTGACAACGACAGCTATGGCTCCTCCGGTAACAAAAACAGCGGCAGCGGCTCCTACGGCTCGTCCAACCGGGACAATTACGGTTCTTCCAACGATTCTTACGGTTCCAGCAACCGCAAGGACAACGACTCCTACGGATCCTCTGGTGATTCCTACGGATCCAAGAAGGACAACCAGAGCTCTTACGGTTCCAACAGTGACAACTACGGTTCCAGCAACCGCAAAGACAACGACTCCTACGGATCTTCTGGGGATTCCTATGGTTCCAAGAAGGACCACAGCTCTTCTAGTGGTTCTTATGGTTCTAGCCGCCGTGACAACGACAACGATACCTCTTATGGTTCTAAGAAGGATAGTTACGGCTCTTCTAACGACTCCTACGGCTCTAAGAATGACTCTTATGATTCTAAGAAGGACAGCTATGGCTCCTCCAGTGGCTCATATGGTTCCAACAATGACAACAAGAGCAGCTCCTACGGATCTTCTGGTGATTCCTACGGCTCCAAGAAGGACCACAGCTCTTCCAGTGGCTCTTATGGCTCTAGCCGTCGTGACAACGACAACGATAACTCTTATGGTTCTAATAATGACAGCTACGGCTCCAGCCGTCGTGACAATGATAACGATAACTCTTATGGTTCTAAGAATGATAGCTACGGTTCTAGCCGTCGTGACAACAACGACTCGTATGGTTCCAGCCGTCGTGATAACGATAGCAGCTCTTACGGGTCCGGTAACAACTACGGCTCGAAGAATGACAGCTATGGATCTTCTGACTCCTACGGTTCTAAGAACCAGGGTGGCTCGTACGGATCCAGTGAGCGCTCTGGATACGGTAACTCTGGTTACTAGGTGCTGTGAGACTAGGGCTTTATGGTGCCATTGTTAATTGATAAATGTATTTAATCATGTCTATGAGTTTATAACATGCATTGAGATAACTATAGGGTTTTGTTCGATCAGTCTGAATCATAATAACTAGAGACTCCTGCGAATTTACGGATTCTGACCAGTGGCCGATACAAGTGAAAATATAAACTGGAAGGCATGTAATCAAGATTGAAAAATATAAGTATGAGCAGGAAGAGCGTTCCCATTCACTTGTAATGTACTACACCGCTGTGTAGTGCACTATTTCAAGTATACTTTAAAAGTAGCGTAACCCTCCACAGGTTTCCTCAATGTTGACATCTTTGAAATGGAAGTAGGATGATGACATCCATTTTCACTAACCCCAACGGAACAGAATGCTTGCATCGCTCCAGTGATGCCTCGCTTGGTAGAGGCATGTCGAAGCTTCACACTACACACCGCCGCCATTATACAGGCAGTTCATAAGATTCATGCTTTGTGGTTGATGTTGACTGGAGCTCTGCGGGTTCAGACAGGACTACTGCTTTCTTTGGAGTGGGTGTACCAGGTAGCTCAGATGGTAGCTCATGTCGAACATCCTCACTAGTTCCCTGCTTCCTGCGGTTCCTCACGAAAAGAAAGGCAGCGGCTGCGATAACCATGATTGCCCCAACGGACACACCGACTCCAATCCCTGCCTTCGCACTTGTGGACAATCCCTGACTGCTTTCCTCCAGCATAGGATCGGGAATGGCTGTCAGCGTCACCGTCGTCTTGGGCGGTTCTGTGGTCGACAGGGAGCCATTTGAGACTGAGGTGCCAGTCGCGGTTCCAGGTCTGGTAGTAGGAGTACGGGGCACCGACGATGTCATATTCACAATGGTAGTTAAGGTGGTAAGTGTGAAGCCAGTGACTTTGGCGAGTTCCTTAACCCTCGAGATGTCTATCCAGTCGGCGTTCCATATCCTCACGAATGCAGACGGACCCAGAAGGCCTGTAACATCCTCAGCCTGAAACCCAATAGAACTGATGTTAAGTTTAACTATCGCATGTGGGACAATATTGTGTCCGTCCTGTCCAATCTGGAAATCGGCCTCCAAAGGATCGTGTGAGGAGTTGTACGTCCACCTCACTGTGAGGCCGTCCATGGCGTTCAGTCGATCGCCTCGTGCTGGTTGGATGATCTCGATACCTTGTTTTTGAGTGAGTAAGCAGAGAGTATTCCGACTGCACGAGAGGGTCCGTTTGTACAGTACGAGCTGTAGTTGCGCTAAGCAACTTGAGTACTCACCATAAACAAGAGTCAGCAGAGGAAAGAGAAGCACTGATACCTGTAAAGAATACATTATAGCTCGCTGAGGATAATACATTCTGATCAAGCGCTACTATATCATGGAGGGCTGTCCAAAGTCACGGATCGACAGTGCTAGGAAGAAGTAAAGGGTAATCTGTCTCTGGGTTCCACCGTGGTTAGGCAGTGTCTTCGCGGAGCCACCACGTAAAAGAAGTCACTTCACCCATGTCGGACTCTGCATAAGTCTCAGCGGTCTGAGGATCCCATGATTCGTATTTCAGTCATCATTGGTTGTAGAGACCTGTTGGATCCCTAACCTCAGAGCACAATATGCGGCTGAGCAGACACTCATCGTGGTACTAGTTTGGGCCTTCTTTATTGGACAGCATTGGCCGTGTCGTGCTTGCATCGTTCTGACCAGGAAGGCTGTGTATCTACCTTACAAATATTGTTTCGTTCCCTTGATGCCGATAACCAGTGGTGTAGAGCGTCTGAATTTGCAGATTTGAGCCTCAAGCACTACACCATGAACGCACATGTAAAGGCTGACAGGGGTTGCGAATGGGTATCAATAATATAGATATCCCGCTCCAGGGGTATCAATTTCACTATCGGAAACACCAGTGCTGTATATTACACTGTTAGCAAAATATTCAAAAAGTAAGGAGACAAAGAGCCTGGAGGTGGCCTCCCATACTAGGTGACATCCTTGTGTGATTAGTGAGTGTTGGTGTAACGAGAACCGCGGCATGTACTTGACAAATAATGAGACTAGTCGCAAGAATAATTCGTAGGTTGAGAGCAAAACAAGAAAGCGGCCTCGCACAGCATGGTGAGTGTATGCGACTCTGTAGCAACTATGGGTGGCCAGCTTTGTTCCAGACCAATGCAACGAAGGGTCGGGAGATTTCAAAGTTGAAACACTTGATATGACTGGCCTAACCCACTGTCACTCGTGATCATCTCGTATAAGATGGTGTCTTTTTTCAAGATAGCAAAGGGCCACTGAGAATCCAAATCAGTAGTAGGTCGGCTAACTTGGCTCAGTGGAGATGTAATGATACTTGATTGTAATAAAGCCAGAGTAGTGGTTAATTCAAGCCACATAGGGAAAAACTGTCTGCTATCACAAATTATCCTCGACCCTGACAATCTTTCCCGTTTCAACTTCGTACAGAAACCCCGTGATAGGAACATCCAAGACCAGAGGGCTCTCTCTCAGCACCTTGATATCATCAAACACACTTTGTTTGAGATCACCAAAGGGCAAGAAAGAAATATGATCAGCATTTTGACTAAGATCCGATCTGATTTTGCCGCGGATCACCTCATCGGTAAATGTGAGCATCCCACAGTCAGTCTAGAGTGATCCAAGATATTAGTCAGTCTAATACTCTTTCAACCCAACCTTCTCCTTCCACGAGTACTATGAGATCTCACATACATGATGAATAATAACAATCTCTCGGGTGCCTAGCAACTGCTGGGAGATGATGATACTTCGCAAAGCATCTGCTGCGCGACCACCGGCATTTCGAATCACATGGGCATCGCCCTCCTCAAGGCCAAGGGCGCGAGCCGGATCTTGATCACAGTCAGTGAATCACGAATGTTGTATAAGTGCTGCAAGAGATTTTGAATACCTACCTAAACGGGCGTCCATACATGCCACGATGGCCACCTTCCTACGATGCCGGATTGACTCTATCAGGCCTTGAACTTGCGCTATTGATAGACCACCACAGGTGATACATTAGTGAAAAGACTATGTGCTTACCGTTTCGGAGGGATCTGCAGGTGGCCTTTGCTGAAGGACACAGCGTATTCAGCATTGGCCACTTCAAGTTCTTTTGCGACAGACATGATAATATCTGATAGGCCTTGACGGATAAAATTATATAAAGGTTTTGGGGTGATTCAAGCTATGGTGAACCACAACATTGGACAATACATCAAACTTATACTGTCACTGTCACCCGGACACAAGGGTATAAGCGCCGGTAATGGTCTATTGCTTCAATTCTGTCTTGATGGCGTGATAGAACTCTGCCTTGAATTAAGGCCAATCAAGATCCTTGTTTCTCGCCCACATCGTATTCCTACTTTCTCCCGGTTACCATTATACAACCCACAGCCCATAGGTCCTCGAAGAGAACACTGTCAGGAAATCTCAAACTGCATCATGATGAAGCGAGTTATCCGTCGTAGAAAACCGGTGCTGTCAGAAAGCCAATGGCGAATTGGGTTTCTACGCACTTTGTTTCTTTGCAATGCTCTAGCTGAGATAACTATTGTCTAGGCCACATAGGCAGGACTAAAAAAGATACAGGAGATTCGGCCAGAACTGTCATAACATTGTCTATGTTTGGATTATGTATTCTAACCTGTTGATGGAGGACACGGCACGCCGTCTTGTAGGCCAGGCAACTGAAACCTATGCCTTACCAGGTAAAGAGCACTACCGGGTTTTGTTTCCACCATCTTCTCGAGTTCGGAGATTGTCTCGGATTTCAGAGCTGTCTCGAGTTCCAGAGCAAATGGCGTCACAGTGAACTGTCGCGAAGCAGGGTCGTACGTTATCCAACGATTGAACTGAAAGATGTCAGCACCAGCATCCACACTCTCGCTTGTCCACGTGCACATACCTTCGCTAGCCGCACACCCAACCAGAGACACCGGTACATCCTAGAGATACTCAGGGACTCTCGTTCGACATTCCGCCCATCCTCGTCGGAAGGGCAATTCTCAAAGAACGACGAAGGATAATAAATCTGGCTCCAGATCTGGCCACGAATGAGGAAGTCTTCCGGAAGCCAACTCGTTTCATTAGAAATAGGGAATTCGGCCCCCTCGATCAAATTGAAGTCAAATTCGTCCAGTGAGGTCAACCAACCCTGAACCAGTCTTTGAAGAAAGCTCGGTTGAATGATCATATTGAGGAAGATGACAATTCTGTTCCAAGGAACTACGGCTTCAACACATTTCATACCGGTCGCGGTATGTGACAGACACCATAGAAATGCCAGAGAGGTATGGAGTGCGGGAAATAGATTCATGTTGTTAACGTGTTCAAGCATAACGGAGAACGTCTCAAAAGCAAGGCTAGACCCATAAGCCAGCTGGGAGGGATCTTGTTGAGCCCCAAGGGTAAGAAAACTAGCCACCGCCTCATGAGCGCTTCTGACGGGGTCCTCGGCAGTAGAGAGGCCTTCAGATGACTTGGCCTGCTCTGTAGCCACTTGGTGAAATTCAGCGCATAGGAGAGAGTCACTATTACTGTATTCTAGCATCGCCGCAAAATTAGAAGAAGTGAGGTAAACTCCCTGCATTCTGAAAGTCACGCCCACGCGGGGAATATACTTTTCCAAGGAGGACAAAAACTCATCCGATGATTTAATGAAATGCACTGCAGTAGCTTGCGTAAAAAGGTAACCATGGGCGGACACAAAGGCGGTCGTGACATGGGGGTAGCCGATCACTCTAGGGCCTTGCAAGAGCGGGCTAAAGAAGCGCAGGATACTTACCCTGGTGCGTGGGAATGGGCGCACACAGACCAGGGATTTCGTGTAGTAAAATAGCTGCTGGACAATATCGGGCCGAGCTAGAACTCCGAGATGGTGTTGGATCCTGCCGACATCAGGGTTCTTATCTACTGCCTTGTTGTACCAATATCTTGCGATTCCAACCCAGATCTCATGATCCAGCAAGCCACGTTCTTCAATAACAACGCCATATCTTGACAAGTCTCCAAGGCACTCAATCCAGGTTTCTTCAAATGCTGGGACGGTCTCTAACAGCAGTGTCAACATTGAGTAAGCCAGATAAATGAACGTCAGCATGTGTTCGAGGGAATCAGGAAGTCGGCGATGTAACAATTCTAGAAACGTCTGGATTCCGTAGCGCCACATACGAGCTGGCACATTGTACTTTTCCGATGATTTTCTCAAAGCTAGGTTGGCCGACGGATGTTGCGAGGCCATGAAAAAGTCGTGATGCTCTTGGAGTAAGGTTCGGTGTAAGGCGATCAAGGCTTGCCATTGCTGATGGGACAGCTCGCTTTCCTGTACAAATTGCTGTTTGACGATGTCGATACACTTCTTCTCCACCATGACGAGCCCGGCGTAGATTCCTCGAACCTCATTGGCTAATTGATCTTCTGTTATAGGATGAGTTTCTGGCTGTAAGGTGATCCCAGTTGATTCAATACCTCCAGCTACCGCAGAGTGCCCTCCAACCATCTTCTGTTCATGGCTCAAACCCTCTCTAGATTCGTTTGATACAGGCACGGAAGCCATAGCGCCCTGTGTAAGGTTCGCATGCGATATATGTGGGCTTTCATTCAAAATCTGGTTGGAGTCTCTTTGGTGGTGTGTCTGTGGAAATTCCCCACTGAGATCCACGGGCGAATTGGTAGAAGCACTACGAAAGTGAGTATCGGTTCCGTTGACTTGGACCTTTGCCAGTGGATTTTCAGTTATTGGCCTGCGGATTGGGCGATCGGGAGACGCGCTGGATGGCCCCCGTCTGCTGTGCCGTGACTGACAACGCCTCTTATTCGGAGATGCCCATTCGCTATCAGGATCACTTAGACCATCCGCAATATAACCATTCGGGACATCACCACTAGACTCAAGTCTCTTCAAAAGGGAAGAACTGGTGGAGTGGCGCGCCTGATTGGTCGAAGATGACCCTGCTGGGGACCCAGCATCCGATACTACTGGTACAACTGGCTTCCTGCGTGAAAGGTCAATAACTTGCTGCAATGACCGGTGAGCCGCTGGTGGCCTCGACACGTCATTTAACAGAGGCCACCTAATGATGGGTGAATTACTCACTTAGGAAAGTCTGTCTCTATTCCAGCTTCGGGAGAACCCAGATTCTGGTCTTTTACAGGATCTCGGAATCGTAAAGGAAAGGTTTCCCGATCAACATTATCGTCGCTCATTGTAGTTGGTAGAAGCATAGACAATATTGTTATCTGGTCCCGTTAGCGGCTTAACTCCGAAGTTCCAGAAAATATCAGATTCCAGAGAAACAGGATGTTTTAAAAAATGAGATGGAATTGTTTATTTACCAAGGGTGCATTAGAGTATATTAGTTGCGTAAGAATGAACTAAGCTTGCTTGACACAAGGAAAGACAGACAAGATTAGACAGAGTTGATCCGTTGTCACAGAGCCTCCGGAGTTGTGCACAATCTATGTTGATATGTTGGAGGCTCTGGCGCACGTTGCAGAAGAGAGATATAACAAAAAAGTGGGTCTAAATATGGCACAAAGAAAATATCCAAAAGCTTACCTGGGACAAAGAGGTTACTTATGAAGGAAAGAGGGAGGGAATATTATGGGTTAGGCAACTAGCTTCATCTTCCATCTGCCTAGTAGATAAACGAATAAATTAGATCGGGACGCGGAGCATTGACACACGAAGAAAACCCACACCTATAGGAATATCGCGACGTGACTCAAAGAGCGAAAAAGAGGAACAGTTAAGATATGAGGCAAAAAGTGACAAACATGGTGTTGAAGAGAGAGGTTGAAGGCGGAGAGGGGCAGCAGGAAATCGTCCGAAGCTGGCTGGGGTTATACTTTACTTAATAATGCCTGATATTCCAAGTCAAAGCAACCCATGCAAAAGCCACTTCCGGGTAGTCAGCCCGCCTTTCAGTTGCCTTCCAGAGTATTTGTGTTTGTTGCTTACCGGTTTATCCCTGGATAACGAGGGGAAAAAAGAACAGACCTTTTATTTCATTTTTGTGTTTTCAGTGTACGGTAACTAATCTGGGTACTGCATTGAAGATCAATTCTAATCTACGAGATATACCGATAGGTGATCTAGGACGTGAAGAGAATCGAACAGAACCGCTCCAGCCAGTGGCAGCGCCACATTTTATGTGGCGCGCCCATGATGCCGCTCTATGACGCACTTCCCGATCCATGCCAATTCTGCAATCTATCCTCGTGGATCTGACAATGATCATGATGTTCACCGACAATTGAAACACCAATACCCAACGATGATATTCTTTAGTGACTTCCATCACAAATTTTCTCATTGTTTAATAATCCACCAACCATTGCAACGCGATCCGACTCCGTGCTATTAATAGTGAATTGTCAAGAAGGCTGTGCTCTGAAAAGTTACCGATACTCGGGAATTGTAGTCCAGCATTCAAAAGTTGCCTGACAGCCTGAATCGCCTGCCGATTGCCAAGGGTCCCCTGATTGGCCAGCTCGGGCTACTCGCACCACTTGTCCGCATCAACTTGCATTCCTGGCTCCAGCAAACATCAACGCGCGTGAGCCTCGAGCCTCTTGTGGGTATTAATACGCAGTAGTCAGAAGTTCTTGCTATGAGTCAATTCTGAAAACTGTCTGTCATGCTCGTCTAGATATAAAAGTTGCAAGTTACACCTAACCCGCCACGTTGTCTTGAACAGAGCAACCTGTCTGTCTTTTCACACTAAGAGTCTTGCCGATATTGCGTCAGCTTACTCGTATGTCTCAGCGCATAGTTCGTGGTGCTCGGATGCCAGCAAATACGACCGTTAGATGTCAAGTGAATGGGTCATTGCCTGCCAAATCAACCGAGCCTCGCCTATCCCCGGCCTACCGGCATCAAGGACGAATAGAAATCATTTTTCTCTCTGGGCATACACTTTATCGCCTGAATTAATGAAGGTTATCGGGTGTAAAGAATAGGGATCTGGATAGTTGCCTTCCCTTGCGTGGACACCGCCTCTTCTGCCCTCTCTTGTGTGCCCCTAACCTGCATCGGACTCGCCACCATTTTTCAAGCAGAGCATGCTATCAATGACTCCTAGGCTGGTTTCAAAGCCAGTAGAAATACGTGCACATCACCTTTAATGATGACAGTGTGTTGCATACTACGTCAGTAGGATACCCGAGCCGTTAGTCTTGGTCGGCGAACGGCTTGCCTTCATTTAAACGGCAAAGTCTAGGTTTGTAGTGGAAAGTTCAAAGGCCGCCAGCTCTGGTCAATGAGCAAGGACTCCGTCTAACCATCAGACCTGACGAGACTCGGAGCCTTATTAATAGGAAGCGTACTTCATGTCTGGCTACCATGTCCTGAGTGGCTCTTCATTCACAAACGCGCAAACTCTCCCATACAGTTGTGCCATTTTGGGAGTCGCAGTATATCTAAAATTTGACAAATGTCGTTTGCGTTTATCGAACTCATGAGATCATTACTTTCTTCTCACTTTCTCTACTGCCTACCATCACAGTCTCGACGTGTATGGGCTATAATTCAACGAAAAATCAGACCAGATACTCCTCGACTTGCCGCCAAACGATGAAATGAATACAAAAACAGGGGAAGTTAGTGATAGATATCTCCCGCGGCTACTTCCAAGCCCCGTTAAAACGCGTGCTCTGGTTTCTTCGTGTATGGTCAAATAAGACATGTTGCTAGCCTATAGCTGCTTCTACCGAAGCCTGTAAATATGCGCCCAGGCGCAGCTTTCGCCCACTGTAATGGTGCACAACCTTCGTTGATAAGCTTGGTATGGAATGTTTGACAGAACTTGGCTCTGTACCATCTGCGGTTCCTCAACCATTGCAATTGTACTGGTCACAATGGACCTTATTTACCAGACGACTTCACCAACAACAACTAGTCAGTCAGTATTCCAGAAAGGCTTACGTTGTTGATATCGCAAGAATCGTGGGACGCTAAACACTGTGGAGTGCCTTACGAACATCCGCCGCCAAACCGTCTAAATCCTCCAATGAATACCCGCGCCGCAGAATCCACTAACACCAAAAGGACAAGCTGGCGACAGGAACGTGTCGGAGATATGCCCGCTTGCTTTCCCCCTCACATCGTCTTCTCATTCATCTCAACTTCCCGTCCATGATGCTCTTCCTCGATCATTCTCTCCGATCTTTATGATACTTCTCTCTCCAAGACAGGCTCCGTGTCGCATGGCTGGCCAAGTCCGGATTGTCCCTGTTCAGTTGAGCGCTTGAGCTCATACTACTAGTATACTTGCACCATATAACAGATCTTCAGTTTCCACAATTGATCGACTTTACCATGCCACAAGAACCGTGGACTGAGGTTTGCGCTCAATGCGCCGAGCTTCTGTCCAATGTTCCTCCATCCATTCTTTTTACTGCGCTTATCGCAACTCTCCTCGGAGCTTTCGTCCTCGTAAGTGCCATCTGTCCTATTACCCTACTTTCTTGACAATGCTTTTTCTATGCGATACAAACATTCCCTAGAGCTATTTATGAACATTGACTAATCGGCCCTTTTTTTCTTCGCACGCGTATGCAGGCCTACATAGCCCTCTTTTTCGTTGCCCCTGTACCCCGAGAACCGTTTCCAGAAGAGAAGAAATACCGAACACTTTCGAAGGATGGATCAATCACGGAACCCCAGCAATTACCTTGCTGGCAAGATTCCCTGTCCAAGCGCTCGAATCAGACACCCGAACAATCAGGAATAGAAAAAGCCGACCTTTTTATGTCCGTGGTGATACCGGCCTACAACGAGGAGAAACGGCTTGGAGGCATGTTGGAAGAAGCTGTCAACTACTTAGAGCGGTCATATGGAACGCTACGCAATAGTACTAATGAAAACGGTATTGCCGCAGAGGGAAAGACAACTCGACAGCGGAAACCGGCCAATGGGCATGTGAACGGCCATGCGGCGAATGGTCCTGGAAACGAGAAGGGCTGGGAGATAATCATTGTATCTGATGGGTCTTCGGATAAAACTGAAGAGATGGCGCTTAGCTTTGCCCGAGACCATCAACTTTCGCTGCACCCCAAAGGTTATGCGGGTCCTTGGACCCCGGGCACTCAAGAGGGAGTTCACATACCCCCTGGGACAATTCGAGTTGTGACGCTGTCTGAGAACCGAGGAAAAGGAGGTGCAGTCACCCACGGCATGAGACACGTACGGGGCCAATATGTGGTCTTTGCCGACGCCGACGGGGCTAGTGATTTCCAGGATCTTGGGAAACTTGTCACTGCTTGTCAGGACATCGAGGACGCTGAGGGTCGCGGTGTCGCAGTGGGCTCCCGAGCGCATATGGTTGGGAGTGAAGCCGTTGTCAAGGTGAGATAATTGCCCTTCGGAACTACTCTGTCAATTCCGCGCTCCAACCCCTGTCGCGGCATCCGGATTAATATTGACATGTTATGCAGCGGTCGAAGTTACGCAATTTCTTGATGCACTCTTTTCACTTGATCTTATGGCTTTTAACGCCTGCCAAGACGGCTACCATCAAAGATACCCAATGCGGCTTTAAATTATTCTCCCGAACATCACTGCCTTACATCATCCCGTATATGCACTCGGAGGGGTGGATTTTCGACGTGGAAATGCTCATGCTAGCTGAATTCTCAGGAATTCCAGTGGCGGAAGTTCCGGTTGGCTGGAGAGAAGTGACTGGAAGCAAGTTGAATGTGCTTCGCGACAGCATTGGAATGGCCTGGGGATTGGCGGTTCTCCGAGCCGCATGGTCCCTAGGCGTTTATAGACGCGCATGAGCTTCCCCATTTAGAAAGAGCAAAGAAAAGACAAATGATTTGTATTTACTGCGGTTACTACTTATTTCGGCATTTTCAATATCTATCAAGTCATAGCCCTGTGATTGTTGGAAATCTACCTTCATATACCGGTTTACCATGTGGCAAACCTGACCTTAATAGCAATAAGAGATAAGAAACAAGTTGACACGAGATAAATGAACTATGACGTCTACATAATCAGACAACAATATATAGTTCGTAGTACCCAGACAGCCAACGACCTAAGCATCGAGCTCCTTAGCGCGTTTCAACAAATCCCATTCATCTATAGCATACATACAATAGAGCTTCTTCACCCCTAGCTCCTATTGAATAACCAAGACCCCGGTGGCAACTAACGTTCCCAAAAGAAAAGATTTTCACGTTTTTTTTTTTTTTTTCTTTCGCAAAATAAACTTTGATCGTCCCCTGAAGCCGGTTGGTTCGGACCGATTTTCGTCGTGGAAAAGATCCTTTTCTCGGAATCGGGAACGATGCGCATGAATGAATGGGGGTGAGCTGACCGATAAGTGGTGTGATACTATAACCTCCCTCGGCTTCTTGGAGATTTTTTCACCTCTCTCCTTTTTCTTTTTTTATAATTGCTTGCCTCGTCTTGTCTTAAGTCGTGTGTTATGAACAGCACATTGTTTTACTTGGCATGACCTGATTCTGACGCCAAGTTGTGGCACTCACCTGACACCTTTTTGTTGTCAATCTTGGTTCTTTTTTTTTTTTTTTAGTCCTTTGCTATCTATATTGCTATACGTGAGGCCATCCGGAGCTACTTATGGCTTAGAGTAGTACGGATCGGTCGATGATGACATTATACCGTATGGCGTTTGGAGCTTATATACCGTCTTACATCACGTCTCCTTCGATAAGGCAATAACCTCTATACTTGGACGGCTTTATCACAACGTCTTATCTAGTATATACGACTCGCAAGCAACAATCGAGCCAGGCGCTCGCGCAAAGAAACAGAAAATGGCACAAATATCACAATCTCCCATCCTCCGCTTACCACTTGAAATCCGTCTGATGATCTATGAATACGCCCTCGACGTACCGAACGAGTACATGGACAGGCCGCTGATCGTGGTCAATGACCGCGGAAACGCCTTCACAGCGCGAGGCCGTTACCGCGCTCTATCAATGTGTCCCAGCTGGGTAGGCGAGAACGGCAAGGTCCGCAGCCTGCTCTCCGTGAATCGGCAAATCCACGATGAAGTCGAAGACTTCTTGTATTCGCATAATACGCTCTTCTTTCTCAATGCGTTTAGTCTGGACCGGCTGGGTGCGTTCCTGGATACGCTTAGTGAGACGGCGCGCAGGCGCATTCGCAGCGTCGGCTTTGAAATCTTCTTCTTTGTGCATTCGCAGACGGGCGTGCCGAAGCGGACGTTGAAGGAGTATGAGCGCGCCGGGAAGATCCTGAGCGAGAAGCTGCCCAATTGGAGCAGCGTTGTGTTTTACCTTGATCCGAGGTTTTATTTCCCGTCGGCGGCTGTTGGGGGCAGGGAGTTGTCGGCTAGGGGAGTTTGGTATCTGGCGACGAAGTTTGGAGCCATGAGGAAGGAGATGCAGTTTTTCGCGCTGCCGTCTATTCATCGGCATGTTATGGACGACGCCAAGAGGAAGATTCAGATGGGGAGGAGGGGGTCGCAGGGGCGGGCATTTCTTTAGCCTGTGATTCTTCTCTCTTTTTTCTTTTTTTTTGTCTCATTTGTCGCCTTTTCGATGGGGTTCATTATCGGGGTTTCGGTGCATTATACCTAGTCGCACTCTCCGCTTCAGGGGACTTTCTGGGGTTTCACTTGGGAGTTTCGAGGGTGGGGAAAGTATCATTCCCTTGGATTGGTGGTCGATGCACCATGACGTTTTTCGAAATTGATGCGGAGATAAATACGTCTCTCTGTTCATCATTCTCCACCCACCATATTAATCATATCTCGGAGTCCCTTCATCGGTCAGGATCATTAGCGGGAGTTTTCAGGTCAGATGAGCTTGGCATGGAAATCATGGTTTCGGGCGCAAGGATTGTGTTTAAAAAAGGGTTCCATACATAGCATGTCTTGCAGATTTCGGTATAATAATAGACTTCCATTGTTCAGATGATCATAGTGCATGGTTGCGACATCGGCCGTGGAGGTGGACATGCGGCAGGTGATTCCTGTGATCAGTATGCTAGGCACCACCGATCTCCAGCCATTTAAGTCCAATGGCTTCTAGATTGGTTAACAAGATCAGCTAAGTTGATTAATTGTTTACCTACCGTCTCCCATGGCTTACTGCTGACAATATGTAGCAACTTTACAGGGTTAGCTAGTCAAACTAACTATAAACAGTTAAAGATTTTATGCTTGGTGAGGTAATTGTATTGCATTTGTTGCTCGTAAGGAAATTTCTCAGGCTGGGGGCAAGAAAGAAGCGAAAAGGGCTCCTTGAACAAGGGCATAGACTATCATGTAAAAGACCGTCATGCGTGCGTACCGATACTGATTCATGATCCGGGCCTCTTTCTTGCCCCGGTGTGCGTCCGCTTTCTCCGATGATGCTAACGAGTGCCCCTCAACTAGAGCATGGGCTAGCCAGAGATACCACACTGGATAACCTGAGGACATGCGTGTGATTATTTGGACATGGTGTTTCAGAAAAGTCAGGATGGCTAGGGTTATCTGGGGAGCTGCTAGACTACGTAATAGACGACCAGTTAATCGTGCCTCAGAGTGAATTTGCATTTTGGGCATGTTGGAGGAACTTTGCTGTCCATCCGATCCCACGCTGAGTGTCCAAAAAGCAGAGTATGTCATGACTGCTAGCATTGGGCCAGCTAAAGCGAACAGGGGGACATTGGACAGAGTCCAATACCGAAGAAAACCATTGTTCCTACTAGCATTAGCATAGACATGGTAACTACCGAAAAGCACACATACCAGTAATGGTCTTGAACGAAGCTATAGATGCTAGGAATCGTGCTACGACACCATGCCCTTGGGTCCTTGTGATTCACGCAGAACTGCTCGTAAGCAATATATTGCGGCACCACAAAGCCAAGGCCTGTGAATATCCCAGCCATACCAACAGCGATTAGCCGACGGGTTTTAGCCAAGGTGATCCCCTTAGTCATTGAGTACAGGAGCCTTACGGCTTCTTCAAAGAGTGCCATGCCATTTAAAAGACCATTGCTGCGCGCTGCCGTTGCTAATCCATACAAGATACCAGATAGCGGGATTAAGGCATCATGGTGACCTGTGGAAGCCCCCGAATGACTAAAGCTCAGTACAAATAAGAGGGAACCTATGAAGCTCAAGAAAGCGTGGGTACTCTCGCCATAAGGAGCCGATAGAAATAGCCCAGCAGGCGACAAGATGTGTAAACACGCGGCGATAAATGCAAGGTTGCGGCCCTTCCTTCCCGGAAACACAGCACGTGCCAGACTGTACAGCACAAAAACCGACATGCCATGAGCTGCATGAGCTACGGTAATGCCAATGATACTCTCTATAAACGCGTGGCTAATGCCGACTGTGCGTCGGAGAACTGACATATAGTTAGTCGGTCTCAGCTCTCCGGGGGCAAGTATCCTCACCATCAACAAAGGTTCTGATGAGACTTGCAAACCCTAGATTGAATGCCCATTCTTGCTCAAACAGGCAGCCTCGACGAGCGATTTCTGTAAAATAGATAGCGTCCCATCGGGTTAAATTAGTGGCAAGCAAGCCCAATACTGGCGTCAACAGTCCATGGCGGTCTGTATTAGCTGCATTACGGCCCAGCGCCAATAGGGCGGTCGAGGTGTCATACGCAGGACCGGGACTGGAGACGACCAGGAGAAGTAGAAGAGCTTTCCAAGAGACAAATATCAGTAGAAGAGATCGATAGGATCGATCGAGTAAGGTTGACATTATAATTGATTAATCATTTGAGGCTTTCATGAGAGAACCCCAATAATGCGACCTTGCTGATTGGCTCTACAGCGAATGGAAAGTGGAAGGGCCAAGGGGTACAGGACCAAGCAATTTCAATACCCGTGACCCGACCGTGGATGGAGCCAGACATGGATACTACTAGTAGTACTAGTACTGACTTGGGACTAGATCAGGGCCGCTTTTTGCACTGTGACTTGACCCTGACCATAAAGCAGCGGGGCCTGTAAGATGCATTCAAAGCAGCTCGCACAAGAATGCTACAGTGATACTACTAGTAAGAGGAACGGCGACTACAACGAACAGGAGCAGCCAAGCTGACTTCCTACTCGCTGTCACAAGATTCCGGAATTGCTGGATCGGGAATTCTGCATGATGCCCGCCACTCGGTGGAACTTTGATCATTCAGAAGTTCACCTGCACGCACCAGTCGGAGTGGAGCATGAGACATTGGAGAAGAGATTCATGAGATCTTCCGGTGGCACCCGCATTAGGAAGTTGAAAGACAGGCAGCGGTCGAGATAGCGTGGAGAGGCATTGGGGGTGACAGCAGTAAAATAACGTCATGGCCCCCCTCGTGATCGGCCTGAGGCCTCATCCGTCGAGCAAATAATCTCACTTTATTATTCGCGCAACGTCATTGTTGCTTTTAGACGTCCTGGGTACGGAGGAGTACTTGTACATATATCTACGTCGTATTCCGGACGCAAACCCTGACCCAAACCACTTCGTTTCACTTGCAACTGAGGGCGAGGTTCCAACCCAGCCACAGGATATTTCTCTCGGCGTACAGCACTACTATTAGTACGCAAGTACTAGTAAGTCCTCCCGATAAGTGGCATTTTCCCCGCATGTGGGCCAATCATGAACACCCTCTAGTACTACTTTGTTGGGCTGGCATGAAATAAGTCTAATTCATTTGCCTGAAGGCCTTAAATTTCGGTCCAAGAGACCCGCTTCGTTAATACCTCAGGTAACAACACCAGGTTGTTGCATGCTTGTGAACCCAGCAAAGTCAGGCGCATCGTCCACTTGTTCTCCCGCCTTTGGTCGCCTAGTCGCTGCAAAGCCCACACCACTTTACATTTACCAAATCCCAACTATCCTTCCACATGCGCTTTCTTGCAGGGCTGCTTCAGGCGTCGTCGTTGATACCCCATTAGTCGGTGAATTAGCTGTTTTTCCGCGATTGGAAACACCTAGCACTGATCGTTTGCTTTTCGCCACTCCTGTAGGTTGTCCCTGGTGGATTCCCTGGTTCCATTCGTCGCATCCTGGGGAAATCTCCACCAACAAACATCAGTTACTGTTTCATGACTGTCAATTCATGTGTGAAGTATGTAGCTAATGGTCATCAAGTACCCGATCTTTTTTTTTCCTTTTTTGGTCTTTGGTTCAGCACCGCATTTCTTTCCCCGAAATCCCCTCCCTAATCATCCCTTTATAGGAGGGTTCGTCCACTTCAAGAACTCAATCGAATCCAATCCCTTGAACTGTCTTACTCGACAGACTTGGCTACCTTGACCACAATCATGAAATCATCAATTGCTGCGAAGGTCCCAAACGGCCACGGCAGCGTCTACAAGGAAGTGCGCTTCTCACCAACTGCCACTCCCATTCGTCGTACCCAGTCGGTACCGAACGCCCATGCCGTCCATCATCCAGGGACATTGACCACCAAGCGGGACGCTTCGGCCTTGAGTGCAAGCTACATGGAGCAGGCACAGTCGCTCCTTGTTCGTCAACGCGCTGGTTTTGAGAATGAAAGATTACTCTTTGCAGAAGAAAGGCTCTTATGGGAGAAAGAACGGGAACTGCTGAGATTGAGGATTGCCGAGCTCGAATCGCTCCTCAAGAGTCATGGACATGCAATTACTTCCACAAGAGCTTCAACCGATTCTTCATCAAAATCTATCTTAACGTTTAAATACCCTTTCGACCCACAGCCTCCGGCAAGCTTGTCCGAAGAGAATTTCCAACACTGTGGCGCTCAAGTGTGGGAGGGTTCTAGCCCCGGAAGTCGACCCACAAGAGTATTCCCCGAAATAGAGAAGTCAGATAGCCACAGTCAGAACCCGGAACAAAGGGGAGTCTTGTCCATCCCAGGGTTCTCTCTTGACGCCGCTTTGTCGCCTCGAGCCCGCGCAGCCGATTCTGCAATCACCAGTGTATCAGTACCGATTGAGAAGCTCGACAGCAAACTTGATGGCATTACGCTCAAATCATCTGCGTTGCCTCCAGAAATTGTCGCCCGCGTAATGACACCTCCGTCACCTTCGCCTCAGGAGGCGTCCCCGGCTTCAGTATCTGAAAAGACCCTAGATCGCCGAAATAGTTTGAAGTTAAGGCTTTCGGAGTTGGGGTCATTAGAGAGAAGGTTAACAAGGGATGCCGGACACACTCCAATGGTCGTTATTGACGGCGATGCCGATGCCGATGTGGAAATTGAGCAGCCTTCTCCAAGCGAAGGGCGTTCGAAGGAGGGTGAAGCCCTTGCTCTAGCGGCACCTCGGCAACCCGCAGAAAACTCCGACTCGTACTTCTCCGATCTACCTGACGATCCAGCCTTGAAAGGCCCTCTATCCCTACTAAACGATGAAGAGCACGACAGTGGTTTCCTTAAGGAACTAGACCAGAAGCTCCTTGATCAAGCAAAGCAGGCCCTGGGGTACTCTGCAGAGTCCAAGACCCTGGAGGTCGAGGTTGAAGCTGCAAGCCGCGCTAGCCAGGAGCCAGAGCTGAAATTCAAAAATAGCACGAACTTTGGTACTGCATTTGGTATATCAAACCTGGGTGGGGTCTAAAAAACTTTTGGATACTTTACACAGCGACAGTATGGTTTACACTATGGATTTGGTGCATACATTACCAGTTGGATTTATTTATCTTTCATATACAGGAGAGGCGCCCTTTCTGCTTTATCTATGGATATCATGAGTGACGATTTGGGATGATGTATTACTTTAGTTTCTTTGCTACTTTTTGGGATCAGATACAAACTACTTTACACCGAGGAACCTGTGTACCCTACCCAATGAACCTCCTTTATCAATTGAGACAATACTGGTCTTGTTCATATTGACTGGGTTAGCGCCAATAGGCTTGTGGCTCCTTGCATGGACCTGCGTCAAATCTCAGATCTAGATCCCCATCTTATCTCCTTGCATCCCTTACTGTCACCCCAGTGGTTCTCTCGTATTCTGCTAATTGCTTGAAGCACTTGAATATGTTTAGTGTCTCAGCAGTATCGCTTTACAGTTACCTGCAGGACCCTAGGTCTTTCGTTTTTATTTTTATTTTCTTGCCTTCTTTGCCCCTTGGCCTAAGCTTTGAACCTGCGTTGGCAGCCCCCTGGGCCTTGTTTCTAGGACAGTTATGCCCTAGAAAGGGTGCATGGGCCCTTGAGAACAAACCCTATCTACGTATTAAGATGATATTCCCAGAAGTCTATAAAACTCGTCCACATTCCTTCGTTCTTACTTCTCATCGACGCATTCCTTCACTTCTATCAAGCCTCCAATCATTGACTGAATCCACTCATTCGAGAAGCATTTTCTATACCTTGGCTATTTGACATTCCCTCCAAAGTCTTACGGTCACTACCATTCTCGCAACAATGTACGACGCGAAGAGCCTTTCGGCCCTCCTGGTCCTCCTGTTGGCTGCCGGACCTGCCTCAGTTGTTTCCGTGCCTGTTGCTGCGGTATGGAGACTACGTGTGCCCTATCTACTACATCCGTGCAATATACTGACGAAGATTAGGACCAGAACATTGTCGCGAGACAGATCAACAGCGAGTCTGAGGCTGGATCTAACTGGGATTTTTCCATCCCCGGCGGACCCTCATACAAAAGCGACTCATACGCATCTTCCGACTACCATGAAGGTCCCAGCCAAAATGGCGGCTCCAGCCTTTCATCTGGATCTGATGCAAGCGATGGTACAACCATTTCTATCCCCGGTGGCCCCAGCTTTAAATCGGGAAGTTTTGCGCACGATAGCTATGAACAAACTGAGCCTGAGCCTGAGCCTAAGCCTGAACCCGAGCCTGAGCCTGAGCCTACTCCTACTCCTACTCCGCAGGAGCCCCAGCC